TTATTCGACCTATTGTTTAATCTAAGCAAACCCATAAACAGTCAGTTCTTGGAAAGGTAAAGCAAATATGAGTGAACATAATACAGGGATGTCCCATCAATGGTAAACCTTAAAGCCTGTTAAACCGAAATAATGGTAACAATGGTTTACAATGGTAAATGGTTAACCGAAACCAGCTTTAAAAAAGGCTTTATTTTGAACCCGTTTGAAGTTCACATTTTAGTTGATGTATGGAAAAATATTCAATCTTGATCAGTGCTGTAATTTTCCCAGAGTAGGTCACGTAAATTGTCTTCTTGGGTGTTTCCGACAAAAGTGACAGCGAATCTGAAATTGAGATAAAACTCGAGGCTTTTAGTCACAAAAATAACCAAAACACCATATTCCCACGCAGTGTGCAATACAAAACACAATATTTTACAAAGTATGTGGCACACATTCACAAGTAACAAGTTTATTCTGATATTAAATGTGTGACGCTGAATATCTTTAAATGAGTTAAAATTGTGACGCTTAATTACGTCAGAATATTTTAACAATATCATATTCAGTAGTAATATAGCAAAGAATACTTTTATATTTTCTGTAATATGCCTGTATATTAAACCTATCCAAAATACGTAAAAAATTGCAAAACTAGGTGATTGGGTCTGAATCAATCAGTTACTCGACTGACTTTAACAATTTCAAGTTTACTGTTTGGAAATAGTCAAAATTACGATTTTAAAGTCAATGCCTTTATTGTAGCTCTCGTTGAACTGAAACAGGAGAACGGTTTTAAAGAGTCGTTTCAGAGCCTAGTTCAGCTCATCTCTTCCCTCATCCGAGTCACTCTCCTATATTTGTCCTTAACTTTCCTTGTCCCTAACTTTCCTTGTCCGCATCTTTCCTAAGCTCGTCTTAGCATCCTATTGCATTTTGATTTTATTAATACCGGTACGTTACCATATCTCTTCTTACACATCATTATTGTTTTCAGGGGTAGTTTTATTATTACACTTGAATAAGACTAAGTTTCATGTCAGGTCCAGTTGAACTTTAGGCCATGTGTCCATAGGATCTTTAATGTTCCATTTTGATACACACTGGCAAAACTTTAGGCAACAGTAGAATACCACCTCGTATTTTGAAGTTTTTACTAGAACTGTATCCTTTATCGCGCTATGACTACATCTACAGACAGGAAGTAGAACTTTGTCTCTGTGTCGGCTCACCGACGGAAGATAGTAGTTCCCCGATCTTCTTATGGCCAATGTAGGCCCGTGACTGGCAACTGCATTCAGACCGACAGGAACACCTTTGTAGTCATAACGGACGACTTATTTTGTCTGTTATATTTTTTATATCATGAGAGTGCGGGCTCATTGCCTTTACACTCAAATTCTTTTCTTTTCATGCACGGGAAGTTCCGCATTCTTTGTGGGAACAAGTGGAGAAGACATTCACCGAAGTAAAAGATTATTATTGTTCATTCGGTATATATTTTTTACTAAAACATTTTCTCTTGTTTATACGGATAGGAATTACTTTTATTGATAAAAACAGTTTGTGGAATGCTGCGAATATTTAAGTTTATACTATCTTAAAAAAGCAATAGTCTAGTCTTGAATGGTTTTAGAGTGTTCAACAAAATTGTATAACCAAGAAAAAATAAAAACACATATAAAGAAAATTGAGTATTTTATATAATTATGTTCTACTTCAATTTTGCTGACTTCCAAACGCTACCTCCTATTTTTATTATTGATAGGCTTCCTTGTAGGTAGCATAGTATGTTACACCACTATACATTTATTTGTTAAGGCAGTACTGACGTACATTCGTCCACTTCTCAGGTTTGTCAAAAATATGAACTGTATTAGACAAAAGAAACTCTTTACGGAAACACATTTCGCATTTTGTCGTATGCATTCAATTAAAATGTTTTTTTTCAATTAAAATTGAATTATAAAATTTATAACGGAGAGGTATTAAAACACCCTTGGATATGTAAATAACATTTTTCAATTTGATTATGGAATAAACTGCCCACTGAAGCCTAACACTCTGCGTAAAGAATTCTTGATAGGAATCGTTTGCAAAATCAGCACTACAATAAAATCATCTCTATGTATACATAATTGGATGTTTTTGAACAAAAAACGAAGATGCTAATCATTAAATGTCTGAAACTATTTTATACTGAATATCTACCTTGTAATATTTTTGTACCCACTTATTATTTGTTCAATTTTGAGAGAAAGATGTTGTTCAATGAATGACCTCAAAAGATGATATCATTGAACCATATTGGAAAGAAAATATGGTTAACACCATCTAGGAAGATGTTCGAAGCAAATGTCAATAATTAAGGAGACCTCAATTTATAGTTGTATAAATAGGGAGTTGTATAGGATAGAATTGTATTATATTCTTGAGATTGAGACTCTCTTCCCGTCATACATCGGGCGGGGGAAAGGAGGAGGGCTGCCTCTTTTGCACTATAGGCCCTGTTTCGGTGAACGCAAATCTCAGGAACACTAACATTCATTAGTTCAATAGCAACAGATTATACTAATTACTTAGGAGTAGAAAGTTTACTACGTATGTAAACACAGACAGTTTTTGTACTATATTTCCCATGTACGATATTTCCCATTTTCTTACTAATGTGGTAGCTCTTTAACACGAAAAATTGGTCTAAAGTAACGCCTAGAATACAGTCGTCGAGTTTATTTCTAAATCATCGAATACTATCCTCTGATTAGGATTGGCCATCAAATAGGGTAGTTTCTGTAATTTCTGTTTTGATCTGTTTTGATTAAACTTGTAGGATCAAGTATTCTTCGATAGTTGCAAGGTAATTTGTTAGTGAATCATCGGCTAGTCGAATCGTCACGATAGCTGAATTTCGGTTCATGGAATAGAATAGGTTCATAGAAGTATGGTAGGAATTAAAATACAATCCTTATGTCATCACGAAATTTTAAAATTCATTCTTCATCTCATCAATATATGGAACAAGACGGTCCTGGTTCGTTTAAGCCTGAAACGCCTGTCATTATTGTCTCATATTAATATCAATTTCCTTTCAATAATTCTCTTCAAGACTTGAGAGTAATTTTGACATAATTTCATTAGCTACCAGAGCATAGATTGCTGACCTGCTGCAATGCACCATTGAAGTCTTTGTCAAGTGTTCACCATGATGTCCTCACATAGTAGTTGCAGCAAGCAATCGTCCTCTATCTCTTCTATGACCTCAGGCTGTTTTTGGCCCATTCATTGGGTGTTCTCGAAATCTAGGGTGAGTACCAAGGCTCCAGCTGACTATCTGCCTAGTTCCCACCAGTCAACGGTCACATTTGTTGACAGTATCGATTCGACGTGCGGGGAAGACGACCGACCGAGCAACTGGGCCACCGCACAGCTGACTAAGATAACGGCTCGTTTTTCCTTGAATGCTTCCAACGCCGGATGCTGCGATCGCCGTCAACAGATGCATATCTCTACGACCCTCTTGTGCTAAGGTGTACCAGTGTACCTCTACGTTTTAACTGTACCGCCCCTTCGATTGTTGTTCTTTCCTGGATCGACAAGGCCTTCTGAATGCGCCCTTCGACTTGTAGATAAGAGGGAATAGAAACGCAAGCCCTCGCGGTTCCTAGTTGTGTTTTACACATGTATGTATTAAATTAATGTTCATGGATTTGTGTGTTCCAATCACATGTTCATTAAGCCTATTCAATCTTACGAGTAACATATAACGAGTCCTAAACAAGCATCTGGAGTTTTTAATTTCGTCCATATCCAATTAATTTCGGAATTTTAGGTAGAATCGAGGTTTGTTAAAAAAATTGGCTGTTTTGAAAGAAAACTATACCTAATCTAATTCTTTGTTTGAAATTCATTGTTGGTGATGGTGAATTAATGTTGTTCAAAAGTTTATTGTGGACATCTTCCATCACGACAATCTAATGTTGATAAATGTTACGATAGTGATTGTAGTTTTTGAAGATACTGTATCAATAATTTGCGATTTACAGAACTTCAATACATAAAGTTGACTGTAACATCAAAACTAGACTTACTTACTTTCCGTGTCCGGAAATCAGACTTAGTTTTTCCAAAAACTAGCTACCGATATGGCTTTGTCATTCGCTTGAAAAAGATAATCTAATGTGCAAGACTGGTCTAGGCTTGGGCAGATAAGCGATGGCCAGGATCCTGAACAGCACCCCGATGCGAGCACACGAGCTGAACGAGCACACAAGATGTTTTCTTCGTCTGGTAAGAGACCCCATTTCTGCATGTTTGTCTTGCATTTTGGTACCTCGACCCTGATTCGATTTAGGGTCTTCCATACCGTGTAATACAGGCCTCCACCAGGAGTCAGTTCCTCCCTGGCTGGTATGGGAGGGTTAGTCGACGTGGCCTCCCACCTTGCCACCCGATTGCTTGAGATTGATCCATCCAAGACTTGTGTCCGTGATAAAAAGCTCTTTCTGGACCGAAGCCGTCGCTCTGCAGGTTTGTGGCCGTGTAATGGGTGACGAGGGTCTGTCTCTTTCTTAGTCCTTTCTGCCTCGGCAGCGACATCACGTCGGATTGATGGAGGGGCGATCCCTATGATAGGATAGAGTTTGTGTACTGGGGTTGGTTTCAAACACCCAGTTACAATCCGAGCCATGTCATTGACTGCAATGTCAACCTTTTTTGCATGTGACGATGCATTCCATAATGGTGCAGCGTACTCCACAGCCGAAACGCTGAGTAACCGGAAGACTTCGAAAACTAGACAAACTGAATGCACTGTTCAATACACGATCGTTTAGTAAGACAGGAATATTATAAGCTGTTTGAACCATGAAATAGTGTTGAACTTTCAAAATAGAGATAGAGATAGACTCGTAAGAAAAATACAGAGCCGATTTTAAAATACAAGACCAGAACAATAATGCAATTTTTGCCATCCCAGTTTGTAAACCAAGTGTTTATAATGTATGTGTATGTGATGCTAGGTGGTGTACGTCGGGGACGGGTATGTTCCTGTGAGCACCCAGCTACGGTCAAGACCTATCTCATCAGACCCCTTGCTGCTGGACTGGCGACTACAGACGGTCGAGGGATGGGACGCCCGACGACACGGCAACAATAAGACGAGAGTACAGCGTGAGTAAAGTACCCTAGTGAACATACTATTGCTATCTGCACAGTGCACAATGACATCTAAAGCAAGGCATACGTAATGCACTAAATCGGTACTGATGTTGGACCCTTGCAGTGGAAAACATTACAGTAGTGCAGCTACGTCATGTCTTTTCGTTTAAAAGATTCTGGTGAGAAATTTTGTTGAAATCAAAACATTTTGCAAGTAGAACTTAAAAATGTAGGAATTTACTAAATTATTATGTCATTCACGCCTTAAGCAAAATTACTATTATTTACTGCTGTCCATTGTCTCCAGTGTTTGCATTATTTTTAATTCTTTATGACGATGATGTAAATAACTATTTTTTCCTAATGCATTAATACAACAAGAGAACATTACATCAAGAACAACGTCAGCTTATACTCACCAAAATTATTTTCATATTATTTCAAATCGTGTTCATTTCCTTGCTTTCCCCTTATTTAGGGAGAGCTTTGTTTGATCGTGGTTTTGAAGCGTAGAACATGTTTGCTGGTAGCAACTTGTTATGTAGCATCGATCAGTAACAATGGACGTGGCCGAGTAAAGTCATAAATAGTAGCCAAAGTGAAAGTGTGTTCACGGTGCTGCACTCCCAGATATTATCATGTCAGGATGCCCCCTCCCCCTCCCAAACAGGCACATCACTTGTATTAATCAAAATTACACAAACAAATTTTCCAACGTGTTGCAATCGAATGCCACTTGATTTGTACTTCTTTGAACGCAACCGTCCTTGTGATTCTTTGTGCAATATTGTCTACCTTGACATTATAATCGTCCTAGTTGTTTGATGTGCCTAATTATTTTAATAATTAAGGTCGTTCAGAAAGAGTTTAAATGTTCTTTGGTCCTTTTCTGTTTATTCACTACCGGAACTTGTTCATAAGTTTGGTTGGTAAGGTTACTTTAGAATATTTTCATTTTATATTGATATATTCGTATACTAAACCAACTGTTAAAATTATCGAAATTGCAATAAAATAAGCAGTGGAAGTGAATTAAGGGAAAAGAACCAAATGTTGTAAAACAATAAAACTTCAACATAAATGTCGATCACTAACAATATTTTTTTCAAAATAATAGTTTTTAAGCTTATCTCAGAATACGTTTTTGAGTAGAGAATTAAGATTGGTTCTAGAAATAATTCAGTTAAAAATCATTGGGTGCAGATCTGGCCATACATTTTATTCAAGCTCTTTCACGTCTCAATTATTAACATCTTCTGCTTGGTCAATGCAACAACTGTTATCATACTATTGGTACTGCACACATAGACAATTAATCGTTGAACATGTTGACCGGAAAATATTTCTTTTGTACTTTTTGGGTTGTTAGGCTTACAATATCATAATAATTTATGATGTTTGGAATTATTTATTTATTAACAATAACGGAACTCAGCGTAAAAAGCAATTTTGCAGCTGAGCATCCTAAAATAAACTAAATGCCGATTTTCCAAAGCGCTATTAAAAGGGAGAAGGATAAGAATTGCTTACCTAATGTAAAAGTTGAACTTGTATTATTTATGTTACCTCGATTAGTAGCCTTTGTTCTTGCAGGTTAGTTACATAAATAATTCAACTTACCACCAGGAAAATAAATCACATTTAAACTTGTGCAATATCAGAATTTTTTTTACTTAACAGATTTTCTCAAAATAATATTGATGTCATCATTGTAATCTTTCCAAATATTTATTATTACCAGTTTTACTTCGGATTCATCTTTAGCATCTTAAACATTTTGGGTTTAGTCACACAATTACTCGATATTGAGTTTTTCGTTGAATAAACAAACCAATTAACAAATTTCAATATACTTTGATCATAGCAAGTTGACATTTTCCATAAAAAAATCTAGAATAGAAACCTCCCTAGATTAAAAGTTCTTCAGGCTCATAGCTCACCTAACTTATTCTTAATTGAATATGGTTGATTATAGCTTTATGGTTGATTAATATTTGAAGTCTGTACTATTATATCCAAATAACAACTAAATTATTGATATTTATTAATTTGCAGCGAGAAATAATTTAGAAAACTTGAAAGAGATGTTTGTTTGATTGTTGCATTAGATTGCATAAGAACTAAAACACAATTGGGCTGATAGCTCATGATGGATGATGGGGAAGACAGCTCTGCACCTATTTGCATACAGATGTAGATCAGTTTGCATTGTGCTAGTAAAGCAATTAACTACCGTTTTCAGGAAAGTAGTCCCACCCTGTGAACTATATCTAATAGGTGAGCGTTAAATCGAATTTGTTAAGTCTCCTATAAAATTCCTTGTTCACAAAAATAAATAGTATTTTAAAAACCAAGTTTGAATTTATTGGTAACTTTAATGCAGGAATTGGACTATACCAGTACAGCATTGTTTCAAAATAGTTAACAATAAAATGGCAATGGAATTGAAGTCTACAGTAATTTGCTAAGTATGAAGTCCTAAAAAAATATTTTAGATGGATAAATTAGGATTTTAATCTGTTTTCAAAACAAAATAAAGCAGCTTTATTAAATTTGGAGGTTTTTAGCAGACGAGGATTTTGCAATTACTGTAGGTGAACATGTACTTTCTAGCGTGTGCTAGGATGAGGAAAGATTGGTGAAAAACTTAGATAAGTCTGAGCTTTATTGTTATATCATAGTCTCCGATAAGAGCAAATTTTTAATCATACTTCAGTGGTTCTTAGAAGAAAGTTGTTAATCTATGGTAAAAAGAGTTTGTAGACCCAGGAATTGCAAGCATAGACGATGCTGATGAAGTAGTAAAGTGCTGGATGAATCAATAGGGGGCCATTGATCATGCCAGTTAGGGATACAGTGGACAATGAGAAGCTACCAAGGTATGGGATAACAATTTGAAAACAGTAAATATGAAACTTTACAGTACGTTTTCATCAAGGTTCAGTGTGTTGGACTGTTGGTTGCCAGTTTAGCCACTTATTTATATAAAGGATTGGGGAATACAGGGTACTCTGATGTAATTCCTTTAATTGCCAAATCATTTCTGAAACAATAACGGACAAGCAATGTCTTTATATGTAGAATGCATATCCAGTCTCTTCTATCAGGACTAAGCGCTCCTAAGCACAGAGAAAACCGAGATATTACGAGATCTGGAGACTGCTTGTACTTCTTCTGTTTGTTGATGATGGTTATGTGGATTGTCATAGGTTGGGTCATCAGAAGGTCCAATAAAAGTTGATATTGAAATATTATCCAGCTATCTGGAAAGAGGGGGTTTATGGGAGGATTTATTCATATAGGGATAGGGCCCTCAAAGGAAAAGGTCCTCCCGTAATCCTTCTAGCTCTACCTATAACCGACCTGATGGCTATTGCCTGAGCCACAAACTTACAATGAGTGCAGTTCATTAAGCATTGAAATATTACTATCAACATCCAGGTATAACGTCTAAGATCCTTCAATTCCTTTATGTAGCTTCACAGAGTACAATTTCTTTGGCAGTCCCTTCGATATTTCTGAAGCTGTAATTTTTTCACTCCTCCAGTTACTCTTTTTTGTGATAGTGTGCTATACTACCAGGTATATAACTGGTAGAATATTATACTGTCCTTATCTCGTTCAATTGAAATTACCACGATTGTTTAATTTCGTCCATGTTTGGTCTTGTGTTGTAGTGTGGCATGGTACATATAGTGGAATGAAACAAAAGATTAAATTATGTACAGTCAATACTATTGGCGCATAAGTCATGATTAGAGAACTTATTACTTAGATATTTTTTTAAGATGCCATGTAAGCTAGCGAAATGCATAGGGTGGCACAAGAACATGCATCTTACTCAAGAACAAAAGCAACAACAAAAAAAGTAATCCCATTCCCAAACTATATCACAAGGGGTATAATGCAAGGGGAACTAAACTTATCCTTATATTTATAACAGATATTGAAGCTGAGTGCCAAGACGATTACATGAAGATCAGAATCGGCTTTAATGGATCATTCGGAGGTTTGCTCTACTCTTCCGGCTACTCCTACGACCCAGATTGTGTCTATATCAATGGTACAGGGAGAGACTATTACGAGTTCTACATTCAGCTCAATAGATGTGGCACGTTAGGGAAGAATTCTCGGCAAGAGGACGCCAGGAAAAACCCTGCAGTGAGTTTTACTTTTAAATTGATTATAAATTACATATGATACATCACATGTTTAAACTAAATATTTGATCCTAAAATTTATTTTATTCTAACGAGAGAAGAAATCAACACTTGCAAGAGTTTTGATTTGAAATATAATGGTGATGCGTACCCAAGCACAAATCATGTACTGAGAAATAGCTAAAGTTTAGTTAAAGCTTTCACCTTCTCAAACTCAGAGAATGAATTTGCTTATCTTTAAAATGTATTGGTTTATTATTATCCCTGAGTATCTAGAAATGAGAGAGGTAATGTGGATGTTGCCTTCAAGTAATAAAATCAATGATAATTTTAATATTACTATTTTAAAAATTAATTATAATTATTAATTATGAAAATTTAAAAACAATTTTGGTACGTTGATTGATTTAAATGTGAATGTTCTTACCACTGTCTGTGCAATTTCCTACATTTATAATAATTAAAATGGAATTAAATTTTCCATTTCTTTTTATAATATATAACACCGCTTTGCACAACGGTGAAATAAGTTTTTTTTGTTTTTTTTACATATAATACGTATTACGTATGTGATACAAATTTTTTTTTCTAAGAACAACAATGAACTAATTTAAAATCTTATTTATTTGAGAATCTTATTTATTTATAACATATTGATCTGATTAAAATAAAAATATTTATCTATGATTTAATAGATTTTCAAACTGACTATAGCACACCAAATTGATAGCTTTAAGCTTGTATTTACTTCCAGAAAAATCTGATGTGGAACACGGTAACAGTGCAATACAACCCTATGATTGAGGAAGAGTGGGACGAACATTTCAAAGTAACCTGCGAGTACGGATACGACTTCTGGAAAACCGTTACATTTCCATTCTTGGATGTCGAGTAAGTATGGATATTTGGTATAGCTTAATGTGTATGGTGAAGTTTTGTATTACAGTAGGACCTTGATGATAGCTTGACACTTTGTGGACTAAAGGGGGTGTCGAACTATAAGGGAGTATATTGGACATTTAAACACAATAAGTATTTAAAACACAAGATAAAGCAAACAGACCTAATCAATAATAAAAAGTTGAACAAAAATAAACAAACGGATCAACTTACATCGTACATTCTTTAGTTTCTTACTTTAAAAAATAGTTTGTAATATTCAACTGCTTTTCACTTTGCATGTTTGAAAAAAAAATTATGGAATAGTTAAATTATTGAGTTTTTGTGTGCATGAAAACAATAAGAAGGCTCCAATTTTTACCTTAGCAAACCCGTCATCGACCGCTGTTAAGATGTCACAGCCCGTGTCGAACCTACAGGAGTGTCAAACTAGAGGGAGTGTCGATCAATGAGGGGTGTTGAACTCTAGGGAGTGTCAACTATAAGGGGTGTTGAACTACGGGGGGGTTTAAACATTAGGTCTTTTAAAAAAAAACTTAAATTGTTACTAATTGATAGAGCATTTTACTCATTTGAAGAGTTTTACAACATGTAATTACATTAATTAAATTTTCCTGTTTTATTTAGTTTAACAAAGTATTTTTAATTAGTAATAAGCTGTTTTGACGCCATTCTGTATTTATGCATATATTTCATGTAGGTATATAATGTATAAATCTTGAATAAAGCTTTTCTGATTCTGATTCTGATTCTGAACTGAAGGGAGTGTTGAACTATAGGGAGTGTCAACTATAAGGGGTGTTGAACTGAAGGGAGTGTGGAACTGTAGGGAGTGTAAACTATAAGGGTTGTTGGACTATAGGGAGTGTTGAAGTTTAGGGAATGTTGAACTTTAGAGAGTGTTGAACTATAGGGAGTGTCAACTATAGGGGTTGTTGAACTGTAGGGAGTGTGGAACTGTAGGGAGTGTCAACTATAAGGGGTGTTGAACTGTAGGGAGTGTGGAACTGTAGGGAATGTTGAACTTAGAGAGTGTTGAACTATAGGGAGTGTCAACTATAAGGGTTGTTGAACTGAAGGGAGTGTGGAACTGTAGGGAGTGTCAACTATAAGGGGTGTTGAACTGTAGGGAGTGTTGAACTGTAGGGAATGTTTAACTTAGAGAGTGTTGAACTATAGGGAGTGTCAACTATAAGGGTTGTTGAACTGTAGGGAGTGTGGAACTGTAGGGAGTTTCAACTATAAGGGGTGTTGAACTGAAGGGAGTGTGGAACTATAGGGAGTTTCAACTATAAGGGGTGTTGAACTGTAGGGAGTTTCAACTATAAGGGGTGTTGAACTGAAGGGAGTGTGGAACTATAGGGAGTTTCAACTATAAGGGGTGTTGAACTGAAGGGAGTGTGGAACTATAGGGAGTTTCAACTATAAGGGGTGTTGAACTGAAGGGAGTGTGGAACTGTAGGGATTGTCAACCATGAGAGATGTTGAACTGTAGGGAGTGAGTGTGAATCTATAGCGAGTGTACACTATAAGGGGGTGTTGAACTGACAGTTAGAGAGTTTAGTGAAGAAACAATTTAAATGTCAAGTATGAAGAGAAGCGGTAGCGTGTGTCTTTGCACGACCCCGGTCAGTGCATGAGAGCTTGCGGTGGCGGGGATGCGTTGTCTTCATGATGTCATGAGCAATAGTACCAGTAGCTCCAAAAATAATTTCAAAAACTTAATTTGGTACTAAACAATGTAATTTGTGATTACAGAGTGGCGACCGGTAACCCTGTGGTGTTCACCCTCTCACCCCCAGAGTGTTACATGGAGATCAGGTATGGATATGGAACAGCTGGCAACAGAGTGGGAGGACCTGTCAGGGTGGGTGATCCACTCACACTCATCATCTACATGAGGAGCAAATACGGTAAACATCTACGTTGATGAGTTATCCAACTGAGAGTTGCAGCAATACAAATCTAGTGTACTTTTGATAGTTCGAAATTGGTGGGCCAAGCTAAAAAAATTTGAATTATCAAGAGTTTAGAATTATTAAGAGGTTTGATTTATCAAGAGGAAAATAAACCATTCCAATTAAACAAACAACATCTTATTTTTTAGTACAAAATCATTTACTTAATAAAATTACAAAATCTTACGTCATCAATGACATTATTTCGAGCAAACTACTGTGCTAACAGAATGTATGGTTTCTTGTTATGGCAGGAGGGAATCCCTCCCTTCAAGTTAGAGGATGGGTTTTGCCAACAAAACTTCAAATAGCTGTGTATTCCAAGTCGGTCTGCCTCAGCTTGGACTTTGAAATATCTAGTGTATCAAAATACATTGTAGAACACCAAAATATTAAGCGATTCTCTAAGGACTGAGCTTTATTTTGAATTATCGATAGTTTTGATTTATCGAGTGTTTGAATTACCTATAGACTGTAATACAGTTGCCTGATCTTCACAAAATGGAAATGTTAATGCACATATTGCAGTGTTGTTTTCAATATGTGTGTTGAATACTAAGGTATTCCTTTTATCACTAGAGCACAAAAGGATCATCTGGCCCCAAGGACATGATCAATTGATCAACTATCCATTCTTCTAGCTTATAAGTTTAGCTGCTGATTTAACCAAAGAATATTATAATGAACAGTAAAAACATTATTGTATATCACTGTTAATTGTGTTTGTATTTATCAACAGTGTCACATTATAAATTTCACTATAACAGGTGTTTTTACTATGGTTAACCACCTTATAATAATTCAGATAGTTGGACATTTATATTATGATTTTTATATGATATGGTTCAACATTATGTCGTTAAAGTTTTACTTAGATTACTAAATGCAACTTCAACAAACATGCAAAAGATAGATGCAAAAAACTACTGTGTTTTAATTTTTTATAATTTTCTCAGACCATATGAATAAAATTCTCATTTCTAACCATTGTAATCCTTGTTTTAGATGGGTTTGACATAGTAGTGAATGACTGTTATGCTCATAATGGTGCCAACAAAAGAATTCAACTTATTGACCAATATGGGTATGTTTGATTCTAATTTATTGATTTTAAATTATGAAGCCTAGCTATGTTTAGTGATCTTAATAGATTCCTTTGTGAGCAAGTCAATGGACTTCACAGTACGGTATCCACTTAATGGACAATAGTTAAGTTGTAGTTGCCTTATCATTTAAGAATTCGTCGAGTGGGATTTTTGGTTTTAAAGAATTTTATTTAAACATAGAATAGAAATCATAATGAAACTTTGAAAGGCCCTTAAACAGTATTGGGGATTAAGGTGAGGTACTTTGAAAATTTGAGGTGAGACAGTTGTACTCGTATTTTAGTATCAACATTAATTAAATAGCTATTATAGTTGACTTTGGGAACTGCAGTCTTCAACTTTGTTTTCAGTTAAAATTAATATTTTTATATTCTACTATATACACACCACTACAGTACTATGACTGTAAAACATAAAATGAAACAATACTGGCTGACTCTGAGGAATAGCAGAGATGAAAGAGGAGTTGACCAAATCTGTGGAATGCAGTGCGCCAACACTATCAGAAAAAACAATTAAGCACAGGTTCCTAAAGCCTGACTCTTATTTTCTGAGTACAGACAGGAGCGGTAAAAAATTGGTTGGGTCAACTTACCCGCTAAATTTTTACTCGGTCGCCTGCAGAGAGGCTTAAATAACACAAAATATACCTGGCGATCCAATAATCAAGACTACTCTGTGGTATACAGTGTTTGAAGTTAATGGTAAAAACATAACATAATCAACATATATGTAGAACAGGAAAATTGGTAAATAAAGGAGTTTGCAAGGTAATAATGCTGCAAAAAATATATAAATACTCGCAGGAGAAACTTCACAAGGGCTATGCTAAACAGTTTCTTTTCCACCATGGTATTTGTTACACTACACATTCACATACACATACACTACACATCTAGAAGAAACGTACCAAAATATATTTGTTGATTCAGAAAAACTAAAACGATAATATGCATTTCCAGGTGTCCTGTTGATGACAAGCTGATTAGCAGATTCAGAGGTTCTTGGAGTGAAAGTGGGGTGTTTGAGACCCAGGTGTTTGCCTACATGAAGACCTTCCGCTTCACAGGATCGCCAGCTCTCTACATAGAATGCGACGTTCGCATGTGTCATGGACGCTGCCCGGTAATTTTCAACCCATCATCCGTGTAACATCATTTGGGAAAGATTACTTATGTTTTTTCCCAATAAATAACTTTTAACTCATTTTTTTCCCTGATCCATATAAACACTATAAATGTTAACTCCAAATACAGGGTGGCTGAAAAGTAACTTGCGCTCCCTTAACTTTTTTACAATTTGAGATATTTAAAATCCGTTTGCACCAACCTTTTTAGATATGAGTGACTACAGCTATAATGGTCAATTTTAAAAATTACACTCTCAGGGGTAGTGAGGGTAGGGGGTTGCTCAAAGCATTTAAATGGGAAGTAGAGTCTACTTTGGTATCATTTTAAAAGGTCTTGACAAAACTAAACGATTGACATAAATAAAATTGAAATCGGACCACTAATAACAAAATGGCACCCTAAAACGATTCAATTACAATTAACCATGAATGTGGCTAAAAGTAACTTGCATCCCCCTTAACATTTTAACCATTTGAGATATTTGAAATCAGTTTGCGGCAACCTTCTTAGTTATGAAAGGCTACAATAGTGATGAGTGATTTTGAAAATTTTGCCCTTCAGTAGGGGTTGGGGGTAGCTCAAAATTTTTAAACAGAAGTATAGTCGACTTTGGTGTCATTTTAAAGGTCTTGACAAAACTAAACAATTGACATAAATGAAATGGAGAACGGACCACTAATAACAAAATGGCAGCTAAAAATTACTTTTAATAACTAGCGTCTGATAATGCACGTATAAACCAGCCTAATGATACCAGAGTACTTGCCATTAGAACATTTTGAGCAACCCCTTACCCCCACAACCCCTAAAGGGCAACATGTTCAAAATTAACCATAATTTTTGTCGGCCCTCATATCTAAGAAGGTTGCCGCAAACCTATTTCAAATAAGTCAAATCTTTAAAAAGTTAAGGAGGGGTACAACTTACTTTTTAGCTACCCTCATGGTTAATTGGATTTGAATCGTTTTAGCAGGGTGCCATTTTGTTATTAGTGGTCCAATTTTTGTTTTATTTATGCCTATCGTTTAGTTTTGTCAAGGCCTTTAAAATCATACCAAAGTTGGCTATACTTCCTTTCTGAAATTTTGAGCTACCACTTACCCCCACTGCTAAGGGCAAAATTTCCAAAATTACTCATCATTATTTCAGCCCCTTATATTTAAGAAGGTTGCCGCATACCGATTTCAAATATTTCACTCAAATGGTTAAAAAGTTAAGGAGGGGTGCAAGTTACTTTTCAGCCACCCTGTATGTACCCAGTTAAACATACTTTTCTTAGATGTAAATGTGATTGGCAAATTGCAGATCTACAAGGGTTTTCCGTAATTTAAGGTCTTCATCAATCTCTCGTCACCAAAGCAAACTAATTCAAATCTGAGTTCAACGTGTTCATTACTTCATCAACTCCTATTCTAGCCAGTTCCCACCCTTCAGGATCAATTAGTCTTGTCAAAGTATTCAAAGACGTGAAAGAAAATGTATGCTCCCACCTTTAGTAATCCTATAGGGGTAGGAACCAGCTATTAGCTAAAGTAGTAGAGGATGATGCAAGGAACAAAACGTCGGTCACAGATTTGAAGTAGTACATTGATTAAGATCTCTTGATAAAGACACAAATAACTGAATGATTTATACCTAATTTAAATTCTGCAAAGTAATTCATTCAATTTTATTATTAGAGTGGCCTATAAAATAGGCATATAATTTGATAATTTTGTTTATTATTGTGTGTTTTGTAAATTTTCAGAGCCAGCCATGCCATTGGAGGAACGCGAAGTCAGTCACAAAAAGATCAGTAACAGAGGTGCAGTCAGTGACTAGCACTCCTGTTCCTCTATCTCAGAATATCAACCTCTTCCAGAGTTTACGAGTGCTCCAAGAGGGTGAAGGATCGGACCAGGCATCTCTGCTGAACAGTAAGTTGATATTACTGTAACTTGTGAATAATAATCAGTTGTTTCCAACACTCGTAATATTTCTGTATGAAAGTAGGATTCGGTTACTTCTGAATGTGGTGATATTGGTGGCTGATTTTTTAAAGGTGAGATTTCTTAGCGAGTGTTTGAGCTGCTAGCATTTTTCAAGTGTAGTACGAGCTAGTCATCCCTCCCCAGACCCCACGATGGAGAGATGAAATACCTCAGCTTGTTGAGCCAAGATTGGTTTTGAAACTGTAAGAGTTTACTATTTGGAAGACCCATGTCAATAATCAGTGGTATCAATAATCGATATATCAGAAATATCGATATTTTGAGTCTGAAATTCGAAATTTCTCACTTCGCTGTAAATGCAACGATATTTTTTGTCATTGATTTTTTTATCGATATTGGCAGTAATGATATTTAAATTTTTTAGCGTCAAAAGTACTTATACAATGAGCCTATTTTTGAATTTTAAAACTATTTTTTTTAATTTTGAAACTAAGTTTACCAAAACGTTAATTCAACCACTCAGTCAAAGTTTGAGTTTTCTTTGTTACTTTTGCGATCATTGCTGGTGGTGAGGCGGCTGGCAACGAAAGAAAGGACCTGACGCAAAGTGAAGTGGACTGACTTTGACTAATTGGTTTTAGATGTTTTGTTTCGGTTATTGTTATTGGTTAGGACTTACGAGGTTGTTAGTGGACTGAGTGGAAGCAGACGAATGCTGTGTGACGATGGCTGTATTAGCGTTTTACAGTTTTACTAGGTTCACTCTTATTCTGGCATCTTATTTCGTAAGCAACAGTATCTCTTTAACATGTAAATACCCGCATTTCACATAGAATAAACCCTGAAAAACTTTTGTTTGACAGTTAAATTATTGTGACATTTAGTGGCGGTCTCACCGCAGTTGAAATATTCCGATTACACCGATACAGTAAATGTCAGTAATATCAAGTGTAAAAATATTGATAGTTCTCCAACGATATTGTTTGATATTGATATTTATTTAGGGATTGATATTACTATCGATGGAAATATCGATATCAAAGGATCAATGACCAAACACTACTCCTTAGCCCTCAGCAATGAAACTCTGAATGGCTTAAGTTAATTGTAGCTTAGGACTCAAACTAGATATTGTTGTCAATACGTTGTAGCACATAACAATAGCATAGTTTTAGAAACTTGTACCTATCAGTCTTAGCAATATAACCGAATGGGAAAGGTCACAAAACTATGTTATTTACCATTCATTTTGAACTTTACAAAATACATCTTTATGTTCAAACATGGTACCATTACACACCATGATACTATCGTTGGAATAGATTCCTACGACGCCAATACACCAGGCGTAGGTAAGCGAAGATTTACACATTGAGTGTTAAATGGATGAGATGATAACTTTGTTACTGACTAAGATCAGCTGTTTCTTTAGCCAGGACCATTTATTGAAGGTTATGTGTGATTTTCAGGTACGTACAACAGTGATTCAGTGAACTCGGTGTGTGTGAGGTCAGGACTAGTGGCCACTTTGTTGGCTCTGATATCCACAGTGTTTTGCGTGATGGGCCTATCACTGACCGTCATGTGTTGCCGAGCTCGCAGACTAGCCAAGATTGTGGTGGATGAACCGAGGATCGGACACCTAACCTCACCACCAAGATGTTTTCTTAACTGAGCCACCATCGAACGTTACACTTAGAAACTGTGTTTTAATTCCTCATATATTATTCATTGTACACAAGATTATTTCAATAAGGTTTTAAGTAAAATTTAATTGTAAATTCTTTACTTTTTTCTGACGTTAAAATGACAACTCATGTTAAAACTTGAAAAAAAACTGTAACTGTCAACTGCCATTTGGTGAAAGGGTAAGGTCATAACTTTCATAAGTTAGTACAGTTATGGATAACATTATTTACAATTTTAAATTTAATATTATGTATAAATGAGTTAGCTTTAAACAACTACTTTCCATACTCTAGCATTAGTGCTCAGAACTGTGTTTTAACAGTTGTATTTTATAAGGTTATAGTATTTTTTTCTAATTAAAAGATTTTGAGCCATTTTTTATGGATTTTTAATGATTTTATTTAATATAAGATACAATAACTATGTACTAATTTTGGGTAACTTAAAATGCAAATAATTATATAAGTAAACTAAACATTTAAATGAAAATAACCATGCAAGTAAAAAAAAAAAAATATTTGAATTTTTGAAAAACTAAAATTTTATGAGATTTTAAGAAAGTTGACTGGATTTTGTTAATTGTTAATCCAGTTCAGTCCAAGGCTATTTTAGATTATTTGATTTAAAAACATTAGACTTAAGTTATTTATTTAAGTTGTAGGTAGATATTTATATTGAGCAATAAAATACCTCTTCTCAGTTCCATCATGACTTTTATGGGCATACAGTTTTATTTTTATTGATTGTAAACTCCTAACCTAAACTACAATCTATAATATTTTTATGACTAAATAGTGTGAGCGTCTTAGATAAACTTATACCATCCTAAAAAAAACTCCCATCCAAAGAATAAACCAAATATAAATAGTAGACTATTTATTTGTGATATATCATTATATGTTTGTTTTATATATGGCTTCCAATAAACAGGTTTGGATACATTAACCTATATTCATTTACAGTAACTAGTTTTTAGTTGTTATAAAATCCAAGTGATAGTTAAAACTAACCAATTGCATATTTCATTATTTTCAATTGTCTTTCTGAAATATGTTTTTTTACCACAGAGTTTCAAGACTTAAGTAGAGAGTGAAAAGTAAAGCCCCTGAAATGTTTTTAGTGAACTGAAGAAGATTTATTTTGATATCTCGATTTTTGTTATATTTAATTTATATGGCTTTCTTTAATAGAAAACTACGATGTGATGTTTAATGATTCTTTAGGTATTAGCTTAGCTTACATGTTTATGAAAGTTCTTTTATTTTACTTACTGGCTTGTTTATTAATACTCATACAGTATATATATAAATATATCTTATACATGTCTCAATATATTTCTTTATGTATTTGTATATTTATATATATTCATGGATTTACTCGTAATAAGTAATTCGGAGGTTCCTACTGTTCCCAAAAAGATTTTAAGTTCAAATTGTCATTTGTATACATAATATTTATATAATATTTACACAATATATATTTTTACCATCTTAAACATTACATAAACTGTGATTTATAGTTGAGATTATATTACAAACTAAATTTGTTTAACATACAAAACACTTTTATAAGTTTCTTGTGTTTTAAGCAATAACGCTGTTTTTAAAACACAATAAATATTTTCACATTTAAAAGCTAGATGAGTGGCTAGACTGCTCCAAAAAACTTCCTTTCTTAAATTTGATTCAAGTAACTCAATACAATTTTAAATTACTAAAGATAATGTAACTTTAGATAAAACATTTTTAAATATTGCTGTTTATTCTATTGTTGGGCCAGCAGTATGACATATGTTTGATGCATAACCAAAACTTCACCCTATTTGGCTGGATATTTAACACTTTTTGTTTGCAAAGTACTTTAGTTTCATTGACTTTCATTTACATATCAGCTTAAAACATCATTCTTATCAAAACAAAGTGAAAATAGTTTATTTGATGTAAAACGGACTACAGCTAAATACTATTTACGTACAAAACCAATGTTATAAGGGCATGATTGATATTTATGTTTAATTAGTCTTAGCTATATTTGTACATATTTTAGAGTAAGAATTTATAAATACATATTGTTTAGCAATAAAATTTTCATAACTATGTAGAAAATTAGTTTTATTATGTATGTTTTATTTTCATCTACTCCTTTAGTTCCCTTAAGTTTTAGTGGTTTAATTTCATCTACTCTAAAAGCTTTCAAAAATGTCTTCCTTGCAATTTGTTGCAGCACTGTGTTTTTAAATATTAACAATTAACATCATATGTCATTCATGAAGATGCCTATAGGGTTTTATAGACTATCAATTTGTTGTTGTATTTGACAATGGGCAAGACCTGAAACTAGTAATCTTCAGACTACTATTATAAGACTAAAGACGGACAAAGAAACATAACCTAACCTATCATATATATAAACAATGTCTATAACAGTCAACACATAAGGCCAACCTTAAAGCCACTATTTACTATTATACATAGCAACTCTGCTTTAGGATATCCAAATCAAGTTTCGGTGCTGTTTAAAGATTAAGCAACAGATTTTGTGATTTAAGATTTGTGAAATTTAGTTGCGCTTGTCTTCAGAACAGTGAAAAAATGTGCGCACATACTCAGCAACTTGTGCGTGGGTACATAGAATCAATTTCATAAAATTTAAGCCATACATTCCACAAATTTCATCAGCCTGAAATTAAGATTGTCATCTGTTTTATTGCTATGAACACAACTCAAGAACCGAGAAGTTTTACTCATTGGAACACTTAATATTTTTGTTGGATGCCTTGTGTTAACGAGATAGGTATTATCATTGACTATAGTATGTATAGTCAATGGTATTATAAATATGTATTTGCCTTTTAGCCTGTTAGGCCTGTTTGTTGCCTGTTAGGGATAGTAACTCTTAGAATAACAATGAATTAATTATTGTTGAAGGATACTTCATCAGAAATTAAATATACAATTTGTCAATTTTGTATTACTGTCTAGTAACCTCAATCATTACTTAATTTAAATCTTACGTAACCCATTGATGCCGGAATATTTGTACATACCTTTTTCCCTATTTAATTTTTTTACGTTAGGCCATATGCCCATTTATTTCTTTTATCATAAATATATTTCAATATAATATATCTAATTTAACAAAAATATAAGTCAAAAAAGGGAAATTCGGACCCTCCTCCTCCAAACTAATATAAAAAGAAGTAAAACCGGCGATGTGTGCAATCCTTATTAAATTCTCTAATGCCGTCAACATCAACCCAAGCCAGACACTGTTTATGTAAGGTTGGTCATTCACTCCAGCTAAGCCGCACATTAGTCGAACCCTCACGAGTAGAAGCACCTCAATGCTACACTCATCAGTGCAACGCCTTAGCCAACTGAGCTATCATGCAACTGTCGGCTGAACAGGTTGATTTCCACTAAAAGCACATGACAACACTAGCGCTCATAGGTTTGATTCGACGTACTACTTGAGAGCCAGTGAGTTAGCAGCATGACTATCTCGCGGAAAAATGTGGCAACGAGCTATACCCACAAGTCGTCAATGGGTTAAGGCAGAATAAAATCTTCCTTAACATAGTAAAACTACACAGAAACTGTTATAAAGACTAAACTTATTAAGAATATGTTATTTAGTAAAGTAACCAACAAATTGCAAGAAAAGAAGCAGGGCCGATTTACCGAATAGGCAAGGTAGGCACGTGCCTAGGGCGCGAGGCAATTGGCTTTTTTGGGGGGTGCCAAAAAATTGGAAAAAAGAAAAAAAATTGTGGCTGTTTTTGCATGCGACCGCGGTAAACTGATAATCCCTTGCGGCCGTGAAGACACCTTAACAGTCTCCCACAATTGCGGCAAGATGTTAATTATTTACCGCGGTTGTATATACGTCATCATCGTCCGTCTCCCGCGATCGCGTCAAAGTTCTGACTATTTCCAGCGGATGTGTGGACATGATTATCGTCTTCCTTGATCATGGCAATATATGAACACATCCCGCGGTCGTGATGAGATTATCACCGTCTACCGCGAATGAGGAAAAATTGTAATCTTTTCCCGGGGTCGTGTGGACATTATCATCTTCTTGCGTGATCACGATAAAATTCTGATAATCCCTCGCAGCCGTGTAGACATCATCGCCTCCCGTGGTCGTGAGGCATTGTCATCCTCTCCCGCCATTGCGGCAATGGTAATCATCTCCCGCGGTTGTTTGGAGATCATCATCGTCTTTCACGAATGAGGCAAATTTCTGATCTTTCCCGTGATTGAGTGGACATTATCATCGTCTTACGCGATTGCGGTAAAATTCTGATCATCCCTCGCAGCCGTGTAGAGTAGACATCATTATTGTAACTCCCGCGATCCTGTAGACATCGCAATCGTCCCCCGCTGTCGTGAAGACATCATATAATCGTCTCCCTCGGTGGTGAAGACATCGTAATCGTCTCCCGCGATCGTGAAGACATTGTAATCGTCTCCGCGCGATCCTGAAGACATCGTAATCGTCTCCCGCGGTCGTGAAGACATCGTAATCATCTCCCGCTGTCGTGAAGACATTGTAATTGTCTCCCGCGATTACGGCAAAATGTTAATAATATCCCGCAGTTATGTGGATATCATTATCGTCTTCCGCGATCGTGGCAAATTTCTGACTGTTTTCCGTGTTTGTGTGGACCATGATCATATCCCGCGGTCATTTAGTCATTACCATAGTCTCGCGAGATCGCGGTAAAATCATGATCATATCCCATGGTCGTTTAGACATTATCATCGTATCATGCGATCGCGGCAATATTCTGATTATCCTTCACGGCTCTGTGGATCTCATTATCGTATTGCGCGATCGCGGTAAAATCATGATCATATCCCGCGGTCGTTTAGATATTATTATCATCTCATGCGATCGCGGCAAAGTTCTGATCATCTCTCGAGGCCTTGTGGAGACATATTATCGCCTCCCGTCTCCCGTGGTCACGGAAACGTCACTGTTGTAAATTGTCAATTCCAGGTAGAAATAGAAAATTAACACATAATTCCTGGTTCAAAAAATTCACGCTTGGTTCCCGGATTTCCCGGTTGGTGGTCACCCTGTTATATATTGCAAAGGGGCGCTACTATTAGTTGTGCCTAGGGCGCTGACATGGTCAAAAACGGGCCTGAAAAGAAGACTGGATCTGTTAACAAGAGTGAAATTTTACAATTTTGACATGCCATGATTAGAGTTACCTGGTAATATGAGAGAGGCTTAAGAAAACTATGCCAGTGAAGTGTATCAGTATTAATTCATTTGTTTTACAAATTACTTCAAATTAAACTGCACGTATAAGGGGAGTGATCTGGTCTAGTGGTAAAGCGCTCAAGACCCAGCCTGAAGTAATGTGTTAAACGGTTTCAGGCTAGAGCCTGGTGGGAGGTAAAGGTGGCGCATAAAAAATACATGTATAAAACTGTACATATAAAAAATGTATTCTAGGTAGTAGTGATTGTATCACTTCATTAATTCAACTTAACTGTTCAAGAGGTTAGCAAGTGATCTTTTTGGTTATGTTGCACATGATGTTCCAAATAACTTTTTCAGCCACCGCACATTTAAGTTCTACAGTTGTTTTATTAGGGCCACTGCACACTCTACCAAATCCTGGAAACAAAACAAAAAGTTAATTATCAAAATCATAAATAAGGCTTATAAAGCCTGAACCTTAACTTAAAAATATAACTAAATTTGTCAATAAATCTCAAACTCTGCTTAGTTTTAGATATTATTTTGTATAGGTACATTATTATTCTTGCTTGAATAAACTTAGATTATCTCACTTTCCACCCTAACTGTGGTCAAATAAGCACCAAGTTAGCATGCTGTTCCTGCGTGGTATGACAACCTCTTTCCCAGCCCTGTCAGGAGATCTTTAGTGTCAAGAGCTTCAGACACCTGCACTTGACTGTATTTTCTGATTGTTTTAGTGTGCTGCGAACCAAATGGTTTGCATATATCTCTGCTACCAATTTTGTCTACATTACAGCTACCTATGGCTGAGTAGACGAATGTTGCTTTGTCTTATTTTTCTACTGTTACATTCTTGTGTTTTGTATGTTATTGTTTTTGTTTTTATGTTATTTCTGATGATGTTATGGTTCTGGTTTCAAAACAGAAAAAATAAGTGGTTTCAACGGGGAAAAAACTTAAAGTATTTAGGTTTGAAAACAAAGTGATTAAAATGATGAATTCTTATAATATGTATGGAATGTTTATAGCTTTTCTTATCATTTTCAGAGTTATCACACCTTATTGCTTATTTTACCTTGCTGTGGACACTATACTGTACTGCAAATAAATGAAAATTAAAATGTTAATTAAGGGCATTTAGCGAGAATTTTTATAAATTTTTAGCTTTTTGTAGTAAAGTTTGGCTGATACAAGGCTGTATAAATACTAATTATACAAAAGACCCTAAATAAGTTAACCTTATAAAGACCCTAAATGACAGTGGGATCTTTGCCCTAGGCTATGCTGATGATGTTGCAATCCTGGTGGTTGGAAAGTTCCACGGAACCATCACCTATCTTAGGGCCATGTCATACGAGCACTATCGCCGTCGCGCAGATGCCGTCGAGATAGCGCCGGAAAAAGTACATGTCATACGTGACGGCAAATGCGTCGCGTTGATACTGTCCCGCCAACGCCAGGTGCCTGTCATACATAGCGTCTTCAGGGCGCATTTGCCGTCACGGCAATTATGTTCATGATGGACACCATCCAGTTACGTTGTATCAGCTTTTTGCACATTTTAGATACATATGAAGAGTATTATCAGAAGAATCCAAGACGATGGGGAACCCATCCTGTGCTTTCTTCTCGTTTGTCGACAGGACAGTTCCATCCGATGTTCCAGGAACACAGGAAGTATGAAGATAAATTTTTTAGTTACTATCGAATGTCGGTTGCTTCTTTTGACGACTAAATAAATAATAAATTTTTTTGTATCAAACATTGTATCAAATATCGTAATAATCACTCCAAAGGTGTTCCAGTTGTTCTGAAAGTGCTCACGCGGCAAATGCGTCCCGCTGGCGCTAGCGCTCCGTATGGCAGGGTCCCGCGTCAGTCCGCGTTAGCTGCGCTCAGCGTCCGGTTAACGCGGACTCGCCGACGGCATTAGCGTCCGTATGACATGCTCCATAAGAACCCCGTTGCCGGGTTGGAGCGATTTTAATGCGACGGCATCTGCGCGACGGCAATAGCGCTCATATGACACGGCCATTATGAACAGAGTTTTAAGGGTGGTTAACCGTTGGTGTCTTGAAGTTGGGCTCTCCATTAATCCCAAAAAAGTTGTAATGGTACCCTTCACAAGAAGAAAACTGGAAGGGATCAGCCCGCTAATACTGCAGGGCACCGAACTCGAACTGCAGAATCAGGTGCAGTATCTAGATGTAATTTTGGACAGATCACTTCAATGGGGACATCTTCAAAGAGTCAATGACTGTGGTAAGTGGTCCCTAATAGCATGCAGGCAACTGGTAGGTGAAACATGGGCATTACAGCCCAGACTCCTGCACTGATTGTACGTATCTGTTGTACGACATGCCTTGACAAATGGTTCACTTGGGTGTTGGGCCAAGATGGAATCTACTGCAGCAGTCAAAGCTAAAGCAGGAGTTAGGAGACTTACTGGTCTTATAATAATTGGGGCAGTAAGCAGCTGTCCTGGAGCAGCCCTTGATTGTCTGCTTGATATGCTACCCATCGACATTTTTACCAAGGTGGTAGCAAGAAAAACAGCATTATGCCTAAGATGCAAAAACTTATGGAAAACCACAGGGAACAACAAAGGGCACTCCAAAATTGTTCAGGTGGTACACAGCGATGAGTAGGACCTGCCTTCAGACCATATGTCCAAAAAATACTCCTTTGGAAAGCCTTTTAAAACAATATTACCAGATAGGAAGGAATGGCCAGATAATGGTGGAAAGGGGCCCATCCCCGCAGGTGATTTAGAATGCTAAAAAGATAGTTCTAAGATCGAACAAGGGGGCTCCGGAACAGGTATGTAAAAAAAGGCATTGGCGTTAGCCTTCCCATGGGGGTGTACCCGACAGTTTTTCAAGCGGAGGTTGCACGGCAATCTTGGTTTTTGCTTGAGAGAATCTTAACAAAGAGATCAGATACATAAAAATTAACATCTACACTGATAGTCAAGCTACCTACCTTAAAAGCACTAAACTCATATGAATTCAGCTCAAGGCTCGTGTGGGATTGTCTTGCTTCTGTGTCTGAATCTGTGAATTCGAATTGGGTAGGAGGAATGATCATACGCTCTGCTGGGTGCCTGGAAACTCAGGCATTGAAGGAAATGAAGCCGCAGACAGATTGGCAAACGCTGCCTCAGCAGCAACAATGATTGGTCCATAACCCTTCTGTGGTATATCGCGAAAAAACGTGTGCACCTCTATTACCAATGAAAAGTGCCAAAAACCTTGGGTTGATACTCCCCTTCTTAGGGTTAGCAAGCTTACTCTGTTTAGGCATTCCAAACGGGTTGCCTCTGACCTCTTGAGACTAGACAGGAAAAGAATTAAATTAACAGTGGAACTGATAACTGGCCATGGGCGATTCAGGAAATATTTACAACGGATGGGCTTATTTGATGGTGAACCAATCTGTAGGCACTGCAGTTGGTCAGAGGAGACAGCCGATCACCTGCTCTATGATTGCGATAAGCTCTCTGACGCTAGAAGGATAACTGTTAGCAATGTGGTAGGAGGTAGATATCTTCCCTAGGAGGAACTAATCGGAAGACTACAGGCTTTCATTGGATGCCTGATTTTGTAGGGTCCATCAATGAAACAACTGTCTGAGGTGCGCAATAATTTGACTTTTTGGATGAAGTGCTTTATGGTTTCGGCCTGCCCCTGTTAGATAAAATAAGATACTAATTAGGACCTAAGCAAAAAATATAGGCCCATTTCTTAAATTTATCCAAAGCCCATGGTTGTTCTGTTTTTGCAAATCATTCTGAGACATCTCCATTCAAACTTTCAAATGAAATCCACAGCTTTTTTTTATTTATATTTACATACTTTTTGTGACGTTGACAAGGGTCAAAAGTCTTAGCCGGGTATAGACGGAGTCGCTGCGGCATCACAGCACGTTTTAGTGAAACCCAAATACTAATAGAGCAGTGAAGGGACACCATTATGATGTTTATATGATGTCGTGAGTAGTTGATATTTGACAATCCCGATGATTGAAGTTTTGATAATTGGACTTCTACTGCATCAACAATAATTCTAATTCTACATGTTTCATAGGTTTTTATAGTTTTCCGTTTTAACCGAGGCCTGGTCCCTTAAGGGTCAGTTAAGAGAACATGTACCGGTATTGTAGGCCTTTAGTATATATTGTTCATATTGTACATAATAATTAAGCTGTTACCTGGGTTTCAGGATCAGTATTTATCTCGGTGAGTGTAGAGAGGTAACTGTCTAGATTGTGTTGACGACAAATCTGCTGAGCGGCCGGATTTTCTCTCGTTATTGACAACAGACAGCGCAGAATGTACTCCTTGACAATATTGTCACTGAGACGCAGAAGAGTGATAAGATTTACAATCACACCAGACTCTGTTAGATTCCCTGAAATCAACCATAGCTGTTAAAAAAGAACAAGATTGAATCTAGTATCATGAAATTATCTTTATCTTTAGTCTTTAATACAAATTATGTAGCCAACATGATTGTCGTAATTGGTACAATTCATTACAAAATGACTTGGTTAACATTTTAAATCTTAGTGGTTACAGGATATTCATCATAATATACATATACATTTTTAACGTTTTTGATATATTTACACTTACACTGTAAACACTTATAAGACGCTAAATACCCATCAAAATATGTTACAGCGGAAATGTGTGTTACGTTTACCGCCTTGTCCATGTTTACAGGATAAGTATAAAAATATAAGTTAATGTTGGAAGAGTATAATGCTAATAAGTAACCCTATTATTTATTACCAAATTCTACAACATAACTATAGATAAAATACAAATAAGGTTACCGTACATAAATTTTGAGAGTGGATTGGTAACAAACTTCTCATTAAAAAATTTGACAACACTATAAATGGGAAATGAAGATAAGTTGAGTACAGTTTACATTTTTGAAATTATTTTGTTTGTCTATTTTTTTAATGAGATGACAGATTTCTCATAAAAAAATCACCAATATATGATGTTTCATTTTTTAAATTCTTACAAGTAAAAAAATAAAACCTGCCTATTTGCCCTATTTGCCTATTTGGAGTGTTTTGTTTTTCCTAATCCTTAAATGTATTTTGAGGAGTATCCACCACGTAACAGAGTAATTTTTTTAGTATGGTTTAAATGAAACCTATAGAAAGATGATTTTGGTTTTATTTACCATAGACGGGAACTGTACGTGAATTTTGATGACTGGGAAAAAGTCTGTGAATAATTAATTGTTCAATTGTACTCCTATAGTCGAGCGTCCATTCATCAATGTTTTTCGTTGGTACGGCCTACTCTATTAAGGATGTTATGTAGTAATAACGCAATTGCAGTAATCAATAACATTGTCCTCAAGATTGTGGGGAATGATCAAAATGTTGTTGTGATCGCAGGAGCAATATATAGCTATTTACAGTTATAAAATACACATACATTTTTTTACCATATTACTGCATTTTTGGCTTATCCAAAAAATTGGTAGCCCAAACAGTCAAGTCACAGTTGAACCGTAGTGTAGGTGTTGTGTTTTTTAAATAGATGAATAATATATAGACATAGACATATTTTATTTGCACATAACATTCTTTACATGTGTTGGTAGATACAGAATAGGTGCATTGTCAGAGTTAAATTATCAGAATATAAAAAATAAAATAGTAATCAAGAAGATAATGTAAATTAACAAAATTGAATGATAAAACTATTCTAAACTAAAGAGGTATTATGAAAATCTGCAATAAAATAAAAGGCTCTGTAAATGAAAAGTTCACCTATTTTATCTTTAAATGATTTTTTTTAACAATTTATAGTTTGCAGGCAGCACATTGTACAGCCTCAGCCCAGCATATAGCAGACTTTTTTCATAAATTATTAAATGGTGCCTTGGAAATCTAAAAATGTTTTCATTTAGAGTATTATATCTATGGTTGATTTGTAAATTGATTGTTGATATTGATCTATTGTTAATATTCCACAACAAATTACATTTAAAGATAATTTAATTGTGTTGGTGGGTGCATAGATAAGAAAACATACACTTCTTTATCATTATTAATTCATATTGCTAAAAAATTAAAAATTAAAATATTAGGCCTACTTACTTTTTACAGTCTCGTCGGTGTCGCACAGCCCCATAATTAGGAAAATGGTTTTGTTCACAATTTTTTCACAGCCACTATTTAAAGCCTTTTCAACCATTTTAATCCCATTATACTTGTTGAATTGACTAATTCCAGCAGGATTTGATCGAGCAATAGCTGTAAAAGTTACATTAAAATGTATCAACAATTCACATATCTGATACATACATCCTAGGTTTTAATGTGTAAAAGAGATTACTTTTACACTCACAGAGTATCGGCAACAAACTGTTGTACAGTCGTCGCGATATATCTGGAGCTTTGGCCTACGTCATTAGTAGGAGGAGTCTGCTCGCCCGCTCATTGAATGGTAGGCGCGCGACGTTGTACTAGCCGTACGATAAACATAGCCCCACTCACACTGACACCACACCTTCCCCCCGCACCCTTCTTCAGGGGTTGTGTGCACATCACGGCGCTGGGCAGACACATTCACCTCAATAGACGCCGCTATGTCTGAGTGCTGCGACTGACAAATGTGGTGGCGATCACAGAAATTTTATTAAATTTAAACATATTTTAATACAAAATATTGTAAGTGAAATAATACACCGTTTTGAAGTAAAAAGTGACACACTAGTCCTTTCTATATATTTTAAATGTAAAAAATTGCAAATAAAATGCCAACATTACTGGGGAAAAATACATTATATAGGCTATATATTATAAGTATAATGATTAGATAAAAAATAAAATAAAAACTTACATTCAACTTCAATCAGAGTCACATTCCATGCCTTCGATTCCTGAGGGATCAGAGTCAGGTTCAGGTTCGTCAGGGTTGTCACTGTTGGATGCATCCTCGTCGTCGTCACTATCAGGACCACCCAATTCAATAATTATTGGGTCAATGCGTTCATCCATAATGTGATCGGATTCCCAGTAATCGGCCTCAGTTTTTAATACATGACGACAAAGTGGCAATCAGTCATTTTCCGTCATGGAACCAAATTTGTCTTCACACAGCTTTTTTACGTCGGCGATTTTGTAAGTTGTGTTTCGACTGGCAACCCAACCCTTCACTATTGCCCAAATGTTCTCAATCGGGTTGAGGTCTGGGTGGTAGGGTGGTAGTCTCAAACAGGTATGATTATGCTTAGACAATATTTCGTCGATTTCATACCCTTTATAAACCGGTTTGTTTTGACATATCAGTGCGTAAAGTTGGTGTTGGTTTCAACATGTCATTGGTATAAGCAATGTTCATTTTGTCCAGCCAATTTCTCATCTCCTGCTTGGTAGATCCACTATTAGGGACTTTTTCAATAACAGTGTTATGGTAGGGGGCGTTGTCAACAACTACCACGCTATTCGCAGGTAGATTAGGGATTAACAGCTCTTCTAACCATTTTTTATAATTTCCCTTATTCATATTGTGATGATAATCACCAGTAGTTTTAGATGATTTCCACATCAACAATGCATTTGGTATGAATCCCATTTCCCCTCCTGCATGAATGATTATTAGTCTTTCTCCTTTAGATATTTGTTTCACATATCCTTGGCTGGAATTGTCGCTCCATGATTTATTTTGGACGTGTGACGAAAGAATGTAAGTTTCGTATAAATATACTATAGGTCTTTTTTCTTCCCTGTACTTTTTAATTTTTTGTAAATAGTCAATTCTTTTTTGGACAATATCAGGTTTCTCAATCAAGATTTTTCTATTACTTTTGGTTTTTTGCCACTTAAATCCCAATTTCTTGATTATCTGCCTTACACTAGTGTTTTTGCCTTGGAAATGTATACTTTCTACCAATTTCAAACGAATTCCATCTACAGTTGGACATCTTTTTTCGTCGATGTAGAAATTGTGTATGATTCTTCTCACTAGTGCTTGGTCAAAATCGTCTTAATCAGTAATATAGCATTTTTTATTTCTTTTCTTATCAGGTGTCACAAACGATGTACTTGCACCAGAATCGACTACAGCTTTTTCCCGTTTCCGTTTCACTGTACTTATTGTACTTATTGATGTGCCCGTAGCCCTGGCCGTTCTCTCCTGACACTTTTGAAGGGGAATGGTTAATGAGCCGTTTTCCACTTCAGATGACATGAAATTTAAAACATTGGCAATAACCTCTTTGGTCTGACTATGCATTTTTTTGTTCTTGACTTTAGACACAATGGGAGGCATTATTTGTTACTTTCAGCACTCACAACACTGACATAAACTATAACACAACAAAGTACAACACTGAAAACGATGAACAGCGGTAAGCATAGATGTTAAAACAGCAATGATTCGTTAGACATACAGCAGGCGGCTGACAACAATTGAGCGCCGAGCGGATGTTTTCAAGCCTGTGTAGTACAAGGTAGCGCATGCGCTGAACAACCTCCCCACCACGAGTCATTGGCTGCTGTTCAAATTACAACCGTCGTCACAGCTCAAGATATACCGCGACGACTGTATATGAGCAATATTGTACAAGTTTAGTTTGTGATAAATTAATCAAAAGCTTTACGTGCTACTATCTAATACACTGTGAATAAAATCATTTTTCAATTTTAAATGAATAAAAATCTTAAAGTTCTTCAGTGTTCTTAAAACTTACATAACAAAATCCATTAGAATCTTGATGATAATTTACAAAAGCATTGCTTTGCAGGAACCTTTTTTCAGAATAACTGTAGTATATATATATTACTAGTAAGTAACAGAGCCTGTTGTGTTTAAATAAAGCGGTTACTAGGAAAATAATGGTATGGTTATGAAATCCATACACCAGTTAAGTCACTAATTATTGGTAGGCCTATAGATTAAGCAATTAAATTTAGAAACACACATACAGTAATATAAAACACACTTTAACCACAAATGCAAATTGTGAACAACAACATCCAAACAAGGAAAAAAAGTGTGATTTATTGCAATGTATGACTGTACTAATACTAAATATTGCCTTTTTCTGATGACACGACTGTTTTAGCATTCCCTCTATAACCACAATTGCAAATATGACAGATTTTAGGAGTTCTACTGTAATTTAATATTCAATAAATGTAGTTTTCAAACACTATTACCAACTCAAATTTGGTATATTTTTTAAATGTATCGCTCATAGTCTTCTATGTTAGATAGAAAGGAATAACGACAAGATTCAAACTATGAATAGTAGTGGTTAGGATTAAATACCTGATACAGCAGCAATGGCCTTAAACATGGCATCTTTATTTGGATCTGAGGAAGCCATTTCCATCAATGGTCTGAATACTTCATCTGTTACTGAGAGCTCTTGACAAAATGGGTTGTTTTTGCAGCACTCAAGTATGATGGCTGCTGTTGAACTTCGCAAAGAAGCATGCTTGCTTTTCAGTAGGGGAGCAATAATGTTAAGTCCATCGATTTGATAAAATACTGAAAACAGAGACAATCAACAGTTTTTCTAAACAAGGTTGCTTTAAAGTAACTCCCTATACTAGGCCTACATCCCAAAATACTGGGCTAGAAAAAAAGAATGGTGCTATAATAAGCAGTTGGTACATCCGTATCTGTGATTTCAAACAGTTGATTGTTACACCAATGAAAAAGATGTATTTATAAGTTTGTTTTGACAAGGTTATGTTTTGTCTCAGTTGCTTAGTTGAGTACCACAAAGCCTGCCAATAAATGACTAATACAAAACAAGAAAAACAATTTCATATTTTTGAATTTTCTTGTATTAATGCTATTGTTAGTGTTCAGCGGAACCTTCACATCAAACTTTGGAAGGAGACTCCTCATCGGAACTGCATGGCTCGTTGGATAAGGCAATTCAAGACAACTGGATGTCTGAGTGCTGGGATGAGTTCAAACTGTCCACAGACTCCTCCAGACGCTGTGGAGAGAATCGAAGCTTAGTTTCCTTCAAAAAAGCTAAGAGTCCAAAAACCTCAACAGTCAAAGCCGGTAGGGAACTTCACATACCGCAGTCAATGGTAGCTTAGTGATAAGTCAAAACGCACACTTTTGCCATGATAGCTTCGTTTCTTGTTGACATTCCTCGATTTTGATGACAGGTTATGTGGTACTCAACAAAGCAACTGAGACACAAAAAACTAATAATCACGCCCTTTCCATTGGTACAACAATCAGCTATTTGAAAGCACAGAAACAGACGTACCGACCGTTTAGTTTTGCACCATTATATTTTAATAACATCTGTAATTGTAAAGAAGTTTGATTTGTTACATTCTGATTCATTTACCATATCTTATTATTAAATTGTCTTTTATAAGTTTCATTTTTTCAAAAGTAGTAGGCCTAATATGTGTTTTGTGCTATAGTTGCAAAAAGCTTATAAGGCAAGAACATTGCAAGACCCATAATTTTCCAGCCCGTCTAATTTAGGCTTTCCAAGTATGGGAAAATCAAGAAGGTATAAGATACTTAATTTTAAATAAACTCTCTTGGAACCACATAATACAATATCTAGTGTCCTACTGTCCTTCCTCTAGATAATCACTCTAATCCAGAATAAATAATAAGGTAAATTGCAATGATCTCTATAGTTACGGAGACTGTATACAAACGTCACCTCTATAAGAAGATGAAGGAATGCTCTAAGGAATGAGTCTAAAGTGTACCTATACAGGTGTTGACATTTGAAAAACACACATTATAAAGTTAACTGGGGGTGCCCAGACTTTGTCTTGCTTCCTCATCTTAAATTAAAATGGCCGCCATTTTGATTAGGGTGCGATATTGACCTTTGGTTTGTGCTATTCAATTTCTATTGATAAAAACCCCCTTTAAAATAAGGGGTCACATGATAGGTGCTTACATTTGAAAATTTGGGGCTGCCCCCGAAATACCCAAATTTGGGAGCTGGGGCAAAGTTGTAACTTTGATGAAAAAGTGCAATTTCTTATGTTGTAAATATGTGCCGAGTTTGGTTTTCCTACTGCAACACGTTAAAAAGTTAACTGGGGGGTTCCAGACTTTTGCCTAACCCTGTATAGATCAACAAAATAGAGAGTGTTGACGTGACGTGTCAGAAAAAGCTGATGACAGGTTTGCCGAGGTCAGATAAATAGAGTCTTATTATTTTTGTGCACGCAAAACTAAATACTTTAATTATCCCATTAATTAACATTTTTTTCAAACATGCAAAGTGAAAAGCAGTTGAATATTACAAACTATTTATCCAGTAAGAAGCCAATGAATGTACAGTAAAGGTGCCGTTTGTTTATTTTTTCAATTTTTTTTATTCATTAATTTTGTTTGCTTTATCAACCAACCAGCAAGTATTTGTTTGCTTTATGGTTGATTTCCATGTCTAATATCAGGGTGTCCACAGAAATTTTGTCAATTATTTCCCTGACTTTCCAAGACTATACATGACCATTAACCATTGATTTCCATGACTCACGCACTTAACTAAAAAATTATAATATACCATACACACACAAATAATATTGCCTAGACAAGTTATTTCACAGAAAATACTGAAATACATATTAACAGATAACAATGGAGTACAATAGGTACAACAATGAACTAAGTTTTTGCCTATTTCCATGACTTTCAATGACCAGAATTTTCTTCCATGACTTTCCATGACTATCCCTGACTTTCCAGAATGTGGACACCCTGAATATACTCCATATAGTTCAACACCCCCTTAGTCCACAAAGTGGACTAAACTATAAACTATCAAGTCTATTGTAGTTTGAATAGGACTATTACTTAAAAATATTAATGTCAAATCATAAAACAAAAATAAAAAAATTGGTAATAACTTATTGTAAGTTATAAAGTTACAAAGTTGTAAAGTTATAAATAGAAAATTGTATGATCAAATACTTACTCTGGGCAAGATCAATTTCATATAAAAATTCGACCAACTGCTCCAATGTTTCTTGATACTTGGCTAAATTTGTGTCAACAAAATTTTCTGGCTTTGTTTGAACTTCTTTCAAAACTTCAAGTCTTTTTTGCATCTCTGGTACCAAATCAACAGTCATGGCATTCAACGCATTTTTCAAAAACTCGGCTTTCTGAAAGAAAATAAGAGCAAAGTAAATATAAAAGAAAATTACTTTGTTAAGAATTAGAACCTACAAAATGTAAACATAACTATATTTGTGAAATAAGAGCAAAATTTATTTTTTCATTATTTTTTATTTTCAAATGTTGACAAATTTGATTTTAACTAGGCCTACCCAAATCTGACCAATGTTTTAGCGAACTTTCCATATAGGGAATAAGCTATTACCGTAGGTCTCATACTAAGACCTGGACCTGGGACCGATTTACCTTTTGTTTTAGAGGGGGGGCCAACAAAAAGGGGGGCCCCAAAAGGCCAAAAATACCCTCGGTTCAAATTCATATATATGTGAAATATATAGGGAAAAGGATCCGAATTTAATGAAATTTGGTACATTTAATCTAAGAAAACCTAAATTTAATCTAACAAGTTTGCGAACCAACATGATCAGACTATTAGAACGAGGGTTTATGGGGGGTTTTCTGGGTTAAAAATTGGGATTACCCATTTTTACCGTAAAAACATAACATTTCTCAACTAATTTCCAAACCATTTTGTATGCCTCAAAAAAAAAAATTTAGTATTTTAAAGCGCTATTTTATGCCTAAGGGGTACAGAGAAAATTAAAATAAAGTGTAAATTAAAAATTCCCCATTTTCTTATGGAGAGAACAAATGAACCATTGTTGATTGTTTATGGATATAGTTTAATCACCATTTGGTATTTAGTTTATTTCATACCAAGCTATCAACATTTCAATAAAAGAACACACCCCATTACCTTCCCACGTGATTTCTCATACTACTGGGTCTAAAACTTGGGTTTCGTTTACTGGACGTGCCTGTAGCAGGTCTTGAGGTGCAGTTCGGCTTTTAACCGCTTCCCCTGAGAAGACAAGTCAATGACATTGTCTTCCTTTTCAAGGTGATAAATTGGATCATTGACTGCCTTGAACTCTTGGAACAAAGTGGATTTTGACACTCCCAGAGGAACTCGATCCAGGGCTGTGTTCAAAAGGAGATATCAGCCCAGAAATTATACTCTTAGCCACGGAATCTCCAGACTGCTGAGATTTAGCGAAGATGTCTACCCCCACACCTAGACTTCTTTGGGCCATCACTAGCATCTTTTAAGCGTGATATAAAATATCTAAAAAATGGACTGAAGCAAACAACTTTCGTAAAATACCTAAAGCAAATCATAGTTGGTCAATACTTGGAGGGCTGTGATAGGCAAAACCAACAAATTCATAACTCCAATAGTGAATTTACTTTGGGAGTAAAAACAAATACAACTGCTTTTAACACTGATAGAGGATTACAACAAGAACATCAGAGAAGAAATATGAAACACAATCAACCAACACTGCCGCCAGTACTCGACATCTACCCTGCAACTGAGTCAACGGATCTACCTTCTCTACCTGAATCCTCCGAAAGTAAACAAGAATCTGAGTTGACTGTTCTGAAAATGTTAACAATCAGACCTTTGCAAGCAATGTTTTAAACTCCCAAGTATGGCCAGGGTTACCTGTGAAGTAATTGAGCCTAATTCTAAAGCAACTAAGACTGTATTAACAAACATAAATAAGCAGTCTAGCATAACTGTCTTCCACCAAAACACAGGGCCTGATTAAGGCTCTAGTCGCCAGTAGGCTGACGTTTTTTCGCGCCCCCCCCCCTCCTCCCTACCACTAGCCCTCCTCTCTGCCACCCCTTTCAAAATTTCAAAGTATATGAAAACTAATTTTGAATTCAAAAATTAAAAATTACCAAGAAGGCATTATACTACTATTCAGTTTATTTAAAAACAAAAGAAAGCTGATTTTGTTACGCCCCCAGTCCCATCTTTAAGTCTTAGCTGTCTGGCGCCCCCCCCCCCCCCCTAAAACACTTGGCTGACTGGTGCCCTAGGCTCCAGCCTAATTAGCCTAATGGGTAATCAGGCCCTGCCAAAACATACAATGTTTAGCTACTAGAATTGATTCATTACCTAATTAATACTATTGAAGAACTAAAGCCGCAAATCATGATTTTAACGGAACATAAATTAAACCAAAATGAAATTATGACACTCAAAATACCTGGGTTTCAAGTGGCTACCCTACCTGGTTTGCTAGAACTAATTTTAGAGGAGGGGGTGTTTTAATACTGGTATCAACAAATATCAATTTCATAAATGTATCATTTAATTCTTTGACAGCACTTAATCAAGATAAAATATTTGAATCTTGTACACTGAAATTAAAATTGGGAAAGAAAAATTTTTAGTTGTGGGTCTTTACAGAACCCCATCTGAAAATGCTGAAATCTATCTAGACAAATTAAATGAACTGTTGCGAATTTTAAATAAAATTAACCGTAACATTCTACTGGGGGGCGATTTTAATATTGATGTTTTGAAGGAAGACAAAAAGAAAAAAAAATTGTGAATATAATACAAATGCATGGTTTTCAATATACTATTAAAATACCAACTAGAGTTACTGAATGTAATGAATCAGCTATTGATAATTTTATCACCAACATAGATGACAAATGTTTTAAAGTAGAAAGTTTAATCACAGCTTTGTCAGACCATGATGGACACCTCTTCAAAATTTTAAATTTAAAAAGTAAAAACAATATAAATTCTAAAATACATAAATTTGAAAGAAGATTTAAAAAAAAAAACCTGAAACCATTAAACTCTTCATTCATGATCTCTCCAAGGAGGATTGGACAAAGCTTTATAACTGTAATGTTGAAGACAAATTTACTTACTTCTATAACACACTTAAATATTATTTTGATTTACATTTTCCAAAAACTAAAATAGTCACGAGTAATGTAAATAACGGCTGGATCGATGATGAAATTATCAATGAGCACCGTCAATTAATTGCAGAGCACCAATTGTACAGGAATGATAGAAGTAACATTAAGTTAAAGAATTGTATTAAAGAACGTAAAAAAAGATATAGAAAAATTATAAAGCTTAAGAAAAAAAATCATTTTAACAATAAAATTAGGAACTCGACCAATGTTAACAAAACTGTTTGGCAGATTGTGAACTCTGAAACTAAAAGTAAAAAAGATAAGGTGCATAATAATGTTATACTAATGCAGAATGGTGCAGAAATAGAGGATCCATATGCTGTTTCAAATATATTTAACAATAATTTTGCTGATATGGTGGAACATCATGTTTTACCAAGTCTGAATAAAACCCAAACTAGTTCTGAAAATTTTGCTTCAAACACTAAGTTTAAGTGAAAAACAATTGATGAACCAATTTTAATATCCATAATAGACCAATTAAAACCTAAATGGTCATCAGGTTATGATGAAATTCCGATTAGAATAATAAAAGAATCTAAATCTGTTTTATTAAAGCCACTTTTACACGTCATTAATACTTCACTTATAACAGGTGTTTAACCTGATAAGCTGAAAATTTCAAAAATTATCCCGGTATACAAAAAAGGAGACAAAAAAGATCCAAATAACTATCGACCAGTGGCAATTCAACCAGCTCTTTCAAAATTATTTGAAAAATGCTTTCTTTTTCAGCTAGTGGATTATTTTGAAATTAATAACTTATTAGATAAAGAGCAGCATGGTTATAGAAAAAACAAATCCACCACTACAGCACTTATATCTTATATTGAAAATGTGTTAGAAAAGTTGGATGAGGACAATAAAGTAATTGGTGCCTTTTTGGATATGTCTAAGGCATTTGACAGTGTGCACCATTTAAAGTTACTAAATAAACTTAAAATGTATGGAATTGGTGGCAAAGAGTTAAGCTAGATTGAATCTTATCTGGAGGGACGCCAGCAGTTTGTTAACATTGTTAATTTAAGTGGGAATAAAATGTACCATATTAAATCTGAGGTTAGAACAGTAAAATACTCAGTGCCACAAGGATCAGTGTTGGGCCCATTCTTGTTCTTGTGCTACTTGGGAGGGATGCCAAAACATTTATTGGAACATGTAGAAAATAATACTCTGTTCTTGTATGCTTGTATGACATAAGTATGTCGATTTATGATAAGAACATGGAGCTTCTTAAAAATAAAACTCATAATTCACTCACAATAATTAAAGATTACTTTAATGAAAAAATCTTTTACTAAATGAAAATAAAACAACGTTCATTGAGTTTGAATCTAAAAAATCTAGAAAAGAACTGTTTAATAATTTTGTTCATGAAACTAAATTTTTAGGCCTCACCTTAAATAGCACACTTTAATTGGCCCTCACATGTTGACAACTTATGTAATAAAATCAGCTAAAGTATTTTTGCTATTAGACGCTTATAGGCCTGTCCATTATGCAACAGAGAAATCTTAAGGAACGTTTACTTTGCTATTATTCACTCACATATTTCTTACGGTATAGAAATTTATGGAGGAACAAGTAAATTCAATTTAAACAAAATTTTACATTTACAAAAAGAAGCCATTAGGTGTATCCTTAATCTCGAAAACGAATCCTGTAAAAATCATTTTAAAGAATTAGAGTTCTTTACCGTTTTCAGTCTCTATATTTATAAGACGATAATGTATGTTAAAAACCATGAATCAGAACTTCAAAGACAGAAAGACGTACATAATTATAACACTAGAAACAAACTAAACTTCATAACTAAAAAACATAAAAAAGAAAAATTTAAGGAAAGTCCTTATTATATTGGAATTAAATTTATGCATTCCCTCCCCAGCAGTATTAGAAACGAAAGTAGCGTAAATAAATTCAAAAATAAACTTAAGGGGTTTTTAAATGATAGTGAATTTTATAGTTTAGAAAATGTTGAACACTGTAACAAAAAACCTGTATGACTAAGCAAGTAGGGAAGTAGGCCTAGGTGAAATCATGTGAAATAGTTTTAGGTTGATGACACATTCATGTACACTTGTTTTGTATGTATTGAATAAAGATTGATTGATTGATTGATTGATTGATTGATATCCAGAGGCTGCTCTTCTGACACCTCTCTGTTTGGTTACTTGATGGAGCCTTTAAAGGGCCACACACTCAATAGTGAGGAGTAATTACAGTGATACTTAAATCTTATTATGATTTTATATGGATTGGTTTGGATTACATACCTCTTGTGAAATCTGTTCTGGGGGTCTGTCATTACCCTGAAGACGAGTTGATATTTTAAGTAAATCTTGCAAAGTGTGTGGCTGTCTCATATCTTGTACTGTGGGTTCAGTAGTTGGATTGCTGATACTAGGCAACTGTGTTTGTGAATTAGGATTGTCACTGCTCAGATTACTATTTTCCACCGGAACAAGACTAAAGTTGTTAGGCCTATTAGATGCCTCACCAGGATTTCCACTCATTGTAAAAATAATTTTGCCTTAAAGGCTTACTTCCTTGTATTTATTTTAAAACACTTCAATTGCAATGGCAATTCAATGGCTATGGCAATACCCTACCACCTACCTACCTAACTAACCTAACAATATAACATAACCTCAAAGTTGTTTATTTTGACTTTTGAGTTTTTTTCTTTTTTCTAGCAAGGAAACAAAAAATGTCATGTAGCTTTCACAATAACTTTTTTTAATATTTTGCTTAAAAAACTGCAATCGTCATAGATTACTTTTGACCCTTGAATATTGTATAATAAATGTGGTTGTATTTAGCTTATCCATATTAAGGATATAATTAATCCATAAAGGCAAGAGTGTGCTTAAGGCGTTTGAGCCCTAGCGTTGGGTTCGATGTGCCCTAATCCCATAACTTACTTACTTCTGAAAACTGTTCCTCCGATAACTCTAATACTTCGACGTCTCATAAGATCGAAATACTATTAACATTGTGACATAGCCTCTAAATCCTCCTTATGACTGTCGTAAATGCCTATATCTATCAATCTTTGTTAGCGATTAAGGACATGGAAGAAGATCTTGTTTGTAACAAGGATGTCCACTTATATCTTACAAGAAATAGAAACAATGTACATTTAAGTAGCAATAGATTGAGTAAAACTAATAACTGTTTTCCTGTTGCAGGCATAAATTTTTACAATGCTCTCCCGGAAAGTGTTCGGTCATTACGGAAGTCAAAATTTACAAAAAATGTAAAAGATTGACTCGAAACGAATCCTTTTTAAGAATCTGTTGAATTTTATGATGCTCTGATGGCTGATTGTTTTAATTTGTAATTTTTATGTTTATACTCAGGTATGTGTCACAATTTTCATTCTCTTTTGTTTTTTGTCATAACTGCATGGTTTGCTGTTTTGTTTTGTTTTTTTGCTGTGAAGATTAACTAATTTCATCATGGTTTGTAATGGTGAACATTTCATTATTTATATGCATTGGTTTGTTTATTTTTAGCATAGTTTTTTACGTTACCTATTGTATTTATTACTTACTGGTACAATAAATCTCTTGAATCTTGAATCTCTTGAATCACGCAGTGTCTTCTTTATTGGACATTTATCTAAACTACAACTTTCAAATTTAAACTCTCGTAACATTTAAACTGGAATCAAAATATTGAACATACTGATATATCGCAGTAGGTTTGTTGTTTTGCATTTTAAATTGTAGTACAAATCAAAATATACCTACTTTATTTGAAAAAAAAAAAAAGTTACACAGTGGAAAACATGAACATAGACTTCCAGTGAAACAAAAATCTAACTAACTATTGCATGAAATAAATTAAAAACAAGGTCAAATCAAAAGATACAAAGAGAATATAAAATGCATGCAGATGAGGATAACTATAAGAGAAAAAATTACAAACATTACTCAATATATAATGGTCTAGGAAGTTCTAAAAAATCGTTAAGTTTGTAGAACGGGTTCTTTAGCCACATATGAATTTTAGCTTTACAAACTTTGTAAGGAAGTGATAGCAATTTGTTGGGCAATTTATTTAGACAAATCAATTGAAAATTAAATTAAATCAATTGAAATAATAAAACTCTAGTACCAATTTTTTTCTAAATTACTAATAGTTAAATTTCAAACCATTTGTAGATTTCTTTGCTGCGAGCTGCGACGTTATGTTACTTATAGCGTTACACAAATTCGAAGTTTCACGTATTTTACGCCTTACACGGAAGAAGACTTAAAGGCAATACATTTTAGTAAATCGAAAGAAATGTAACTTTAAATTCAAATGGATTTAAAAATTATTATTCAACTTCATAAACGTCGCTGAAAGGTTTAGTCTATTTCTGCTTACTCCATGAAGTCTCAAACAAGTGCTCAAACACCATGAAATCGGCTTGCTTGAATCTTTTTGATGGTTGGTTAACCTGGTTAGCCCTAGCCCTAGCCAGCCCACTGCCCAGCCAGCGAGCCAGCCCTCCTATTGGTAAATTGGTATGGTACACATTGGATTGGAAGGACAAGGAAAGGGAACGAACGGGAGATGGGAGATGTCAATTGTTAACCTAACTCTGCTGATTGTTGATTGTTATCAAGACATGTTTTAATTGATGTTTTATTTATTTTCAGTCTATAATCTGAGCAAGCATGGACTTTGTTGATTATATGAGAAGATGTCGAAGGCGAGTGTATGAAATATGTTCCAGGTATGAAAATGTTTCTGTCACTTATATTTCCACTTGACCCTAGCCTAGGTTGGAGTTTTAGTAGGCCCCTATAAGTTTCCCCTAATCATCTTCTTATAAATACTTTTAATCATTGACATTGTTCTAGCCTATCACAAATTACTTACTTACTTACTTACTTACTCCTTCTTCATCTTTTACCCAAAAAAGGGATAGATTGCGTCTCGACAAAAAAATAAAACATTTCTTTTACACGCACAAAAGAAAAATAAGTCCACAACGTGTAAAACCGTTTAGATATAAAAAATCAATATATATACATATATACAAGTTAAAAAATGACTTCCAGGGATGATGGAAAGGATGGCTACCGCATGTTTGCTATTTCCTTATCATCCATGAACTCAAAGATGCTGTAGTAGGCTCTCTCTTTAATTAGCGACATTAGCTTGTCCTTGAGATAACCCCTTTTCCAGCCCCTAATGGCCATTGGCAGTTTGTTAAAGAACTTAAGCCCCTGAATTTGGTATGTAGCAGCTGTCTTGGAGAGCCTAACCCGGGGAACATCCAGCATGTTTCTCTGCCTGGTGTTGTAGGGATGGACCATTGCACGGGACGTAAGGTCTCTATGTTTATCCCAAACATGAAGAAGGCACAGGAGAACGTAATGACCGAAGACAGTAGGTATTCCTAGTCTCACAAAAAGGGGCCTACTGTGAGCCCGTCTGTCACTAAAGGTGATGATTCTTAAGGCCCTTTTCTGAATCTTGAGAATCTCCACTGTGCCTGGAGAATGTCCCCACAAAAGCAGTTCATATGTAACGTGGCAATGGAATAAAGCAAAGTAGACCATTTTAAGGTAGTCCTCAGTCACAAATGATCTCAGCTTTAGAAGGAGGGCGCAGACACGAGAGAGTCTATTTATAGTCTGGTCGATGTGCTGATCCCAACCTAGCCTATTGTTCAATACAATTCCCAAGAGTTTGGGAAAATTGATTTTGGTCTTCACAGTTAAGTTACTGTTGGAACATAAGTTAGTTTATTTATGTTCCCATACCTAATTTAGTTTACCTCCAGCCATACACCTAACTTAGGCCTACCTAACTAATTTTAGTTTTACCAGCATTTCTATGTTTATGCTTACCCAACAAAATATTTAGTATAGGCCTAACTTATTTAGCCTTGACTTGCTTCATTACACACGATTGTTTTTTTAGGTCTAAGGTAGACTTTGTTATTTTGTCAACATTTTGTCGAACCAAGTGTTATTTAAGTTAATAAGTTATCAAAAGATGTAGGCTACATTCGTTTTGTTGTCCTAGGCCTGGGCCTATGATATATCAACTCATAGGCGGATATTTATCATCTGACTCCCTCTTATTTACAAAAATAATGAAGCAAAATCTATCAGTATCCATAGTGGTATTAAATCTATGATTAGCCTACTCAAGGCATAACTTAGGCCATTTTGCCACTCATTTCACTAAATAAAATGCTTTCACTGGGTACGCGAAATAGGCTAAATTAACTTTGGATCTCAGTAGGCCCTAACCCTAACTTAGCCTATGTTAGAAATCCCCAATCTCCAAATTCAGTCATAGAGCAAAACCCACTAACTCCTCCGGTCTCGGAACTGGATTACGAGCCGCGCTAGTGTGGGTTAGCAGAATCTGACCGAGTATGGAAGTGGCTGACCTAACTCTCGGCAGAACTCGTAACTACCAATGAGAGGCTTTGCATGCTTCCCAATGGAAGCTAAGCACGAAGAATATTGACCAAAAGCACCATTGTTTTCAAAAGTATCGTACCTCTGTCCATATGGATCCCATAATATTGCAAGTTATTTCACAAATTAAGAACCTATGTCTATAAGTTTATTTACTGTAACTTAGTTTATGCTTTTATTCAAATAGGACTAGCCTAGCATTTAAAGGTACTAGTTTATGCGTGTTTAAGTAGATAGTTTGTTTGATTCTTCCCAAATATTTTATAAAATTTGACAAAATTTTTATTGGCAGACATTTGTTTGTTACGCTCAAATATTTTCATTTTCACTACAGCATATATAATTTAAATATATGTTTAAGATCTTACTTTGCTGAATGGGATTGTTACCGAAGAATTGTGATTGACCATAGGTGTATCTTTGAATTAGGCCTATTCATTTTCTGTTACCCGGACGCATTACGAGTTTGTATATCTTTGTAACCTACTTCGGTATGAAAAAATTAAAAATCTTAAATTATTAGCCAAAAATTTTGAAACTTTTTCTGGATATTATTTCTCACGCTTTACAAGGGTTTACTAGATCATGTACGGATAAGAACCCATAAAAGATAATGGATAACTTTCTAAGGGCTTTCTAAAGCACGTTCTATTATCTGTAGAATGGGTTTTGTTCGAATTCAACAAACAATGGTCCTATATAACATTTTGCAATGTTTAACTAGGTTTTATGTAGAAAATTAACATAAAAAATATTATTAAAATATGTTCTATTAGGATTTCCTTCAAATTCATCCTACGAATAATAGAATTGAACAAGCTGAACAATAATTACCAGACATCGTCTTTAATTTTTAAAGTAACGAATCCTGGTATCGACTCACATTACTCCAACAAATTTAATCAAAATTTTAACAAACAATTTAAGATATGGTTGTAGTTGCAAAAATCTTTCTTCCACCCATCCTACACTGAGCACTGCTTACTCATTTAGATCCTTTAAATTACTATTATTTTATATCAATCACTGGTTGTTCTTCTTTTACAGTTCAGTATTCAGGAACCGGAAGTTTCTGCTGTTTCTGGTGATCGTAATACCAGTCTTGTTTTACACCTGGTCAAAAGCAAGGCAAATGATGGGACCAACCCAGGGAATGTGGAATGATCATCCAGCTAAGTGTAAGTCCAGTAACTTCAAATTCAAAAGTTGGCTATATTTGAGTAGTGTTACTTTATGTAGATCACTAGTTAACACAGCCACGCATCCCAGTAATCTAATATTCTACAAATACATTGAGATATTTTCACTGTGACAAGAACTGATTTGACTTGGATGATCAAATTGCCGACAAATTTAACATAGGGATGGAATGTCTGGTTGTATCAATAGTCAAAGGTTTCATGTATTTATTACCGTATTATTACCCTTTAGATGGACAAAATAAGAGTTATGGGCAGTTTTAGTGAGTTCTTATTTACTTTACCTCTGTGTTGAAAAAATATCAATTTCTGCTATTACATAATGCATGGATCCATATAAAATTTAATTAGATGGAAAACTACATGAAAGTTGTTGCAGCCTACACAAAAATTACTAAAGTTTTAATGGTACTTAAGTATTATACGGAGGCCAAACTTATACACACACTGCGGTGGTTATGTTAGGCTGGGTTATCTTAAATATAAAGCATGACTCATTTGGTATCGTTCGATTCATAACGAAACGAGGAAAGTCCTACAAACATATATAAGATAACCCAACCTAACATAACCACCACAGCGTGATGTATAAGGGTGGCCTCCGTATAATACTTAAGTACCGTTTTAATCTATACCGGTACCCAAACAAATCATATGAAAATTTTGATAAGATTACCAGGCGTTGCTAAGAATTAACAGAACACTTTTGTTTCCATGCCAAACAGCACGGGCCTTGAAATCTTAACGTTTCATGGTCAAGAAACCTCAACGCACTATTCCAGCTCTTAAACCTCAGCCTTTATAGGGAGCCCTATATATGGGGGGGGGCCTTCAGGGGGGTATGTGTTTTTATGCTCATTATTTAGCGTAAACATTATGCACTTTCTGTTGCCTATTTACAATGCATATTTATTTTCCAGATCTATTAGAACTAAGCTTGGAAAATAGACTGACAGCTTTACGCCAAAGTGCTGATGACTTTAGTGCACATATTCAACATCAACCTAGACTGAGTGAAGAAAATGGATATGAAAACTTTATCGGCAATGGATTTTTTGGAACTTTTATAACTGTCAATAGCGAATCATACATTTATATTAGAAATGATAGAGTCCTCAATCTCGATGTTCCTTATCGACCGCTTGTCAAGGTTGAATTTGAACATACATTAAAATCTGCCACTGCATTGGACTATGTGAATGGGATTGGATATTTAATCACTTGCTACATGAATGATATTTGTATAACTTCCGAGTATTACGCTCATAGAACCCTTCCCAACATATTAGTTCAAGATATCGAAGTTATTAATCCAGCTAGCTACAACGCCAAGGTTTACTTATCAAGACACACCTATCACGAGAATGCGTGGCTCCATGTATCATCACTAAAGTAAGTATGAAGCAGAGCAAAGTATTGAGTAGTGGTGAGTCGGTGGCTCAGTCGGTAGCGTCGCGGACTTTGGGCCCAAGGCAGCAGTGTCGTGGGTTCGGATCCTGGTCACTGCCACTAACTTTTATCAGTACAGTTCACCTTTGTACTGTACCGGCTCACCCCTTGCTTTGCTGGATACGTTCCACGCACAGATCTGTAGTCTATGTGGACGGGCAAATGCAAGGTTAAAAGAGGCCGCCAACCTCTTTATAAAAAAAAAAAAAAAAATTACTTGTACAGATGATCAATGAAGCTGTATGAGCAAAGAGGTTTTCCCTCTTAAAATTTGTTTGCTATACAGTATTGACATAGTGACCTTAATAAGTAACATACTTTTCACCTCTAGCAAAAATGATAGAATAGGCCCTTTGAGGGTAAACAATTATATTTTCCACAAAAACGTTACCTTCAGTATTAAGAAGTTAAATAGTTTAACTGTATGTACCCACCTTGTTGTTCTGTTGGTATTCTGTTGTAAGCACTGAAATTTGGTTCTTTTAGACTTTTTAACAGAAGGTATAGGCCTAATTGTAGGCTGTTGTTATTTTGTGAATAGTTGATAATAATTTACAATCTACAAAACAAAAGGAGTATTACCTATGTTTTGAATGTGTCGTATGGTTTTTTATATAATCCTCTTGTTTTATATTTTATTTTCTCACTTCATTGCAGACTTTTAAAAAGTGACGTGGGATCAAGAAATGAATCGGAAGATTTTCATACATTCATTGGCACAGCTGCAAATGTACGTGGAGAAGAATTCTATGTTTCAATAATTTCCATGAAAATACCTACTCATTTTTATGTAAGTATCAAATGTCTGGGTTAATTTATATTCTATATCATTGCTAGTTAAATATCAGTCTTTATATATGTCTTTATTATCTTCATGTAGTGGATTCCAAACTTTAGGTTCCTGTTGATACAAGTTCAAAAAGTACATCTCAGCTTAAATTTTTAATCCATACACTTTAACACCACTACACTCAACAACACAACCAAATGCACTCCAAGCGCTTTTGCTCTAAAATTGAACGGGCTGTGAGAATAGTGTGTCTAGCAAAAACTATAGAGACGCTCTATGACCAAAAAAAGTCTTTTCGCCTTACAACCCAGAGGCCTTTGATGTTCCATGAGTTTGCCGACTAACTTGAAGGAAGTTAAAAAAAAAAATAGTATCCCAGGTTCCATTGCCTGATTTAAAGGACTTACCAAAAATGATGTACTTACATTTTGATTAGGCCTAATATTAATATGAACTATCTCCAGTCCTATGTTGACAGTCTGCATTACAAGTTGTGGGATGGTTTTCCCTTGGACCCTCTCCATTGGTTGGAGGTTCAGTTTGTTTGTTTAGGCAAAAAACCCAAACAACACAGATGGCTTTAATATTTTATTCCTAAGAATATTTGTAATTTTATATTATTATTTTTCTAGGTGAAACCTCGAAGTAAATCCTCATGGCAGATTTTGGCTGCTGTTTGTGAGTCAGATCGTGACCTGCCTACTATTGTAGATAAAGTACAGTTAAAGAATGATCTTCTTGATGAATGCACTAAGGTATATGATTAACTACAATCATAATAATTTTCATTGTATGTATTGTTTGAGCTGTTGGTTTTATTGAGTATAAAGTTTTGTTTTCACAAAATAATAGTAGTGAGTAGCAAGCTATGTTGAGAAAATAGTAACTTGTAGCTGTAACATACTTTGTTTTACAAGTAGAAGTTGTGGGAATCATTAAACGACATACAGGGTGAATAAAAAGTCAAGACCCCCCCCTCTAATATTTTTCCTAGTAAATATACAGAGATATCCTTTTGGTGGTCGAGCAATCTTAGCAGGAAGTTTCATTTTATCATTTTGAAATTTTCGAGTGTCCCCCCAAAAGGGGGGATTTGGGGGGCAACTCAAATATTTTAAATGTAAACCCCCTTCAAGTGACACCTCATTTTGAAGTGTTTACAAAAACTTAAAGAATGGTGAAAACTAGAGGTCGCTATCTCTTCTCTATCCAAAATGGTAGCCCGTCAAATGTTGTGGAAAATCAATGGTAAAATTGTTAATATTGGCTGCCATTTTGGATAGAGAAGAGATAGCGAGCTCTGGTTTTCACCATTCTTTAAGTTTTTTTAAACACTTCAAAATGAGTTGTCACTTGATCGGGGTTTCTATTGAAACATTTTTAGTTGTCCCCCGAATCCCCCCTTTTGGGGGGACACTCAAAATTTTTAAAAGTAAACCCCCTTCAAGTGACACCCCATTTTGAAGTGTTTACAAAAACTTAAAGAATGGTGAAAACCAGAGCTCGCTATCTCTTCTCTATCCAAAATGGAAGCCAATATTAACAATTTTACCATTGATTTTCCACAACATTTGACGGGCTACCATTTTGGATAGAGAAGAGATAGCGACCTCTAGTTTTCACCATTCTTTAAGTTTTTGTAAACAATTCAAAATGAGGTGTCACTTGAAGGGGGTTTACTTTTAAAATATTTGAGTTGCCCCCCAAATCCCCCCTTTTGGGGGGACATTTAAAAATTTCAAAATGATAAAATGAAACTTCCTGCTAAGATTGCTCGACCACCAAAAGGATATCTCTGTATATTTACTTGGAAAAATATTAGAGGGGGGGGGGTCTTGACTTTTTATTCACCCTGTATGTTTTTTGTTTGTTTGGTTTTCCTTGTTTTGTGTATACATACATGATACATGATCTCTCCGTCCGTAGTCCTTTGCCTTCGTCTATTTTTGGGAATAGAACTCAGCAATATTTTTAACGTAGATTTAATTTTTTTTTTTAGTTTAAGCTTTATTTTGATCGGTTCATATACAACATTGTCTTCAATACATTATTACAAGGGATAATGAAAGGGATTTTTTTACAAGGGAAAATGGATGACAATCTATGTATTATAAAGAATTGTAAGAAAGGAAATGTGATGAATGCTTGGGAAGAATTATATATTTATAAGACAAATTTAAAAATAGAAATAAGTTGATAATGAACAAGTAAATTTTTACTTTAGTTGTATTTATAAAAGCTTCTTGACCGGTAGCCAATAGTATATAAGTAGGGACGCCATCATGGTTCTTGTCATTCACCCATTGGGTCTGTAGAGGATTGGAGTGTCCAATCAAAATTGATCACCACTTACCATATTTTATAGGAGGTCACGAATTGTGGATATTTATAGGCATGCACTGTGAATACGATACTCCCTGGTGTGGATTAAAGTCCGCACTAGTGAGTACTACGACTATACACATTACTATCCTGATAATTAGACCAATTCGTTAATACCAAGGCATAAATGTGGTTCGTATTTCACTATAAATTGTAGGTCCCTTAGTTGACATTAGCTGTATGGGCTATTAATTAACAGCTGTGTCTAAGGAATATGCCGGGCTTAGTCACTTACAAGACTACAAGATCACCCTACTCATCCTACACTCATTTCCATTCTTACTTGGCTTAAAATACCTACTTTGTATGGTCGCCATTTCATTGAAAAGTATAAAAATATTAAAGTTCATGTATTTACCGTCTTGTGAGTCAACAGTACAAGTGCAAAAATAATATTAAAATGTTATTTTTTCACTTTCAAGATTTTTTTGTTTTAGCGATTGAAAACTGCCTTAAAAAGACATCCAGTAAAGCTCAGGGAGGACCATGTAAATGCATGGCAGCAATCGTGGAATACAGGTATATCAATAAGTCACTCCAAGGCATCACAGGCTTTAAATGGGGATCAAATAAATGCTACTATGTACTACGTTCTGTCCAATGTTCGCTCTCCTTTTCACGAGGAAACTGGAAACGAACCCCACACTCACAGCTTGGCTATGCTCAGTGCTCCAGGCTGCTATGGAAACATACATCACACATTGTAAGTATAAGCTTGCAACTTATTTTGACACCTATTTATTTTGTATTTATTTATTTTTTTTTAACTGTTTCTATATTTTTATCTAAAGTATCCAAGATGCTTGGTGGTCTGACGCTTACACAGTTTTCTTATTGAGATCTCAGTGCAGTTAGAAAAGCTAGTACTGTGCATTGGAATTTTAGGAAGTTTATAATTTTAATAAAATAGCCTTTAGGCGTAGTTGTAGATTAACCATTTAAAAGAAATGCAATGGTTGTTAAATGTTGTAGTGAAGCCCATAGTTTGTAAGACAGTGAATAATTCTAAACAAGAAACATTTTAAATTTATGGCTATGCTCAAGTGACATTTTCAACTCCCAGTTGTCAGATAGCTTTTCTTTCACTAGGTCTATCTTATAGTGATGCAACTTCAGGGTTCAAATGTCACAGGAACAAAAAAGATATTTCTATGCAAGAAAAACTATGTAGGCCTATCAGAAATATTCCTTCATTAAAACTTAATCTTGATTTTGAAATTGAAATATCATGCTCCCCCAGAACTACAATATTTGAACAAAATTTAAACTAAATTAAGCTAAATTTAAGCTAAATTAAAGGATCAATACTGTACCTACTGTTTTAAATATCTTTCCTCTACTTTTGAGGAAATTAGAGATCCATCGGATGAATAAAATAGTCATTACCTACTACTTAAGTTTCAAAGTGTTCCTATTGCTTTACTTAATTACACTCTTTATGTTTTTAGACAAGCTACCAATCTATGGCAAGGACTTACCTCATTCAATGAAGTAATGAAAACTGTTCATTCGTGGCTTCTCACACTAGGAAAACAGGTAAACTTGAGCTGTTTACACTGTATACTACTGATTTTATATTACATAATTGCATATATTCTATATTCTAAAGACTACTTCTTTTTCTTACATTAGTTCTTGGGCAGAGTAGGCGCCTACCCATCAGTGGCGGATCTAGAACAGTCATAAGGGGGGGGGGGGGGGGCGAACCGTGGGGTATGGGGGTTTTGGGAGTACCCCCTCAAAAAATTTGTGTAAACTAAGTCTCCAAAATGGCAGTTTATACCATTTCTTTGTTCAAAGTTAGTGTGACAAATTATTTTACGCAATGTGTATTCACTACTGTATTACATGCAGTAAAAAAATACATATATGTATGCCCGAGGGGGGGCGGTCACCTCTTCGCCCCCCCTCTAGATCCGCCACTGCTACCCACTCAAACGTGAAAACTTAAAAACCCATGAATGAGCCATAAATGTTAAACCTGGATAGAGCTGGAATTTCACGGTTAATCCTAAATAAATATAGACACGGGCTGATTCCGATCCTTGAGTCTTCTAAACTCTCTATAACGTACTACCAAGGATCCTCCATACCTTGAATTAACGAATCTCCCATGCCATTTATGGAACATCAAGGTCATCTCCTGTAATTGTGTTATCGTTGTAAAAAGATAAATTGTGTTGTTTTTTATAACTGAACTCATTGTGTTCTAAATGATAGGGTTGTGACAACTTGATTACCTTGGGAGCTTTGGGAGTGACACAAGCCATGGTCCTCAGTTTTGGAAGCTTCAGATTCAGCAAGCAGCACCTGGAATTCAACATGCATCCAAAATTTCTGCACCGGGACTATACATTTAGGTGAGTACTGGTGCACACTAATGCCTGCAAAACTGTATTCCTAATATGAATACCACTTATGAAAATCGTAGAACATAGGCCAACAGATTTTAAAACATTATTCTTCAACTGTAACAGCTTTGGATCAGTAGGTCTGTAATTGATCTTTGTCCACTTTTAAATCGAAGCACGGTTAACTTTTCAATGCAATAGGCAACCCATCATTGTCTTGAGTGTACTTTTAAGCTATGGTTCCACAGAATGCGGAATCTCCGCCATGCGGTGCGATTTTTTTCCGCTGCGGAATTAAAACGACACTGGTTTAATGGAGTTCCCATGTGTGCGGTTCCACTGACGTGCGTTTCCGCATCCCGAAATTTCGGTTCCGCATGGCGGACAAATCATACTGGTCTGAGAGCAGTGGCAGTGCGGATCCCGCCAGCGGAGAAGAGACATCAATTAATTATTGTGAACTATCCTATAAGTTATTGTGATAATTTAGTTTCCTAATATTATTTCAATAACCTTATTCTTTTCGGGGCTTGTATTTTTTATTCGTGTATCAATGAAACAATTGTTATTTTATTTATGTTTACTATCACCATCCTCATAAAAAATTAATAAGGCGATTTATAAGAATTAGGTCTAAAATTAATTGACAATAAAAGTAACCACAATTAAAAATAATTAAGTCTGAATATTACCTAATATTATTTTATGGTATTATATTTGTGTTCCATACTCGTCACTAGTTTGCACAGAACTTAATTTCCGCAACCTTATTTCCGCAGTCAGTGGAACCACCCCTCCAGATTTACGCTACGTAATTTTCCGCAGCGGAAAATTACGCACCGCACGGCGGAAGTTCCGCAGTCTGTGGAACCATAGCTTTAGTTGGAAATGTATATGTTCCCCAACCATTGCTGGGTAGCTCAGTGAGTATAGTGCTCGCCTAGTATTCAAAACGTCACTGGCTCAATCCTGAGACAAGTGTAGCTTTTTGATAGTTCAAAACTGGACCCAGCTGCCCTTGATCACCGGGCTTTTAATAAATGGTCTTGAATATTGAAACAGCTGATCTTAGTCAGTAACAAAGCAACAAAAGGCATAACACTCCATTCTACATTCATCCTTTACTCATATTTAGGTTAAAAACGCACCTAGGTGGCGTCCCCATCTCAATTGTTGATAATCATAAAATAGAAATGTACTATTGTAAGGACATTCTATTAAGATAATTTTATGTATCTTACCAGTGGCAAGAACTAAAAAGTTATCTTAAGCCTTTGTTCTTGCAGGATGAAGTTATATTTCTATAATTCTCCAATATATTTCACCACAGTGTGTGGCATGATTGATGACAACAGTTCAATCATTTTTAAAACCATTTATGATATAGAAAATACTGCACCAACCGGCAACAATGTAAATTTACGAACGATTTGGCAACCCCGCAATAGTTTCACTATAGTTCCCTACCCCAACAAAGCTTAGACTCTCAACCTGCAAAACCAACCCTCCCAGGCAGTAGGTCAGTGAACAAAGACAAAGACAGCTAGTGTGATCAGTTTTCCTTCGCGCGTCGGTGCTCGCATCCGCGAAGTCGTCGCGATGTAAACGTTCCAATTTGTGATATGTATATATGACGATAGGTAAACTGTATCATTTTGTGTAAATAGAACTTCTTGACTCCCTGAATATGCCACACACTGTGGTGAAATATATTGGAGAAATATAACTTCATCCTGCTAGGCTTAAGGTAACTTAGTTCCAAAAATTAGACATTCTATTTGCGTTGCAAAGTCTTTACATGTCTCAGTGGTAGCATCTTGGGCTGACTAGCCAGACACTGGTGGTACGGAACCAGTTGCCTGCACTATACCTTATCACCTGACCGTAGTGTTTAGCTTGCCTGTGTGACTTGAACCATCACTGTCTTTGGATCACTCACAGACCAGCAGGTCGATAGTCACAGACAGTTTAGGTTCTTTAAAAATAAATATGTAAATTTATTTATAATGTGCCTCCAGGATTGATTAAATGGCATAAATAAGGTTACTGACCTGTCGTCAATCAATCCTATAATTTTTTGGATGACTAGTTTTGGGGTTTCAACCCCATTTTCAAATCCTTTTTGTCGTCAATAGTCAAAACAATCATTCAGAACTTGCTGTTGTCAAAAATACTTAATACATAAAATAACACACAAGGAAACATTTAAATTTACAAAATTGATAAGATAAAAAATTCCGCAAGCGGTTGGATCCCTCACCGCTTGACCAATATCATTAATAATCTCAATCGGTTTATTTTCCTTGTTCTTATATTTTTAATTTTCTTTATAGTTTGCCATATTTCTTTGGATTTCTTGTCAGAGCCATTGATTTCTTTTAATATCGGGGCTGATTTTGTCTGTCTTATTTGGCATCTATATTTTTGTATCATTTGAAAGTAGAACTGTCTCATGTAATGGGTTGAGTCAAGGTCCCCAACAAGTTCTGGTCAAGGTCCGTAAATTGTTCTTGCAAAGAAAAATTTTAGTGTTCAGAATTAGTACTCTTGTAGCCAGATTAGATTCTGTGTTACTAAACAGCATGTTACACAACTAAACTGCAAAGTTTCCAGTGGCTCATTACGGACTTTGCCATTTGACATCAACTGCCGTCAAATGGCTGCCCGGATTTAGCAATTAAGTATTAATTAATGAGGATTTACTGTTTCTTCAAAATGTTATTACCTACATGTTTCTTATTTATTACGCAGAGGATACGCGTCCGGTAACCGGACGTGGATTAGGCGTCCGGCAGTTACTGTCATAACCTAACCTAACCAACCAAACTTGCTGATAGTGAAAAAAATCAAATGAAGGTTCAATTCCCTTCATAACATAAAATTATAAATGCCAAAAATTCTAACAAAAGATGTACAGTTAAGAAGAAATTACATTCAAAGCAAAATCTGTGACAAAAAGTTCTAGTTACCGATGGGTTTCGAACCGGGGACCTCTCGCATATCAGTCAAGCACTCTATCCACTTCACCACGAACACTGATGGCTGAACATCGTATCATTGTGGTAATGGCGTTCCGGGACCCCCTACCGGACGCCTAATCCACGTCTGGTTACCGGACGCCTAATCCACGTCTGGTTACCGGACGCGTATCCTCTGTGTATTTATTAACCAAAATCAAGTTTAGGAATGTAAAAAAACTTAGAAATACATTTTATTAGCATTGTGACATATTTCAGGAGGATACAATATGGCAATGGGACACAAATAAATGTAACGGTTCAACTGCAAGAAGACAACAAGGCCATTTTGTTAGTTGCGTTGGACAAGTTTGATCGTCCTTTCTTTGCCTGTGATGGAGGGTGTTTGGATGGCCCTGTACAACTTGGGTAAGGAGTTCTTACGTACAGAACCTTTGTTATGATATCAAACAGTTATTAAACTTCTATTGGACAATACCTAAATCTGGTAATTTCAAAGTAGCTGTGTATACTAACTTTATGTATTATGTTTTGAGTAGGTTTTAGTTTGACAGCAGTTTTGTTTTCTATAAAAATATCCACTTTACAATCCAATAAGGTTTTAAGACTGGAATAATAGTATAAAGGTACATTTGCATCCAACCTAATCTGTAGTAGGATTGGTGCCAGAGATATCTGCTTCAAGTTTTGTTTGAAAACCAAACCACCCAAGAAAATTAGACTCCATGTAAGACAACTGCAAGATGTGTTTAAGATACATCCTGCAACATATGCATAGAAATTATTAAAATCAAAATGTACCTTTCTGGGTAATTTTTTAAATATAATTTTGCAAATTCAGTTCTTTTCAAAGTTTTTTAGAATTCCTTGAGTGTTTTGGATTTTTTTGTAAGAAAAAAATACAAAATACAAGCTATTGAAAAGATTTTTGATCTCGTTCCAAGCTATTGGGGTGAAGCCTCAACCAAAATAAGCTGAGGTAAATGCCTTTGGATATTGTCCAACCCTGAGACAACAATTCAGCTTTAGTATCACATTTACAAGCACACTCTTTATTGTTTTTTAGTGAAATATTAACATTCCACAAAAAAAACAACAATATTTTTGCTGTTCAGTATGAAATAAATAAATTTTCCACATTTGATCAAAATATGTTCATAAACAAACAAACTACAACTGTGTACTATTTTTCCACGAAAATAACATGGGAATTTGAAATTTAGGGTTTTTTAAATTTTCTCCTTACCCATTAAGCGCATAACAGTGCTTTAACAAACTAAATGATTTGTTTTTTAAGCTCTACACAATAATTCAGGGAAAAAACTGCAATATTTTATGTTTTTCCATAAAACTCTCATTCCCATTAGTCCGATCATGCCTGTTCGCAAAATTTGTTAGAATAAATGTAGGTTTACTTGTTTGTACCGAATTGCATGAAAATCTGATCATTTTTGCTTCAGTTATCAGCATCGTGCTGACAGACACACACGCACACATAAATATGAATCTGAACGGATGGTGTTTGCGGCCTCTGAAGCCTCAAAACGAAAAAGTTAATGATACCTACAGTAATAGAATATGACCTACTGTATATGAGAAATTTTCTAAAATAAAAGGAAATACAAAACCTTACGGAGAAATTAAGGCTGAACGCTATGAACAAAATATAAATTAGAATAGAATGAAAATCAAAATTATAGTTTTATAGTTTTTACTGACTGCATTTTTTACCTATGAATAATTTACTTATATGTCTTTAAAAAATTATATTCTTTCTGACTTAGTAGGCTACTATATAATCTTTGTGTGGATGTACGTTGTGACAGATAAATTTGATGATGGTTTTAATTAATTTAATACCTATTTGTAAATGAAATTGCCTTGCAGCCAACAGAAGATCCAGTTTCCCGTAAAGTTGACAGAACCAGTAACAGCCATCCTCTATATCAGTCCAGACCGAGACCATCTTGAGGATTTACGTCTCGCAATCCACGTTCATGAAGTGGGCGAGGGTAAGTCTTTAAAACATATGCAATATATTTTATGCAGTTTAAATATGTTGTGTGTCCCAATAATATATTCTCCTGTACATGTAACTAACAAATATTATCCTCATTAAGGTATGTCCCGAAAGTATAAGTTAGAGGAATTAGTGAATCATGTATTAGATAAAACTTGTTTATTTGTTTATTTATTTGTATATTTATACTTATTTATTGTTGGCCTACTCTTGATTATTTATTTATTTTATATATTTATTACATGGTATAGCACATATATACAATGAATTTACAATACAAAACTGAATAAGCCTTATAAAAAGGCTTGTCCGTAGCGGTTCTTATAATACTAATTATCTTTTCCATCTTTATCTTGATCTTGAGTCAGTGTGAACACAAAAATATAAATATATTTCCTACTTCTTAAACAGTAACAAATTTGGCTTATGGTTGAAACAAATAGGATGTCCACTGAACCAAAACTAAGAGTGTTCTTATGTAGAAACTCTGATAAATAGCAACTCAATAGTTCATTGTGATCCCTAACATTCAAAATTACTGTATAATTGATCTATTTTATGAGGATTAGCATTGTGATATTTTGGCTTTGTTTATTTGCACATTCAACACATTTTTAAGTTTAATCAGTTTTAGTTTAATCAGCAGTTTTGTTAACAATTTTGTACATTTCAAACAAAGTACAGCCTAACCTACAATTTGCCCTTTATATGCCAGATCCTGTGTGCACCTGGGTTTCTTTGTTGTTAACCTTCTTTGCCTTATCCTTATTTTCCTTGTTAACCTTTATGTCCTTATCCAAATGCAGAGCATAAAGATAGAAACATCCCAATACCATCACTCCTTGTAAACCACTTGTTGTTGGCCAACGAAGGAAATGGAAATAACAAAATTAAGAAGAACTTTAGAAAATACAGTAGCCACAGTAAGAAGAACCTGAGAAAAGACAGTAGCCAAAGTAAGAAGACTCTTAGACCCTAAGAAGTAGAAAGAACAAAGCAGAAATTAGAAAAAGAAACAATTATATACACATTTTTTATTAAAATGGTGTAAATACCGGCTTTATGATAATCTTTAAAATTGTTCATCTCAACTAGTTTTGGCACCGAGTTGATGCCATTTTCAGGCTGTACAAGAATATACTGGGACCGTCAATTCAGCAAACACGAAACAATATATGGTTGGAGAAGGCGGAAGTTGAATCTAGACTGTAGACTTGTTTGGTGGTGTGGTATACTTGTAGACTTTAGACTTGTAATCTAGAGACTCAACTTCCACGAGCTTCGCGTCCGACTAAATCAGCTAGTATTTACACCATTTTGATATTTATCGGTTCTCCGGAGTCTATAACACCAGCCTGAAACAAATTTCAGCTTTCTCAGCAAGTATAATATTTCAATATTTCCGATAATAATTTATACATGCATTCTATGTCATTTTCCTATCTAACTTCATACCATACAGTTACATATTATTGGATCTTGTTTTCCCAAACACCTAGACTATTTCTAGTACTGTTCAGAATGCAGCTTAAAATCATTATCAGGTTATCATATCATTATTCTATTTCAGTAAGTATGCTTATACGGGATGGTGCATAACAAAGGAAACCCAAACGCTAAGAACTATTTCATGAATATTGCAACAATGATCGATCAGCTGATCGTCAAAAATTGTTGAATGTGTTGCTTCTTTTACATTTTAACAGTTTTCACGAAGGCTAGGACTATGATGACTATGGGGAGCGAGCTGGCGTAGTGGTTAGAGCGCGGGACTTCAGTCCCTGAGGTCCCGGGTTCGATCCCCGCCAAGTCACCAATGGATTTTATCTAAGTGATAGTGCCGCAACCCCTAGGTCTAGCCTGAAGTAATGTGAAAAACAATTCCAGGCTCGTGACTAGCGTCTTAGGAAAAAAAAAAGAAAAAAATGATAGCCATGCCACAGCACAGTATTCAAAATCGTGTTTGCTGTGTTGAACAATATTTCAATACCTATGGAACGTATCGAAATTATGGGCCGTCATTAGCAGCTGTGAGGGAAAGGTTTGAAGAGATTTCCGCCCAACAGTGCTCTGAGATGGCCAGCAAGATCATGGACCGAATGGAACATGTTGTTACTAACGAAGGACGACACGTAGAACATGTTTTTGTTTAATTAAGCAATTGTAAGCTTTGTTTTAGTAAACTATTATTAATTTATTTTTGGTTTTCCTTTTTTTTGCAACACCCAGTAAAACCCTACAATAAAGTAAGCCTACCACAAACTTGGCACTCAATAACCTGCCAGTCTGGATATATTCCCACATATTAGACACAGGTGTTAATTATGACCCTGCGAATGTTCTTGCGGTGAACAACACAACTGTAGCTTCAATAGTTAGACAGTACATTACCTTTAACATTCAGAACTAGTGTACTTGTGGACATATGACTCTGAGCCTCGTATACTCAGAGGAGAGATGGTCACACATAACAACAGAAGAGCTTTGCCAGCAAGTTTTTCTATCAGCACCATAACCTTGAGGTTGAGTGTGTTTCCTTCAATAATTTAAATTTATTTATTTTATTACAATCATTTGGTGTCTTAAATGTAGTATCATGAGAAATAAAAGCAAAATGTGCTATATTAAGTCTCAGTTAATTTAATTTTTATTTCTTAATACTTTTTCTTAGAGGCTTGCGAGCCTGAGTTTTGATTGAGCTGAGCTCTAGCCAAGCTTTTATATATACTGTATAATGAATTTTACATAATATACCTACAACAGTTAAATTCGTCACAAACTTAATTTTCAAAAGTATAATGTAGGGTTAAATATTGGTTTTTTAGTAACTTGTATAAAAGAATGAAACAACTTACCAAGTTTAGGATTTGAACGTCATCTCATTTTATTTGCCTTATAAGACAATGTTTTATACGTCAAAGACAAATATACAACAAAATTTGGATATAAAAAACTAATTCAACAATAAATTACTTAGTTTATTGAAAATCGTTTTCTTTATCAAAATGAACTTACTAATGCATTAGCATACATTTTGGTCATTTAACAGATATGTAGGTAAGTACTTTACTTTACAACCAAATAAATTTTATATTAAAATACTCATTTAAAAAAGAACAAATTTGAATATTAATTTAAATTCTAGTACCTCTTTATACTATCAACAACAACTACAGGGTTTAAATGTTTGTAATTGAACTTAACTTAGTGTATCTGATTAGGCTATTTCCCAAGAAATTCACAAGTTTGAACCAACATGGTTGTGTAGACATCATCATCCTCTCCCACAATCGCAAAAACTTCGTCATCCGTGATTAGCAAATCATGACATTTTTGATGTTTGCACTTTGCTGACATCTTTTACGTTAGTGATTGTAACAGCTCGGCCCGAGCTCGGTTTTCTGACTTAATGCTTGATCTCTCAAGCTCTAGGCTAGGTTCGGCTCAACACGAAAATCAAGCCGCTTGCATTTTTCCTAATAATCCGGCAAACTCAACACCAAAAATTTTTTTAAACATCTTTTCAATTAGGATTACGATCATTATTCTTTTATGTATGTAAACTATTGTCTTGTGTGTGAATGGTTTGAAATTATTGTTGTCCTGATTTCAGCTCCGGCCCATGAGCATGGCATCATTGCTCTTCACAAACATGGTCATCATCTTGGAGGTCTACCAGGTTTTTTCTGGGTATCAGTTTGTATATTAATTGTAATATTTCATTTGTTTCTATTTAAACTCATCTATAATGAATATTGTGGAAGTTACCAAGAAAAGAAAAACTTTCAAGACAAACAAAAAGTTCGTTATTCAAAGTTATAACTCGGATGAGACTTGTTTTGTACTTCTTCGAGAGATAATTCTCTAATGATAGACTGGAAGTGAATAATTTTATACAAACTTAACTATTTTTATATGCAGTTAGTCATTTTGTTATTTATTGTAAATAGTAATTTAAGTAAATGTTTTGTAAGTACTTCTTCATGCAGTGGCCTAAAGTTGTGGTGAAGTTTGTAAAGTTAGGTGTGATTTATAGTAAATGAAGATAGAAAAATCATAGCAGAAATAAAATAGATAATTATTTAAACAGACTGAAAATCTTTTTGAATAGGTTTAACAGGGAGTTTATAAATACCTTAATGTAGTGTTTGTTCCTGTTAATAAGATATAATAATCAGTAGCCCTGCAAATTTAAAGAAAACTCTGCTTTTGAGTTTGACCAAGTAGTGTCTTTCTAAGCTTTATATCGCTAACAAATAGTGCAGATATATAATTTGTTGGAACAATGTCACAGTTGACATAAGTCTCTTGTTTGTTTTGTGGTTGTTTGTTTATGAATTATTGTGATAACATAGTTTTAAGTTTGAACAATGAGTGAATTAGATGGTAGTTTTTTTTATGTAAAAAGCTATCAAAACCACACTGTGGAATATTTTCTTTGTTGTTTTTTTACCTAAGTAAGTTCAATATCAAGTTTTATCCTGTAGATATCTCTGAATTTGATTTTAAAAAACCTGGAATTTATAACATCAATAAAGATAAAATTTAGAGTCAGTCATTTTTAAAGCTATATGATCCAAAGCGTTTTTAAAGTTCATAATTGCGAAGGATAATAATTTGATTTTAATTTAGTTCAATGACTTTTTCTATGCTACATAGGAAATTTAACTTAGCGTAGGAAAAGTCAATGAACTAAAATTAAAATATTAAAATAATCAATTGAACTTAAAGTAGTGTATACATTATTTTATAATCATCTTAAAAGATCATGTTCATGATTGTGCTGTAATAATTTTTGCTTATATTTTGTCCGGAATAGTTAGTTACTCTGGTCTGAATATCAAATGTTTCTGGAACCATAAAGTATTTCTGATTGTATACATTTTTTTTTATTAAAAACCATGTTTTTGTTTAAATAATTATGATTAGTTATCTTTTTTATTGCTGTTGATTACTGCTCTGCACAAAAGCTATGTGTTATCCAAAGTAATATTAATTCTTCTCCAACCATAGCACAGAAAACGTACTACTATAACCCAGAATGCCAACCGCATGGTAAAAAGCATTAAGCGTTTTGATAGAGCTTTGCCTGTCAATCCGTAGGCAGCGCCACCAGCGTTGCTATGCTATAGCATGGCAACGCTGGTGGCGCTGCCTACGGATTGACAGGCAAAGCGCTCCCAAAACGCTTAATGCTTTTTACCATGCGGTTGGCATTCTGGGTTATAGTAGTACGTTTTCTGTGACCATAGCCATAAATGTATTGTCTTGCAGACAATGTTAGAATTATTTTAAACCAGTAATTAATAGTCTTTAAAACATTCCTTTGTACAATGTGTATGATGTTTCAGCACCTAGCAAGTAGCAAACATTTCATTTCTAACTCTTTTATCTTAACTGATTCTAGAAACTGAATCTAGTCTGTGATAAACATTGTTTGACCTGTAAAGTATTGAGAGTACCTGCTTGTGTTTTCAGACCTGAAGTAGCTCACTGGCTTTTCGTTTAAACTTGATTTAAATATGTTGAGATGTAAAATGCTTAGCTGAAATAGCTATGTTAACATGTATAATAGATAGCTGAAATATTTATAATGTTGTGATTGTTTTGTTAAAGGTCCAATTGTATTCTGATAACCAAAGTTTATTTCTTCTTCTTGTTCTGTCAAATAAAAACCCAAAGCTTTTAAATGCATTTTTATTATTCCATCTATCTTAATTTCTACTAAATATGAGAGTTTTTAGTTTGAAAACGTAAACAACCCGTCAGGCAAGTTTTCATTTTATTTAAGTTTCTTCCCATAATCAGTATGTCAAATTTAAATTATTCAAGTAATGTTTCCATGACCTCAGTTATGTGAAAGATTTCAACAATAAATGATAGCTAGTACATTGAAGTATCTTCCTTTGCCATGATAAAAATTGCACATTTTGACTTGTGAGCCATATATACTATTCAAAATGCTACAATAATGAGAATGAATCAATGTAATGATTTTTTTGTCTTTCAACAACTAGGATTGAGGTTAACATAGCTTTGACTTCTGGCCTTTGTATAATCAACTTGAATACATCATCTCAATAAAATGCCAGCATTAAACCAATAAACTTTATTACATAAAATACTATAAAATGTAACACATGTGTTTACTATCTACAAGTTTAATTTTTATAAATCTTTATTGTTCCTTTTTCATACAATGTACAAACACAGAGATACAGATTAATTTACTTTAATTTAGAACATTATCAAGCTGTACTGTGTTATAAGAAGGCCTGCTGTGTTTGGACCAAGTACTATTGTCCACAAAATTGAAATTTGAATTTGAAGCGTGAAACGGTTTTTTTTTGTAAATGAAGCTACTCAATCCAGAATTTTGCAGCTTACAAATGTTATCCAGTGTTAATCTAAGATCATGTAAAAAATCAAGCCTTACACATGATACAATAATAATGGTTTTTGAAAATTACAGGAGACTCCTCATCACTTACAAGATTCAAACTAGGTTTCAAACTAGAAAAGGGATTTAACATTGGCTCACCAACAAGAGAAATGGTTTGAGTTTGTTTCACTCGCTGCACATCCAAATGCACTTCTTTGTGTGTATATGCAGTTGTGAGTACCGGACAGTCTTGATCAAACATGCTCTCTATAGTAGGACTCCACGTGTCCTCATTGTTGAAACCAGTAGTACGATATAATCCTGGGTTGAACACACAGATCAGATGAGGCTTGGAAAACTTAGGTTTCTTAGAAAATAAATGATAAAGATCCCTATGAAACTTGAGATTCATAGACTTTTTAGCTTCTTTACATTTAGAACATACTGTAATAGTCTTTTGCTCTGGTGTAGGCCTCAATTCCGGACCGATGAACTCAATCTCGAGATTTTTCAACTCTGGGATCAAGTGTAAAATGAAGTATTCCCACTTTTTAGGTTGATTTATCTCAAAATCTGCTTCGGCACCAATAACATGAATTGTAACCTTTGTTCGTTGTCTGTCAGTTTTCATATCCAATAAAGCATTCAGTGTTGTAAGTGGATATGTTGTTATTTCAGCCAACTCAAAATACTCATAAGTGTTTTTATAGTTCAAAAATACTTTAAACAACTGCTTCATATCTTGCAGCTTTGGTAAAACTTTTGACAGTTTAGTTCTTGGTACAGATGGACAGACAATACCGAATTTGCTTTGATCTCTAATAATATTTTTGTATCGTAATAAAAACTCACACCACTTGTTGTGATCATTAGTTCGATGATCTTTACAGAATCCACTGTGTTTGCAACTGCTACAAATGTCCAGAGTTTTAGAATCATATTGGTGGCAGATACCACAAACGTTGGGAAATATGAAAATCTCCCTCTCCCATCTGTCTAGAGATCTGCCCACCTTAGCTTCACACTCCACCATGTTCCGGAACCTGAAGATCCTAAACTCTTCGGCTGAGCAGTTGAGTGAACCTTCCATAATATGGTCTGTTTGTCTGTCTGTGCATAATTCTGTTATTGCCTTACATAGATCTTTGTGCACATTCCAATGTTGTTTTCTGTGGTTGTCTGAACAGTAATTTACCAGTTTACATTTTGGACACAACACTCTATTATATAGCTCTTCTTTGCATACCTGGCATAAGGAGTGGATGAAATACTCTCTACCCACTACTCTTTCAGTGTTTAAACGGTTGTTTTCAAACAAAATTTCAATGTCAGTCCCATCCATATGAGTGTCAACTGCAGATTTTTCAGTTTCACTTGATGTTCCTAACCTTGATTCACTTTCTTCAACCAATATCTGAGTTTCTTTTGAATTACTATAGCTTATTTCTTCATCTCGGTCATTTGAGTTATCTGCTTTGTTTGATGGAGTTCTATGTCCTTTTGGTTTACTCTTCTTCCTCCCCATCTGCAAAAAAACTTATCATGAGTAATAATTCACTTCAACTTTGATAGATTTAGAAAACTGTCATCACGTGTATCTAAAGCTGCATGCTCTTCAAGGGTGAATGTACAACCAAACAGATTTTAAATTTTACTAATTTATAAAAGTATTTTCTTACCAAAGGCTTATTATTGACAGAAATATACACAATAAAACCAAAAATATGTATAATTATTCCATTTTATATTGAATCTTATAAAGTAGAACATACAGTGCAACCATGATTTTGAGGGGATTGGGGTAGCAGGCAAAACGGGGATCAACCTAGGATCAAAAATGTGTACATTAAAAAAATGTTTATTGTAAATACTTAGAAGCATTTCCCAGATTTGTTTGGTTCAGATACACAAAATTATATACACTTGTGCAATATACTGTGATTTATTATACAACCACGTCACAACACAATTTATTTGCCTGTTAGTGATTAGAATACAAGGGCGTAGAAGCCAGTGACTGGGCGATCATTAATCACGAGAAGCATCATAAGAAGAAAGTCAAGGAACAAGTTTAGACGATTTTACAGGTCAAAACTCCTACTAAAAACATACAGGCTTTTTTAGTCCTACTGCTGATTTGAATTAGTAGTTACAAAAAAAAACAATTTTTGAGATTCAAATAAATATTTTTTTAGATCAGCAGCATTAATATTAAGCATATTTTACATCTCCCATTTACAATGTTTACTCAGTATGAAGTAATTTACTCAGAAATTATTATCTTGTAATCTCTTTCGAGTTTATTTTGCACATTTTACCGTTAAAGAGAATGTTTACAGTCTACCTAGTAGTATCCTAGGCTTTCTGTTGCTGGCATTTGTTGTCAGTTGTAAGATGCAGACACAATCACTGCTATTGTCTTTTTGTTTTTGTACTTGATTAAATTATATTACATTTACATAATAATATTTTGCTAGAGCTGGTCTAGACACTAGAACTGCCAATCGGTCATTTTATGGCTACTTGGGTCCTCTGTGAAGTGCCATGGGTAATACAGATCCAGTATTTGACATATACGAGTATTAAAGCTCATAATTAACTTATTGACTTATTAAGCATGGATGTAAAGTTAACGATGTTGGCTAGCAGGATAGCCATTCGGTGGTATATTTTATAGTGTTAGCGGTTGGATTCTTGTTTCCTTTGTCTGCTGACTTCAAAATTCAAGGTCAGTTGATTTTATAATAGTCATTTATATTAGTCATATCAGTTTTATTAGTCATAAAAAAAAACATTTAATTTTGTCGAAACATGTTTGACAAACAAGACTTATTTTCAGGTAGAGAAGAGTTCATATAAAATGTATATAATAAATTTTATATTTAATTATGGTGATGATTTTTTATGACCCATAAGAAATACATATAGTAACTTCAAACTACATATAGTTCAATAGTATAAATATAGGCCTAGAGTATGAACATTTTTGGTACAACCTATTAGTAAGAGGTTATAAATTTAAATTAGGTTTTATTACTATGCAAATAACATAATAATTATCTGTATTTCTTCCTGAAAAAAATAATTTTTAATAATATAGAATAACCATAATTAATAATAATATTTTTATTTTTTATTCACCTTGAAAATTCATTTTCATTTCACCTTGAGCTGATGAGTAATTTTATAAACAAAAATAAACGGTGTCAGGAATCTGACACATACTTTCTCCCATTAGTTTGTTAACAACCTTTATCATGGGTAAGCGGTGGGAGTAACTACGATATTTTATAAAACAACAAAAGCTGCAATAACTTTTGAATTGTAATTTTTACTGCAATGGGGGATTGAACTATTTTGTTTAGAATTATAAAGGCCATAACATACTAATTTTAATTTAATCAAAACCGGCTTTTAAAAAAATCAGATTTTTATGTTATTTTATGGGTTTTTATGGTAAAATAAGATTAGTTACAATATCTTTTGAGCCGTAATTTGTACACTAATGGCAGTTGTACAATTTTGTTCAAAATTTAAAGGACTATAACATACTATTTTAAACAAAACCAGCTTTTATAAAAAAATTCAATTTTTTTGTTATTTTTTTTTTGTGTGTTTATTTTATTGGAAAAATAACATTACAGTAGTTACAATAACTTTTGAAACATAATTTTTACGGCAATGGGATTTGTACCATCTTGTTCAGAATTTGACTATAACATACAACATTTTTATTAAAATCGTTCGGGCCGTTATTGAGAAACTTGGATTTTTCTGTTATTTTATGGGTTTTATGGGAAAAATCACCATTAAAAATAAATACCCCTGCCGTAGCAAACCTGCCGACTAAGTGAATTTCCATTTGTCTGAATTGATTTTTAATTAATCTATTTAAATAACATTAGGTTTAACACGTACCTAGGTTTGCTGCTACAACTAATAATGTGTGGTTTTTAGTAAACTATTAATAGCTTAGTACAAAATAAATAACTTTGCCAAGTTTGATAAAACAAGCAAACTACAACATTTTACAATATTTTCCATAAGAATAACATGGGAATTTTAAATTTTAGAATTTTCTCTGTTACCAATAACCGTATAAAACACTTTGATATACTAAATTATTTGTTTTTTAAGCTCTTTAAAAAGGTCTAGAGAGAAATTGGGAAATTTTGTGTTTTGAGAGTCGAAAATGAGAAAAACCAAATTTTACCCTATAAACCCCCCGTAAAACCCCGTTTCCATTGTCCGATCATGCTGGTTTGCGAACTCATTCAAGTTTATCCCGCCTTACACCTTAAAACCAAATTTATATATACATATAACTATATATATAAATTAAATCGGTCCCGGTCCGGGCCCACCTACGGTAATAGCTACTTCCCTATAGGGAAATTCACTAAAATTAAAAAAAAATGCCTGGAGATACCATGGATTAATACCTACTTACATAATTTCATCAAAATCGGACTACAGGTGTGGTCTGTAGCCCTGTACACATCCACACATACAAACACACGGACAGACAACTTTTCAAAAACCACTTTTTTGGGATCAGAGGGACCCAGAATGGATATATCCACTCAAACTCGAAAGTTTTGACGAAGACAATAATTATTTCCAAATTGTATAAAATATTTTCCATGAGATGTATACAATGAAATGTATATATAATTTATTGTGCATTTTTGAATAGTCCATAAAATATACATATATAATATGACATTTGGTACAACCATAAATAAAGAGAACATCAATCGTGGTTAAGTTTTATCACTATACTAAAGGGATATGTAGTAGAAACATGTGTTGACTGTTTTAATGTGTAAACTCTAAGCTTTTCTACTAAGATTTTTCCATGTTAAAATGTATACAGGTTGAGTTATAGACAAAATCGCTCCTATTTTAAACAGTTTTGTCTGTACAGAGGAATTAAGCATGATTGATTGTTGCTGAAACATGAAATATTTCTTTTAAGACTTAGTTTAATCAGAATAGCTGATTCACTTGTCATAAAAATTAGTCTTAATGTGGAAAAGAAAACTATAACCTTATTAGTCCAGATCATGCCAACCCTTTCATGAAATCATAGGCTTAAAAATAAGGTCTTGAGAATATTTAAATTCAATACTAATAAACAGTGTCTTAGCAAACAACATCTGCCGTTGAAAAACTTTAATATAAGTTGGATTGATACATTAGCAATATGCATGTGCTTGCAACAAATCAAGATACGATACATCTACACACTTTCTACACATTTTCTATAGTTTGTTGGGATTTGAAAGAATGTTTTTTGGAATAATGCCATTTGACTAGACACTAGGGTACTAAGTAATGTTAGCCCATTAGTCAAACTTCTTACAGAGTTGGCATTCCTCTCACCGACAGATATTACACTCTAACTGTTTTTTAGGACTTCTAAATCTAGTGTAGGCCTATATTTAGGGAAATAGTTTTCAAATTAGTATATCATCCAGGGTCTCGTACTAGAGGTATCAAGAAAAAAATTTTTCCATCAGGGATATTTAATTATTTTTTCACGATTCAAACTACAATCTAACATTAAGCAAGACTGTGTGGACGAGGTTTAACAGATTTTACCCACAACGCCTAAAACTACTAGGATATGTCTATGAAATACATCAAAAGTTTATACCATAAAAAAATGAAAGACAAACAGATAACTTTTCGACCATATGTGATTAAATGAAAATTTTTTCTAGTTAAATTTTTTAGTTTTGTCACAATATTGTGACGTTTTAATGCAATATTTAATATTCTTTTAATATACTATACTATAGCTATTTCTCAAATTGTTTAATTGTATTCTTTTATAAGCATATGTAATTAAATATAGAATATATTCAAATGTGTACCAAAATATGAAACCAGAGTAAAAGTATTGAACAACAGATCAATAAAGTATATTTGGTTCTTTAATATTAAAATCACAATGTTGTTGTATTAGTAACTTAGTTGTATTTTATCTGATGTGTGTAACATCCAGTAGATCTTTGTAAAAATTAGGAATATGTGTGTATTTGCTATGTGGAATAAAGCAATAATTCATTCACTTGCTAATTCATTTTCAAAATATGAAACTCAATTTATACTTACTTGAAGATTATTTAAATCCGTTCAAATGTATCCAACTATTCGGGAGGCAGTGGCACTACAATGGGCAGTTGAGTTGGTTAGTGGCAAGATCCGCACAGGACTGGACAATCATTTCAAGAATTAGTGTGGCAGTGAGCTGTTGGCAGAGGAAGATAAGAGTCCGCCAATAGCTGATATATCCAGCATGCAACGCAAACACCAACTTGATTTTATCAAACATGTCTTTTTTACTGTTGTTCAAACACTCTGAAAAATATATACTTTGGCTATGTAAATTCTTATCCTTTTTGGGATAGCTTTATACGATAAAAAATTAATATATTTTTAAACAGTGAAAAAAAATTATAGTTCTTGAGCAATATATTTTTGAAGACATTGTAATTAAAAAAAGATCCAAACAGAAAATCCACAAGTCATGGAATTGCAACAAGCCACCCCTTACCTACAAAAATTTGAAGTTTCGCAGGTTTAAAACCGTCCAAGGCAAGTCAGAGATTTATCTTCTATGATAACAATTTAAGACGTTTGGTAAATTACTTACATGTTATACATTTTAAATTTAAAATTATATAAAATGAAAAATGAATTAGGTACTCAGAATTAAAATTATTGTTGTAACAATAACAAAAATTGCTATAAATAAATCATCTTCAAAAGATTAGTTTGTCTTATACAGAGTGTCCTGGAACTCTCTACCAAAATTTTAGAGCATTGTTCCTGAGTTAGAAACATATGTAAATACCATATATAAATTGGCCGGAAGTCCTTATTTTGTACACAGCCGCCATTTTGTTTTTTTCACTTATTTCCTTTTTTTAAAGATCGGTTTAACATACCAAGTTGAAACTTTGCACAAACATTAATGACAACCAAACAAAGCTAGAAAAAAATTATGAAGATTTTCCAAATTCATAAAACAAAATGGCGGCGATTTAAATTTTTTTTTCTTAAATAACTCAAAAACCGTTGATTTTATAAAAAAAAAATCAATGGCCACCATTTTGTTTTATGAATTTGGAAGATCTTCATAATTTTTTTCTATCTTTGTTTGGTTGTCATAAATGTTTGTGCAAAGTTTCAATTTCGTAAATTAAACCATTCTTTGGAAAAAAATTAATATGTGAAAAAAACAAAATGGCGGCTGTGTAAGTAAATAAGGATTTCCGGACAATTTAAATATGGTATTTACACATGTTTCTAACTCAGGAACAATGCTCTAAAATTTTGGTAGAGAGTTCCGGGACACCCTGTATAGTTGCTGGATTAAAACTGTTAATTCATTATACTAACAAAAAAATTCCAGATTAAATAATGGTTACTGTACTGAGCTTTACTTTGGAAAGAATATTTATTTTTCCTCAATTGTAATCCGTTGTTTGGACTACAGCCAATCTAGGACTGATGACAGATACCCTGCTATTATAGTCCCTTTGTTGTAGCAGAGCTTTCCAATGTAAATTTAGAACTCAATTTCCCACTATCAATGTGACTCATATTTTAACACTGAATTAAAACTGATTTCAAAAAACAAAATAATTAAGAAATAAAACTTAATTGGTTGTGCATTGTCATTTAAGTTTCCTTATCAGAATAGGTTAGGAGGTTGGATATTAGTTGTACCCTACAAAATTAACTTACATAGAAATTATTATATTTCTAGTTACACTCACAAGATTGATAAATGCTGTTAATAATATAAATAAGGAGTTAATGATTTTGATGAACAGCATATAAATGTAGTCATAACTCAAGAATCTTTATTAATTTATTTGCACAAAAAAGAATCATTTTAATTCTACAGAAGAAAAGGATCAGCCGTAGTTTAGTTATAGCTTAGCTTGCTGAGAGAAACATGATATCATTTCAAGAAGCTAAAATACATTACAATACATTACAAAAGTAATGTTTAAGAATTGAGGACAAGAGTTGACAGAAACAATCAAATGCAACAATGGAATTAAATATAACAGTTCAACCACACAAGTTTGTGAGTTACTTGCATGCATGGAGTTTTTTCTTGTTATTGAAGAGAACATTTTCAACGTTGCCTTGTTTTAGAGAATTTCCCATACAGGGAGTATTAGCGAATTTCCCATCTAGGGAATATTAGCGAATTTCCCATCTAGGGAATATTAGCGAATTTCCCATATAGGGAATAAGCTATTACCGTAGTACTCATGGTAAGACCTGGACCCAAGACCAATTTACTTTTTCGTTTTGAGGTCCCTAGAGGCCAAAAATACCGTCCATTCAAATTCATATACAGGGTGTTTTTTTAAAAACTTGCATCTTTATTTATATAAAAACCGCAATAGATAGAAATATGCAGTTGGCGGGAATCATCTATTGACGTAGGGGGCACAATTTTTTTGAATTCAACGTTACATTCACATTCCCCCCCTTTCCCCCCCCGGCCACCAACTTAATTTTTTAAAATAGCAAGGTACCCCTTGTGACATATCAAATAAAAGAGCATGAAAAAAGAAAATGTTTGATGAAAAAAAATTTAAAATCGGTTCTTAAATTTGCGAGATATTCCCCCCCTCCCCCCCCGTAACTTAATTTTTTTTAAAGCAAGGTACCCCTTGTGACATATCAAATGAAAGAGCATAAAAAAAGAAAATTTTTGGTGAAAAAAAATTTAAAATCGGCTCATGAATTTGTGAGATAATCCCCCCTCCTTTTCCCCTACCCATAACTTGTTTTTTAATAGCAAGGTACCCGCCCTTGTGACATATGAAATGAAATAGTAGTTTACGCAACGATTGCGTTAAGTGAGTCTTTACGACACGAGTAGAAAATTTAAGGCACGAGCCTTGGCGAGTGCCTTAAAAACTTCTACGAGTGTCGTAAAGACTATTAACGCGAGTTGCGTACACTACTTTACCTACGACCGTTTTTTAATTACTATCAATCTGGATTTAATTACTAACAATAACTACTCATAACTTTTTAGAGAGGTTATGTTTTCTTGTATTGTCATTGCCACTGAAAGTGATGCAACGACTTGTTGTATAATCAGCTGATTTCCTGTAATTACGTGTTTGTTAAACTTCGTTAAATATTACATTACTAGCAGCATTCTTACCATAAATAATATTGTATCAGGTACAATTCGGCAAATATTTCATTTATTTTTGGACTTCCACCAACTTAATTAAGAATGCGCGAGTATCAACATGAACAAGTCGGATCAACAATTAAATTGGTCAACTGATCAGCTGATCAGCTGATTAGTTGACGTTCGAAGCATTACAATTTTAATTCTTTTCTCTCAATACTTGAACCTCATTGGTCCGTTACCTGTGTGGATATGAGAAAACTATGCGGATATGAAATGAAACTATGCGGATATGAAAGTAAACAGCTGTAAAGTGAAACTTTTCAATTCTAAGAACTGGACTGAAATGGCTACTTTAAAAAACGGTCGTAGGTAAAATAAATTTCACCAAACATTTTCTTTTTTCATGCTCTTTCATTTGATATGTCACAAGGGGTACCTTGCTATTAAAAAAAAATTAAGTTCCGGGGAAGGGGGGGGGGGAAATATCTCGCAAATTTATGAACCGATTTTCAATTTTTTTTCATAAAACATTTTCTTTTTTCATGTTCTTTCATTTGATATGTCACAAGGGGTACCTTGCTATTAAAAAAAAAAATAAGTTGGGGGCAGGGGGGGAATGTGAATGTAACGTTGAATTCAAAACAATTGGGCCCCCTACGTCAATAGACGATTCCCACAAACTGCATATTTCTATCTATTGCGGTTTTTATATAAATAAAGATGCAATTTAAAAAAAAAACACCCTGAATATGTGTCCGTTAGCACGATAACTTGATCAGCAAAAATGATCCGATTTTGACAAAATTTGGTATAAGCGTGTAAACCTACATTTATTCGAACGAATTCGCAAACCAGCATAATCGGACCTTGGGAACGGGGGTTTATGGGGTAAAAATTGGTTTTTCCCATTTTTGATACAAAAAACATAAAATTTAGCAATTTATTTACAAACCATTTTGTAGAGCTTAAAAAAACAAACAATTGAGTATGTTTAAGCGTTATTATGCGCCTAATTGTTACTGAGAAAATTCCAAAAAATTGTAAATTTAAAATTCCCATGTTATTCTTATGGAGAATAAGTAAACTGTTGTAGTTTGCTTGTTTATGAACATATTTTGATCAAATTTGGAAAATGCATTTATTTATTACTAAACTATTAACATAAAAAAACACACTTTACCCTCCCTGTTGCAGCAAACCTAAGTACTCGTTAAACTAATTCTATTCAAATAGGGAATAAATGTAATATTTTTAAGAAGACATTTTAGTGTAAATCCAATCAGGCAAATGGAAATTCACTTAGTCTGCAGGTTTGCTGCGGCGGGGGTATTTTTATATCTTTATTTAATGATGCATCACTGGAGGAATCACTGAGTTCTACTGACTATTAATTTAATCATACTTGCAGATATAAGATGATTGGTTGAATTTTAACATACCCACATCTCACACCTATCATCTCTACATATCTTGCTGAAAAAGTGCACTCAGTGTGTTTTGAGTTGGTAAAGATGCAGGTTCTGGTACTCAATGGACATTGACTATACATTTCACATGGGTATGAAATGTCTGTTTATTCAGATAAAAGTCAGTGATTAAATCTTTCATTTGTAGTCTTAAAAATACAAGGTGAGTTAAGGAGTTTATTAGTTTCACCCAATCCAAATTTCAATAATTACAGAGTGATTTGTTGTACATAATCTATGTCACTTGTTGTATTTCTGAAATAAACTGATTTGATATTGTCCTAATCAAATCACAAGTAAATTTGGGAATAATTTAAAATTACATCCCTGTCAACAGTATTTTATTTTTAACTCGTGTGTGTTTTTTTACGCCAGTGGCTTTTTTTTATCTTTTGAAAGGGAACGGTCCAAACCATGGTCTTGTTACTATCTAATGTTGACCTTTTTGTTAGATAGCATTATTAATTCATAGTATCTACCAAACAACGGTTTTTAATCGGACATTATATCAAGTTGTCCAACTGCCCAAAAGCAATAACAACATTTTCTATGTCAACACATTGAGGAGTTTCAATTTAAATGATTTCAACATAACGTGTATTAGTATAAATATTTATTAGATTGTAAATCAAACACTAACAATATTATTAGATTTAGTTCATTGATATTTAACATTTAAATCTTATTTTAGGAATTAATTCATTATACAAACAAAAGTAATTACAACATTAAACCTAGAAGTAGACTTACAAGAACTTTAATTATAACTAGGTAATATCTCAGTTATAATCTATAACAAGCTGTAACCAACTGTAGGTGGAAACATTATTTAAAGACATTTTTACAATTTTTATTCTATGTAATTTTCTCTTGTAAATTACTGTAGTTGCATTCGGTCCATTTGGTTAAAAGTGATTCAATAAAAGGTCATTTCTTGTGCAATTATACAAACTGATGTCCCCTAGTAAAACTAAGACATTTGAAGAGTCATAATTGACCATTTAATACTCGGCAGTTAATAGCTGGCAGTAAGTAAACGGCAGTGAGATGGCAGTTGATCTGTCATCTCGGTTTAATAGAAAAAAATCATACGGCAATTATTCATGAAACCATGCTGTTGATTAATCTTAAAAGATTTTAACTAACTAAATTTGTAGGCCACCATAGCACCTTTTTTCATTTTTGCAATAGAAATGTAAGCCATATTATTTTTAAAGTATACTTTTAATCATATTATTATTGGAGCTTGGAGACATAGTGGTATGAGTGTAATGATCAGTAAGAATAACAACTGATTGGCCTGTTGACGAAAAAGACATCACTGATGTGTGGGTAAAGATCATTCAGTTTTATGAGACATATTACATCATTATGTAAAATAAATGTTCATATCATACATAGTCTAATAGCAGTTTTTATATAAGTTATTTTAATTCTGAATTATTATTTTGGCAAATAATGTCTAAGATATCAGAGGTGAATGAAATTTTTTCTATAAACAATTACATTTTATAACCTATTGCTCTTAACGAACTAATATTAAAGCAGCTTAAAAGTTATGTATTAATAAAATATACAAGATTTCGGAAGGAAAATCAAATTTATAAACCTTGTAGATGTGTTTGGATAAGGGACAAACTTTTATAATAGACAACCAAAATATTGTTTCTAGATTGAGATCAGATAACAAATTGTATATAACTCATTAAAATCTAACTAATTGTAATTTTGAATGTTTCAATATCCTTTAACTGTTAAAATAAATAGATGAAATTTGAGCTTTAAGAGAAGGGATATAACAGGGTGACGGACGGTGGAGAGATACCCAAAACCGAAGTGCTAGAAAGTCGTGCAAACCCCTGGAGAGGAGATCTCTCGCAACTCGAGAGCCCCCTCCCCCACCGTCCGTCACTCAATTACTCGCCTCGGCTACAAGGTACAACTGGTTACAAAAAGCCGGCTTTGAGCTATCTAAAGGCCTATCACATAACACCGGTCCATTCTTGGGAATCTAAAGTCTTTAGAGTTTAGCCTCTCAGCACAAGTTGGAGATATCTTCTTTGCTGAGTGTGTGGCCGTTCTGGGACATGGCAATGCTTCTGAGGCTGCGGGACCGTTCAAATAGACTCGGGTCTGTGTAGATGGGCTCACTGGGGTCCTGGAACATGTTGCCATTGAGGATGGAGGACACCCCTGGCAGCCCCATCTCTGAAGCTCGAGGTCCTGGCTCCGCCACAGACCGACTTCTAAAGTCAAAGAAAACACCATCTTTATTCCAGTTTTGTACTTCCTCAAAGCAAATAGTGTCTTAGAGATCTTTTAGAAGCTAGCGTCTATTTTAATAAAATATTTGATTTTAATAGTCAAGGTTATGTTAAAACTTGACAACTTGTTTTTGTCTTCTATTGTTTAAAGCTGTTAGATAATATTTTGATTTACATCCTCTGTATGTGTCAGTTACTTTATTAAATTGTTTTATGTTTATTTTTAGTTTGTTTTTAGAAATACAATTGTCGTTACGTATGTGAAATGACGAGGCTTTGGCAATTTCCCCCCTACGTTATACATTCTAAAGTATCAAAGACATAATCTGTGAATATTTTTATCTATCATTTCAGCCTCTGGATTGCTTATATAATCAAATAAATAATAAAGTCTTACCTTAATAAGGTACAGCCATAATAAGGATTGCTAAGGTAAGACTTTACTATTTATTTGAACATTTTTAGTTTACCGACTCATTTTACTGAAACACTTTCCTACGCCCAACACATTGAATCTCATAGGCATATTTTGATAACAGCCAATAAGGGTTTAGTAATTATTAATTCAAATAATGAGCCAACTTCTATTGTGTCACGTACCTCGTAATAATTTCAAACATTAATTATAAACACAAAAAATGCAAATTTTAGGTTCTTGAAGCTAATTTATCACACTGCTAAAACTATGGATTGTAGATGATAACAATCGTTCACTAGATGCAACAACATAACAATACCACACAATAAGTATATTTGGTTGAACATATTAGAATACTTAGAATACACGCTGGTACATATTTCATTTGTGAATTTTAACTCACCTCAGACTAAAGAAGGTTTTTTGAGGTCCAGGATTCAATAGAGAAAATATGCTGCTCTGCCTTCCAGAGGAGACATCCTCATGGAGGTGGCTGCTGCTGTTCGCTAGTTTATTTTTCTTTGACATCGTCCAATATCTCCTGAAAAGAAAATATAGTGCTCGTATCAATAAAAAAAGTTATTCTGGAAATAGTTTACTTCATCTTTTTTTAATTGCGATTTTGTAGGAAATTTACATTTCAAAATATTATTGTTACTTTAAACAGTAATATTAGTTGCTAACAGTAAATTTAAAGCACTAAAAAAAAAAAAAAAAAAAACACAGAATAAATGATGATAAAGGGTAGTAATGAATGTGTTGGTTCTGGTTCACAATAGTTGTATTTTTTTAACCTAACTAAAGCCATTTTGGTCCATTTGTGTTATCTTATTTACATTTTTGATTGACGGTTTTTTGTTAATAATCATAATTGTTAGTTATCTTCTAGTTACTATTAAATTTCACTTTCTCATGCATTTTAAAAATTAGCTAAATGTTCTGGCCAAACTTTCTGAATGTAGCTGTAAAACCAAAGATGTTAGCTTACTAACTTGTAATAAACAGCTGATGAGGTGACAGAACCAATTAGGAGCAGGAACAAAAAGACTAGTGTAAACACCAGTCCGTAATATTCCCTGGTTGTGAGACAAACGTTTTGCATAAGAAGTCGTGCAGTCTCTGCCAAACGTTCTTGCTGGGGCATGTCATAGCGTGATTCAAACACCTGTCAGACAATAAATAAAATGAATACTGTTTATTAAAAAAACACAGAGGCGGAATTCTTTGATGTGGTGTGTTTGATCCGTGGAACATTTGAATCAGCAACAATTGGCTCAGGTACCTCAAATCAACCTAATGTTGTACACTTAAGTACTGTTCGTAGAAGTCAAACTCAAACTATTACATCAACCTGGACTGATTAAAATATTTTTGTTTTGCTTGCTCACATATTATATTCAATATTTCATAGCTTTTGTAATGTATGATAGCACAATCCTCCTGTGTGTTTTATATTTTAATGTGCATATTACAAAGGCACTAATTACACTGTAATGTTTGTGGGTAATCAGAAGGTCCACTCTCTAGGAACAAATAGGACTTTGAGTCAACTAACCTCAATCATTTCCCTGACTTGCTCCTCTTCTTCAGTCGAGTTGTCTGCTTTTCCCTCCTCAACCACTTCAGTGGAAGGTTCACTATCCACCTCCCTGCGCTTCCTCCCAAGGGAAGGCTCGTTCTTACCAGATGGAGCCGTGCAGTATGCCTGAGAAAACAATAAACCATTAGGGTTAAAATTTGAAATAAAATTAAAAAAAATTTTGTCCCAACAGTTTAGCAATAGTTAAGTTATTTATTTAAAATTTGAACACTTCAAATCATGCCAATAATATTGTGTGCTGCGACATACATATATTTAGAAAGGAGGAACTTTTATCTTACCGGCTGACATCCTTCTCGGCAGGTTTTTACCGTAGCTTCAAACACCAAAAAGTTAGATTCTGGGATTTTGAAAGCGTTGAATCTGGCCTCCAGTCCATTACCCTCTCTGGCCCTGTCTAGCCCTGGAAAGACGTAGTTGTCCACTGGGCACCTGGAAGTCAAAATGATTTGATTCATATGTTTTATAAATTTAACTAAAAATCTCATCAAAATATTGACCTGAAAAATAATTTTTTGTTAATTTCTGTTTGAAATATATGGTAGGGTAATTGTACTGTTTAAACCAAATCTTTCCGAATATAAACAACAAGAGTAAAATAAATAACAATATACCTGCCCACCCTAGTAGGAATAGGTCCTCTTTATATCAAGGACTTACTGATCTGTTAAGGATGCCATTTGTAAAAAATATTTAAACAAGAATTAAATATATACATTTATTTTAAGTCAACTATTTCATGTAGTACGTCTTTAAACTAAGTATTAATAAAATTAAATTGCATGTATAAACGAATAGACATGAAATTTATTGAACATTTATGATTTAGCACTTTAGCAGTAAAGTAACATCAGTAGTTATTATTAGGTTGATGTATGAACAGAATATTGTTCAACCACGTACCCAAACCTATCTATGAGTTGTACTGAGCGACCAGAGTAGGGATCACGAGCGATGACATTCGTAGCAAAGATGTCGGTAGCATAGTTGTATCCCTCCTGCGACTCTAATCGGAACGTAAGGGGGTCTCCAACGGCTATGGTGTTGGTCGGACGGTCTTGGAAGAGAATGTACAGTCGCACTCGTGAACTGAGAGAGTTCTCAGCTGGTAGATACTCGATTGGAATGGGGCTTCCGGAGCTGTAAGCCATTGCAACATGGTGTTAACTTTCTAAATAATAGATATTAAACATTGTTGAATTTTTTTTTCAAATTTAAATATCATCTTTAAAAATATATATTAAATTTGAAAACTACAGACAGTTCTTTTTTTGTTTATATGATGAGGTGTTAACAAAATCTTTAGAATACAATGACAACTTTCTTTTCATTTAGCCAAAGATAGAGTGAAGTATTAGTTTACTAGGTAAAGTAATGTAGAAGAAAATAATTAAATCTTAATTAATTAAAGATTAAATGTTTGTTTACCCTGTACGAAAAACCATGAAAACAACTATGATGAAACCATGAAACTACCATTTCAAAGTAGCCAGCTTAATTTAAATTAATCATTCATTTATTAGCGGAAATTTATTATACAGTATATTACTTTGCTACCAATATTATGATTGTTTAAGTATGTATCGATCAAATCCTGTCTTCAAGTTTTCGTCAAATTCAAGTAGGTAATAATAGTTATGTATTCAACAACATGTATTGGAACAAAATCAATATTATGAAACTATTAAGCTAACGTCAGTAAACAATTGTCATTTTAAATTTGCACGTATATTGGCAATTAAAGGAGTTTGAATGAGGAAAATCGTTTAAGAGATTGAAATGGCACATACTTGGCAGTCATGTAACTGGATGTGACAACGGCTTCGCCAGGTCCTCGAAATAAACATGTGAGATTGTAGCGCTTGTCCCTGCCTGTCTGTACGTAATCGCTGAACTGCACCACGACGATGTTGGTCATCGTATCACCATACTGCAACAATCAATAACTAATGTACCTCACATATTGAAATTCAATTATCTATCTAAATATTTTTTCACTTATATATTGTACCGTTAAAAATACTGCATACATTTTTGATAAAAACTAATAAAATTAGTTCGGTTATTCAAATTTTAGTTTATCTTTTAATTTTAAGTTTGTTTGGTATTTTAACTTAGTAGCTTTTAAAAAATTTCCCCTATAGGCAAACCTAAATCGTGCCTTTTACTGTAGGTAGCATGGTAAAAACATAGTCATAGAACAAAAAGGAAAAAAGAGAATTTTACATGTTCTGTACTTTTTAATCTCTGTTTACATTGCCATTTATTTTCTGTCATCATTGGACTTTAGCAAAGATCTTATGAAACGTGTGCAGCAGCTTTTCATGAAGTGCCTAAAATTATGAATAATATAAAAAAGTGAAAAAATCTCATGAATAGCTTACCCTCTGCGTCCCACAGTCAGGATAACCCTGGGCGCCACTGATCCTGAGTACATTGACAGTCCCTCCGTTGCCTCGGTAGAAACATCGATCGTAAAAGCCGTAAGTGTATATCCTCCCTACGAACGGCTCTGGTGTCCGCAGAGTAAACTCCATTCCATCTTCACTACAAACTTGATTCACTAAGGAAACAATGGGTCAAATGTAAAGTTTGTTCACTCAAAAAAGTCTAAAATGTAAATCACACTGCACACAATTGGTCCTCTTTATTAATTGTATCAGCTGATTACTACCCCCATTCTACCATAAACATCTAGAAACAGGTAAGAGAATTAACAAATTCTCAAGGGACAGATTGTATAGGGACAGTCTACTCTAATAAAAGAGTAAAATACCATAAATACAAAAATTTGTTCTACTGTAAAGGAAGTCAATTATCATTTTTATTTGTACACACAAACAACGCATTGAATATAATACTGTACAATGAAACATGTACATATGATATCTACATACTGTATATAGGAATACATGAGAAATTCATTAAATACTCTTTATTTGGCACTCTTGCGAATAATATTGGAATCCTCATTAAGTAGATGTAGACCAGAATTTCGTTAATCTTAATACCTAAATTGATCTATTATTAGATCCAGTTTTTTTATGTTTACAGGTAGAACTTTAATATTGCTTCGTTAAGTTATCTAATCTTTATAATTTATCCAACCCATTGAGTAGAAAACCTTTTTAACATCAGTGATATGCACACTTATGGTTAATATTTATGATGGGAACTAGCTTATGCTTGCCAAGTTCTTGAATTATGATATGAAGCTTGATGTATCAGTGGGGACTCCAGGAATATTATTTGGGTAGGCCTGACAAGGATCAAGAAAGAGTTTTTCAGGGAACGAGAGGGTTGAAGGGCTTTCCCCCACAAAAAGGCTGGAATTTTAAAATTTAAATGTAAAATAATTAGTATGAATGCTTTTCCTTTATTTACATACAATTAAATTTCTATATTTATTTATAATTTTGAAATATCCACCAAAATTAGGGTAGGCCTGGGCCTACCTGGCCTGCCTCTGGAGTCGCCCCTGCGATGTATATTTCGCCACTTGTGTCTTAGGTGGCATCATCAGGAGCGATGTTTATTTATTTTCAGATGTTACGAATCGTACACTGCCCCACCGAATGTAAATAAATAGGGTAATGTTAGTGTAGGTGATGCAAATAAATAAACTTTTCTCCTGATGATGCCACACAAGTACATTAGGCTTCATACCAAACTTCAAGAACCTGACAACCATTAGTAATTCATAATTAATTGTTCTCGACACTGGGAATGCTACACAAGTTTATGATGTAATTTTAAAGAAGTATCTATATGTTTCAAATAACACTCACCATCCAGACATTCTCCCCCAGGGCCGGAGCGAGCGGTGGACCTCTCGTAGAAGTCATACTCTCCATTGGTCTCAAAGAAGGCGGGGTTTGTGGGGTTCAAGTCCCGAGAATCATGGTCACTGAGCTCACAGTTGTCCCGAGGTGGACCAAAAGGAGTTGTGTAAGGTCTGCAAACAACATCTGCCTTTAATACATTACTGTTTGAAGTTATTAATATAATCAAACAGGAGTTTCAAATGTAAAACTAATACATCTGCATTCAGTGTTCTATTCATCTTCTGCTGGTAATCTATTTTGAGCTTTTGTACATATCTGGTTTATCAACGAACACGTCGATTTCTTATTACTGTAGTTGTAACTATGGGTTCATTGATTAGTAAATTTACGATTGTCATTGACTAATCAATCAGTTATTGATTGAGTGTCAAATATAATTAGTTAAAGAAATTAGACAAATTGTGCTGTTATTCTGTTTTTAAAGGGGAAAGGGTGTATACAAACGATGAACATAGAATATATTTGTTCTTTATGTCAAAATAATCTTAAAACCCGGACCATCTACTGACCAGGAGTATTCATTTCAAATCCTTTATTTCCTGTTAGTTGGTCTGTTTGTAATATCTTGACTCATTTTTTGAGATAGAACATGTTGTGTATGTTTAATATCTTTATTTAAAAAGGATGTCAAACGAATTGTCAAAAACACATTCTGTATTTGGAAGATACTGTATTAAAATTGAAACAAACGTGAAGACATATTTGTATATCATTGGTTGCTAGATTAAATGTTACTCTAACTGAAAACAGGTTTTCATTTTTTCACTTTTCAGAATAAATGGGAAGATAATAAATCATGTAAGTAAAAAAAGTTATGATAGTTTATCAATACCTAACAATAGATTCCATAAAAAGAACCTTGAGAAAAATAAAAAAAATATTTCTTTTTAACTTTTAAAATTACCCTACCTAAAATTGAAGGCTCTGCAGATGAAGTCCTGAGCTTCAGTGCAAGCTCTTTCACATACGGCGAGTGAAGGCACCGAGAGAAATCTGCGGACAAATTGACGACGAGCTCTCATCCTCACTCCAACCTGAAAATAAATCAAACATTTTATACCTAAACTATAATGACAAGAACATCAATCAAATTGTAGCAGACACATTCTCACGACTAACTTGACAACCAAGCATATATTTCAATTAACCATACAATCAATTGATGCGTGTCAACCAATTTTGTCCTTATAGGTAATGATATAGGTAATGAAATAGCAATCATTTGTTTGGAGTGGAATGTCATCCTCTTAAAGTCCTGGATATCAAGAATATTTTTGATTCATCTTAATACGAGTGAACCTCTTTTTGAGGTTATATGTAATGATTTTGTATAAAAATGTATATTGTACATAACCATGACTATTTCATGAGCAAACATCTATTAGGTATGAATCAGAACCAATGTTTCCTATCAAATTAAATACTCGACAATCAGCTAAGGTTGAGTACAATAAGAAAGGAAAGAACTTTATTTATGTGTGTCGTGGAACTTGAGAGGTCTGATACCTTTTTTTAGTTAAGTTTTGGACATATTTCTTGAAAAACCATGATCATGTACTCCGTGATAGATAGAGAACTGATCATCCTTGAGTTGTGATACCTTTAGAAGAGTTTACCTAGAATAAGGTTATCCAGAATGCACCATGGTGGGAGACTTCTTAATACTTTTCAACCCTCCGAGCGTCACTTGTCGAAAAATCGACTCACGACACACTTTGTGTAGTGTCACTTGTCGATTTTTCAACACACGAACATCGTTTACAGCGAAGGCTCTATGACTGACTGAATCGGATTGAACTGGATCGAGTTAGGTATCGTTCTTTTTGTTAGATTCTTAGCTTTTTCCAGAGGTCTGTTTTTTATGGAGGTTGATAAAAAAGCTGTACAATAGCAGTTATGGTATTTATTTGAACAGTACACTCCTATTGAACACAATTTTATATTTGGCTAGAACAAATATTTTGTCATGAACCATTACCTGTTTGTAGGTATCTCCTTCATCACAGCGAGTAGTGAAGGGTCCGGCAGGTCCAAAGTGTCCAAATGAGCCAGGGCCAACGGCGCCCCCTACACCGTGACCAAACCCAGCATGGCCGGCCCCGTAACCATAACCCACCCCTGGTCCTCCAACAGGCCCCGCAGCCCCATAACCTCCAAAGTCAGCTCCATGACCTGCCGCTGGTGGAACTCCTCCTACCCCACCTGTTCCAACTCCACCAACTCCCACCCCCGCCACACCGACACCTCCCACACCTCCCCCTGGGGGACCCCACAGTCCAGGACCATCTGCAGGAAAGGAGTGTCCTCCAGATCCGTATCCACCACCAGGATACCCTCCGACGGCTCCCACACCTCCTCCTCCGTATCCTGCCCCATAGCCTCCCCCGTAGCCTCCTGATCCTCCACCCCCACTGTAGCCACTCCCTACTGCTCCGTAACTGCCCCCAGGAGATGCAAAACTGCCAACAGGTCCTGCTGCACCATAGCCCACACCACCTGTAAAAGGTTTCACTAGGTTATGCATCAATCCTGCAGAATAAAATGTCAATCACTACAATTGTATGTACAATTGTACAATTGTGTGTTCAGTACAATTGTTTACATATTATCTATATATACAATACAAACATAGTATATTATATAGAATATATAGTTAGACAACATTGCACTAAGTCTTATTGGTATGTTTATCACATGATAGTGTACATAACATTTTATAATATAAATATAGCACTTCTTAAAACCTATGATGTTTACCTGTAATACATAGTTAATAATTTACCTGTAGGTGTGTATGAATGGGGTCGTCCAAATCCATGAAAGCTTGTATCTGAACCAAGAACATCAGGTCGATGGTGGGTACTTCCTCCTCCCCCACTCTCCAAGCCACCACCATCTCCATAGTAATCTGGAGGTAAGAAATAACAATAGAAACAAGCTCAAAAACAGTTCTAAGACTAAAAGTATACTCATAATCTACACTGGGCTGGATAGGCTTCAATTCAAAGTTGAGATACAATTCTATTGGTTTATTTTAACAATAAATAGCAGCTCATTTGATTTTCACTTAGTCAAGAATCTCATGGCAGTGGGATACTGATCAAGAATGTTAGATATGAGAGAGTATACTACAACAGTTTCAAGTACTATTAACTCGGGCGCCTACTGCACACTACATTAAATATGACAAGACTTTTTGGCAGAAGGTGAAGGGTACAGTGAAGATGGCACGAGTTTAAATGGAGCACACAGTGTTTAAAATCATCAAGAGAAGTGAAAAATGTCCTTCTGGGCATGTCCCAGAACCTTTAAGCAACAGTCTACATTCCATTATTCATCTTTTTTATAGGCATAATTCCATATGACTTGGTTTCTATAAATATTTAAATAGCAACCCAGCAGACGCACAGGCAGCACTTGCCTATGTCTGCTGTATTTCATATAATCAATTTAATTTAGTTTATACAGAAATGTTCTTTTTTATTCTTAGTCTTAGTTTTATTTTGTAAGTATTTTGTATTAAAAGTATGTTTTTGTTTTCTGTATACATTATGTGGAAATAAACATATTTCATTATTTTTTTTCATTCATGTACTGCTAATTACATAACACTCACTTGTACACTCCATTATACCGCTCTCAAGTTACCAACAGAATAGAAAAGAATAAAATAGAAATAGACTTATTATTGTGTCCCATTATAGGCAGTACAGTAACCTTTGAATTGGTACCAAGATGGTTATTCAGTTTAGCAATTTAAATAGCTGAAACTACTTCGGTATTTTACATAATATTAATTGAGGATTTTCTTAGGATCTTGTAGGAAAAATTTGTTTGGACATATTTAATTATTAAATTTAAGACTAGGAAGTCCCTCAGCTCAATAAACTACATATATAATTTAAAAATTGTAGTCAATTTTCACTTGGTCTTTAAAGCTAGGTACAGTACTCACTCATCAGGTTTTCATAGTAGTCGTAATCAGCGTCATAGATGATCCTGATGCCGTCTCGCTGGTTGAAGCGACTCAGTCGGCAGATCCTGAACCTCTCACTGTACATTGCAGATCGACACTGGAAGCTGGCTTGTCGGAGGCACTCGTCCAGGCACTCACTCAACGACCGACCTGTGATTTCCGAGTGGAACTCTGCTCCTGCCAGTCTAGAGTTCCGGTACCTCTGGAACGCCGTGTCTGGTCTTCTTCCACCCGAGAATAAATGGGAGGTTACGGAGTTCTCAGGGAACTCACTCCCTTTAGCTGCATCAGACACTGTTTTCACTTATTCATTTGATATTTTAAAACTGTCCAAGGCACATAATAATCCTATACTAATGGTGAATTGGTAAAACTATTGTGTAAAACATTCATGATCTATTTTCATATACATTCAAAATATTTTATATGTTTAACAAGTATTTTTATTTTTATGAACGGTGTTTCAATTATGATTACCTGCACATGTTTGTGGTATAAAATATAAGATCTTAGTATATAGGTAGATTTGGGGAAGAGTTGACACCAAATTTACCCACATGGCTTCACCATATTGGCAATCAGTTCTAATTTTAATGTAACAGAGGCATTTGTATGAACTCAGATGATAAGAACTTTACTAAGTTTCTAAGTATTTGAAAATTTCATATTAATGGATGTTAGCCTCCGGTACTGTATAATACTTAAAGTGGTTTAGATACCTGCATTTAAATAATCCAATTTGTTGCTCAAGTTGCAACTGGTTTCAGCTCCGTGGAGTTATCTTCAGGCTTCCAAGGATATAAGTTATCACTTCATTTGAAGGTCGTCATAGTTAAAAAAAAAAACTAAAAAACATGTAACACGAACATTGAACACTGAGCACTGAAGTTTAACATAAAAAAAAACACACACACAAAATTACTAAGAAGGTGAGCGACGCTTACTGGCTGTTTTCGTTTTTTAAAAACTATGACGACCTTCAAATGAAGTGAAAACTTATGTCCTTGGAAGCCTGAAGATGACTCCACGGAGTTGAAACTGGTTGCAACATAAGCAACAAATTGGATTAAATGCAGGTATCTAAACCACTTTAAGTATGTGAAAATGTTTAACAGATGATGTCATGTTGATACTCTCAACAATTATTTATATCATTATCTTATGGAGACAAAAATGCCTACTATGCAGGAGTGGAATAAACAAGATCAGCTGTGCCAAACAAGGTAATGCAATATAACTATTTATCCTCAGTCACTTTTCTCCAAAGGTTTAAACTAAAGATTCTTTTCATAGCCATAATAGCCTGATTATGGGCTAATATGGCTAATTTTCTTTTTTGCATTTAGTACATTACATGTGTAGATTGTGCTAGCCAGTAATTGTACATAGATTACCGTACATAAATATTTCAATGACCTGTTGAAATAAGTCTATTTGAACAATACATTGCAACTAGTTAATAAATATTAGTCACGAGGTACCTATTCACTTACAATTAATATTATGTCATCATAGTTAGTCTCTCTTAAATAGTAAAACTGTTTGGTAAAGAGTAGTCAAAATTGTAATTACTGCCAGAATGCCAAGAATACCCAACAAACATATCATCATTTTTGTTCAGGTTTGTAGAAAATCCTGATAATAACTAAATATTTTGTTGGTTTGTGTTGTAACATCAGAAATCAGATATTATTTTTTTATTTTTTGATCTTTTTTTAATCAATCTCACAAATGTAAAAAGTTGAAACAAACATATCATCATTTTTGTTCAGGTTTGTAGAAAATCCTGATAATAACTAAATATTTTGTTGGTTTGTGTTGTAACATCAGAAATCAGATATTATTTTTTTATTTTTTTATCTTTTTTTAATCAATCTCACAAATGTAAAAAGTTGATTTGGTATAGGACAAATCTGCAAAAGCAATACTTACGGCTGTCGAGGCAGACTAGGTCGTACAAGTCGTGTGTTGGACTACTGCTAGTCCTGAGGTCATCCTTCTGAGACATGGAGTCTTCCTCAAATATGATGCACCTCCTGATCTGCTCATCATATTCTATTGAGCGGCAGAAGTACCTGTTAAATAACGCAAAATTATTTTCCATTTATTTGTGCAAGTTTAGATAAAAAAGACTTTAATATTGATAATTTCTAGGTCATTCAGTCGTTATAAACTTAATTATTGTAATAGGATTATTGTTACTGTAATGGTACTAGAGTACATCATTATTAGCAAATTTCCCATACAGGGAATAAGCTATTACCGTAGGTCTCATGATAAGACCTAGCCCAAGGACTGATTTACTTTTTCATTTGATGTCTCCAGAGGCCAAAAACACTATCCTTTCAAATTACGTAAATGAATTGTCTACATGCAGCATCCTAAATCAATGGTACACCTGCTTCACATAAATGTGAAATCTACTTGCAGTATCCAAAGTCAATGGTAGGCTTACTTCTGGTTCACTTAAATGGACTGTCTATTTGTAGTATCCAAACTCAGTGGCACATTTGGTTAACGTAAATGTATTGTTACTAGCCACTGTTCTGGAAAAAGTCGATTTTCGTTAAAAATTAAAATGAAATTTCAATATATTTAACATTGGTCTTATGGAAAGCTATGTAGCCATGACAGTTTTACGAAAATGTAAATAAATGAATTGAAACGTACGGTATGGTTGTAAAAACCATCTACAACGGTGGCAAATTACTAAATACAGTACTAAAGAAAAGGCCATTCCCTTAAATACAATTTAGCATTGGTTATTTAATACACTTGGGTTTTTTTTACCAAGCAATGGGATAATTCCGACTGTTCAAAATCGTAGAATAATTTACCACACAAGATAATACACTAATGCTAAACAAAGAGTATTGAGGAAAACCCAAGGACGTTCTGTAGTTTTTGACGATGCACCATCAGAATGGACGGTTGTTTGGCGATCCCACTGATTAGAAAATAGAAACGATATGGACATAAAAAAACAAATGACCCGAAAATAAACATGTTTGTATTATTATTTCAATGCAACTGTCAAAAAACGACCAAAACACATGTAGAGATAATTAATGGATAGATTCCATCCATTGACGTAATTCTTTTATGTTTTTGATCCATACCGTTTCTGTTCTAATATCCGTGGATGGTCCCATTGTTGCGACGTTCCGCGATCCAATGACTAACATGTCGCGACCAGAGAGCGCATAATATTCGTAACTTGCAACAATGCTGGTCAACAGCTGGTATGTTATTGTAAGTATCTATGTAGTGTTGGTCAACAGCTGATATGTTAAACATTGTCACGAGTTTGTTATTGAACTTCAATGTGCATATTTTCAATATTGATAGTTCTTCTGTATGGAAATGATTGTTAATTAAATTAATAACGAAGAGTAATATTATAATGTAATATTTAATAAAATTTCATTTCCACCGAAGATAAATTGGCTTTAAAACTTAATTAAATGTGACTAAATTGAAAATGGAGATGATTTAAACGGAAAACAAATAATATGGTATTATGTTTTTATAGGTTAACTCGAGTTCTTAATTAATGGTTATATTTTAACACGTTCGTTTGATTTAGACATATTTTAAATGCGATTCAGTATAAAAACTAACCTTTTCACACTCGTATAAAAATGCTATAGACTCAATAGCATTTAAAGTAAAGGCGAAAAATTGTATGTATCGCAAACCCTTAAATTTAGCCCTTGAAACTATATTATGCAGCAGAAAACCACATCTTAGAGTAATCTGAGTTTTTACTTGCACTTTTTACTAACTATTTTGCCGTTTTTATGTTAACACTTTAACTTATTTTTGAGAGTAGATTCATCAGTTTTGAATAAAAATTTCATTTTCTTTGGCCTAGCACAAAACTGTACAATTCATCTAACGGCAATTAATTAACCAATTAATTAAAGTCAACTAATTAGTTAGTCAATTAAGTTAAGTCAATTAATAAATCGGGAAGAGGAAACCTGATGTCAAATACAGGCCGATAAAAAATAAAATATGAGATTAAGTATTGTATAACATTAATTCTCATACAACGGCCCGGATAAAAAAAATGACAATACTGTAATGATACTATTTTTAAATGCAGAAATTTATTTTGGAATTTCTTACTGTGTCAGTAATGCGGGTTTATGGGGGTTTATTTATACCTACAATGGTTTTCAATGACTTGAGACGACAGGACCGTGCACAAAATTTTGCGAAATATATAATACGTGAGCACGATAAACTGATGTTATATAATTTGTTTTATACATATTTTATACTATATTTTATAATATCATGGAAATTGTACATATGTATGCCTATGTTTATTTTTTAACGTCTCCTACAAATTACACACCACGATCAATACTCGGTCCCCTGGTACTTATTATTAAATACAAAAAACTCTCCTTAACGGGAAATAGTATATTACGTTACTAGTCCTGAAAATAAGTGTTTACCGGACGAGTGTGGTCGTTCCCGTGCGAGACGAAGTCGAGTACGGGATTACCATACGAGTCCGGTACACACATTTTGGACGAGTTACGTACGATAATTTACGCCATACTACTAAATCTGTACAAATCCTTATATATTTCCACCAACTAAAGGACTAAAAATCACTAGTCTTTGTTTATAACCACTCATTGCCACATAAATTCAGTATAATCAGCTGATTGGTGTCCGGCAAAACTCATTACAGTACAGTAATACGCAATGAAACTCCATTTGAATAAGCTGGCGGCAAACAGCTGTTTTCTGGACTAAATACTTGCGTGGGAAGTTCGTCAAAATAATTTAGTATGGCGCAAAAGCATTTGTAGTCTCAAATTATCTTTTTAAAAGCTACATAAATTAAAAAATACCCGCGTCGCAGCAAACCGGCCGACTGAGCGAATTTCCATTTGTCTGAATTGATTTTCAGTTATAGTATATTACGTTACTAGTCCTGAAAATAAGTGTTTACCGGACGAGTGTGGTCGTTCCCGTGCGAGACGAAGTCGAGTACGGGATTACCATACGAGTCCGGTACACACATTTTGGACGAGTTACGTACGATAGTTTACGCCATACTACTTAATTCGTACAAATCCTTATAAATTTCCACCAACTAAAGGACCAAACATCACTAGTCATAACCTCTAAGAGAGGTTATGTTTTTGTTTATAACTAAATCATTGCCACGCAAATACAGTATAATCAGCTGATTGGTGTCCGGCAAAACTCATTGCAGAACAGTATTACGCAATGAAACCCCATTTGATTAAGCTGGTGGCAAACAGCTGTTTTCTGGACTAAATCCTTGCATGGGAAGTTCGTCAAAATAGTGTAGTGTGGCGTAAAATATATTTTAATAACATTAGGTTTAACGAGTACCTAGGTTTGCTGCTACAAGGAAACTAATAAAGTGTGTTTTTGAGTAAAATATTGATAGTAAAATTTAAATAAATTTGCCAAGTTTGATCAAAATATATCCATAAACAAGCAAACTAGAACATTTGACAATATTCTCCATAAGAATAACATGGGAATTTTAAATTTACAATTTTTTTAATTTTCTTCGTTACTAATAATTGAACAAAAATACTTTTATATACTAAATTATTTGTTTTTTTAAGCTCTTTAAAAAGGTCTATAGAGAATTCGGGAAATTCTGTGTTTTGACGGTCAAAAGTGAGGAAAACCAATTTTTACCCCATAAAACCCCCCGTAAAGCCCCGTTCCCATGGTCCGATCGTGCTGGTTCGCGAACTCATTCAAGTTTATCCCGCTTTACACCTTTAAACCAAATTTCATCAAAATCGGACAAAAATTACTCAAGTTATCGCGTTCACGGACGTATATATATATATATTTTAATTTAGGTGTTCACTTAATAGGGCTGCTGATATATTAAATATTTAAGTAAATAAGTACAACTGAGCACCCTGAATATTATATTATATTATAAACAATATAAACAACGGTTAAGTGTTTAATGTATTTTGAAGTTTGAAAATGGACTAATGTCCGAAACATGTCACTTCTTTTTATAAAATATAATATTCAGGGTGCTCAGTTGTACTTATTTACTTAAATATTTAATATATATATATATATATATATATAAGTCTATATATATATACATATATAAAAATTTGAACGAATGGTGTTTTTGGCCTCTAGGAACATCAAAATGAAAAAGTAAATCGGTCCCGGGTCTAGGTCTTACCGTGCCACCTACGGTAATAGCTACTCCCCTATAGGGAAATTCGCTAAAAGCTGTTCACATAGTTTTTTTAAAGTCAAACTAAAATATAAACTCTTAAAGAAGAAAAGGCCGGAGAAAACATCTGATCGTACTTCTTTAGTTACAATCTTCAAAGAATAATATATTAACAGAATCACCTGATTTCATCATGCGAAATAAAACTAAGTAACTTTGACAGTACCAAGTTTAGGAAAAGGGTTTATACACTTGATTAAAACTAAGAGTTTCATTGAAAATTAAGGTCATTTACTACACTTAAATTTTAAAAATCCAATAACATGTTTATAAATTATATTTTCATTAATATAAAATATTTTAATTAGGTACCTTACAATATCTATAAATGTTGTTGATACTACATGTGATCATATTTTCTTTCATGATCACTCAATAGGTAATAATTCATACATGCATAATTTGTTGTTAGTGAAGGACCTGTTATCACGATTTTAGAGGAGGTAGAGGCTGAAGAACACTTACCACTTTTATTCTGGACAAAAATATAAAAATTATCACAATACATTTTTATTTAAAAGGAAGGAAGATTTTCTCAAATATGTGAAAGAAAGAAGTTTTACTTACTTTTCAGCTCTCAAGCATTGTGCTTGGCACTCGATGAGTGATAAGTTAGTGTAGATGTCAACTTCAAAAGGACCTCCAAGTCTTTTGTTCTCCTCCTTGACAAAGATGATTGGGCCATCACACCTTCGTTCAGCTGCAAGTTAAATATTATATCAATTTTGGAATATGGTTTTTGAATTGAAAGTAACTGTATGTGTAATCTTTTTGCTTTTAAATAGTAAACGATATATCATATAACTAATTTCTCTCTTGATAAGCAACCTGATTTTTGTTGTTTTCTAAGACCAAGCGATAAATATAAGCAATCTAAGATCATCAGAAATTATGTTAATTCTTCAAATTTGAACCTGATCACAGTAAAACTGGAATATTCTTATTTATTTTCGAGCTTATTACAAAGTAAGTTCCTCAGTTACAAAGGGGAAACTGCTCGGAATTCGGTGTTGAAAGTGTGAACTGTGCACGTAGAACCAAATGTTTAATCAAACGTTGAAGACTTTCATAACTGATGAGAAATAGTACAACATAGAGATTTTTACCAGACAAAAAGATCCAAAACCATTTAATGTGGTCAAAGACATGCTCACCATTGAGACAAGTATTTTCAAGGTAATCTGAATTTGGGTCATCTTCGAGCAGTTCCGGATGAGATCTTCTAGTAAACCTGCTCAACCAGCAACTTCGAGCAGTGGCATCGTACGTGACCGAGCGACACACGAAGTTGAACTCATTCAGACACCTGGAAAATAAAAATAATTAATGTATTCTTAATTAAATTTTGTATGTTACCGTAGGCCTACTCATGGATAATGACTATCTTCATTGTGATGCCAAAGTAGTTATTTTAGTCCCAACAATAAACAGTTTGTCTCTAGGTTTTCCTTAGTGATCTTAGTTTTTACTGTAGCTGTTTGCCAATGCCAGTCATTAATATACAATATTTGTGTCAAGGAAATTAGTAAATTTATAATCTTTATTATGACTTAACATTGTGCTTTTGTTGTTCATAACTGTCATTCGTTGCTTTATATTGGAGTCAGAGATATGAGATAAGTCATATGAAAAGTCCCACAAAACCGTTTTACGTTTAAAGTAGGTTACCAATGATAATAAACAAGGTTTGAAGTACCAACTATTTTTGTTAGTCTAACCTATTACTAAATATAATCAACGACAGATCAAACTTAGAATACATTTGTGACAGCTGTTTGTTTAAAATAAAGAATATGTGATGAATGTAAATGCTGCAAACAAAATTTTGGAGATAAGCAAGTATGCCAGAAGCCCCTCATTTCATTTTATTTTTTAAGTAAATTTAGTAAAAATTTATTACATATTACAAATTGGTAGTAATGCGATATTCTTTTTGTACTTATGACGATTTCAATTACAATTTTGTATTATTTAAAGACTGAATAAATTACTATTCATATTCTAGTATATTCTAACCATCTGAAGTAATTAGCACAATATTTTTATTTTGTCTAGCATGACAAAGAAATTTAATTTATCACTTGGCAGATTAGTGATTTTTGGTCACTCATTTTCTAGTCTCAGCTAACTTTGCCTTGCTTGTTGTGTCACAAATCAAAAATAGATCAATATTGTTTCAAATAAATTAGAATTCTTTGAATCTATAGAGTTTAATATAGGATACCATGTAATTTATTTGCTCAGCAAAATTATAATTATTTAGATTATTTTTTTTTAATTTACGTATGCATTTTAGTGGATGTAGTTCTCCTTTATTGATGAACCTTGGTGTTACGGCATCACCACATGATGTGTTGTAAGCTTTGGCAATGTTACACTTGCAAAGATACTGGACTGAAATATGTTGGCAAATATTTTGACTACAAACAGTAAGAAATGCTATTTTGTCATAAAAAACTACAGGAGCTATATCCTACAATGAATTGATATTATCAAAGCTATAAGTATTGGTGATTAACGAGATTTGAACCCTAATGTCCTGGAGAGAATTGACATTCTAATCACTAACTCAGCCACTCGCCACGCTGCCTCTGTTATAATCTCACCTGTCCTCGCAGTCAGTGCGGTTTGCTGCCACAACCTCCTTGATCTCATTTACTGGCAACTTCAACTTCTTGTGTGCATGGCGCTCAAACACATAATGTCTGTTTGGACATTCCCGTTCAATGCGGCTTGCTACAACATACCAAGATATTTCAGTTGGCTTTCCTCATAAAATTTAAATAATAGTATCATTAAAATATCGATATTTTTACGAATAAATAATGATGTTTGATAATATGATTTATTAATGATTTCTCTTATGTATTTGTGATCAGCTGAAGAAAATTTTAATAAGAGTTTTATGACTGGAAATACCAGAGCTGTAGTCATTCCAGTGCGGGAACACTTACCTTTGTCTCAGAAATACACAGCTTGTATATTAATATATAGGATTATTCCACTACACCACTGTGTAGTTGTGGAATACACCTACATTGATGTTAAGTACTTATTTTTTCTGACAATAATAACTTTAAAAGGTAATTCTGAGCAATAACTTGGTCAACCCCAAACTGAAAAAGTTTGTTTTGACCAAGTAATTGCTCAGAATTACCCTTTACAAGTATTCTGACAGATAACGTAAGGGATTTACTAACTATTGCTAAGTTTGGGTATTTTAACTGAGAGTAAAGCATCAACTAAAATGTTCACCCTCGATAAAAAATCAGTCAACATCAACACACACCATTTGTGTCTCCAATCATAAAAAATATAAAGAAAAAACCTTACAAACATACCTTTGGCAATTAGATGGAAAGTCTATTTGTAGCCACTACTCACTAGGACAGCAATAATATTGATCATTTAGCAAATTATAATGTTTTCCTAGACTCGCTGGTTCAATTTTTTTAACTTTGGAAACTTCAACAAACAAATTGAGAATATAAAAAAAATATCGTTGAAAATATTTTTTATGCGTGGACTACGGTACACGAGTACCATCATAAGACACAGACATTTGTTTTAACTCCTTACAAGCAAGTAATGAAGAGATATATATGTACTTATTTCCTCAAGAGTACATTCGTTTTATGACCAAAAAACTATAGCCAAAATTAGAACTTATCAAATTGAATAAAACTATATAATGATATGGGCCCCTAATATACAAATAGTAAAACAACTTATAAAACTAAATAAAAAAAAGAATGAAATGGATTTGATGTTCAAACATCTCACATAGACTTATTGTTATCACCCATTGCCCATTATGAGCCTTTTTATCATTGCTCATATCTGTCGAAATAGGTTAAGACCATATGGATTCAGGGATTCATTTTATTATCCTATATCCATCCCGGAGAAACCGGAATTGTTTTAGACCAGGCGCACACAGGCGATTTTGAGTCGCGCAACAGTTGCCCGACTAAAATGTTCAACATTGTTTTAAATTGGAGTGCGCACACCAAAGAAACAGTCTAGGGACAGTCGTGCAACTGTTGCAACCGTTACGCATTACATTAGGCTAAATGGATATGTGGGTTCAGGGTTTCCTTTCTTACAGCAACATACTTATCAAATCAAGAGCTGGCATGCACATTAAAAAATTGATAGTGATATTCATTATTCATAAAAGGTTGATATGGGAACCAGAATACAAACCAACGACATCACTGCCTTAATTTTGCGGTTTTAACCTCAATATCAAAGCAGCATTTTAAGTACAGTAGTTATAAAGCAGGTGCTTTATAACTCCATATCAGTTATTTAGTGTGTGATACAGTATGAAATCACCAGTTATAACATCACAAACAACATAGTAAAACACACACACACCAACATAGTAAACAACACACAACATAGTAAATTTTGATCTGTTATCAGTCAACAAATTTCAATTTGGGGAACTTCTAGCCTAGTGCACATAAATCCATTAAATTAATACTTGATTATCAGTGGATTTATTAGTAGATGTTATTGATGCTCTAGATCAGTGGTGGGGGTGCATTTATTTGGGTTGGTCGCGGGAAGAGATCTGAAAATGGAGAAACATCTGGTAATCTTACTACTGAAACGATTGAGCGAGCACTAAAACTTCATCTAACATTATTGCTTAACAATTCCTACACAAGGGGCAGTATATTAAAATATTTACAGAACATTTACAGTTCAACAGTAGTTGTATTATATTTCACCCCCAGGGCCTGAAGCGACTCTTTTACTTTAACAACCGAGACAAAGCCGAGGTTGGAAAATGAGCAGGGGTCGAAAAGACAATTTGAGCCCGTTTTATCAGCTAAATCTTTCGTCATACTGCACATTGTGCAAGTTAAATAACAAACCTGGCGTACATTGTTTTGCTGTATTAATTTGCTCCAAATAATTATTTCGCTCTTTTTACAGATTTTTATGCAACAATGTATTACTCCGCTAACACAATTACGAAAAAAACGAATAATGAATCTATTTTCAATTTCACTTTTGCCTAAATGTGGATAAAGGGATGTGTTTGTATTGAAACACACGATTTAACGTGATTTAACACTATGATAAACAAAAACTATTGTATTAATTATTCCATGATACATTTAATTGTTAATCGGAACTATTTTTTCGACAGGATCAGCGGATGAATTTCGCTGCTATACAAATATACAGCTGATTTCCTCGAATCCAGCTGATTTTTCCCTTTTCACCCTAGGGAGAAAAATAGGAGCTTCTTTAACCGGGCATCGTATGCACTTGAAACAACCGTATTGCTGCAGTGTGACGATAAAGTCAGTTGTAGCCTCAAACTAAGGATGTTTGTAATTATTATGCCGATAAAGTTTTTGCGATCGAAGATTGACAATGTCGGAAACAGACCAACCTAGCCTATGTTTTGGACTAATAATTAGGCGCAACGTAAATATGTTCCTATTATCGCCACGATCACCGAACATTATCATGATGCTGCTTTGAATGTTTTCTATGAATAATAGCTACATATAAAAACACGGAGGGAAAACAAATCGGATATTTAAAAAAATTAGAGCTTGGATTAAACCAGTATTATTTTAAAGAGCTAGTTGTATTGGCAACAACGTATTTATGTAAGAAGGAACCCGCCACTTTGATGTTTCAAACTATTAACACAGAAATAGGTTTTATAGAGAAAATGTCTAGCGCCTATAGTTGTCAGCTTTCTATCCAGCTTGGTGCAGTCTCTTTCAACTTTAGCTTTACGCTTTACGAGTCTCAATAGTTTAAGGGGTTTGAAATACAAGTGTTTTGGACTAAATATTGTACTTCAGTTGCATCATCTTCACAATTTGTATTTTATTCTTGTTTCACAGTTGACCCTGTAAGTAGACTCCCTCTTATCCGGACTCCTCGGGACCGTAGCCAGTCCGGATAACGGGTTTTCCTGTTAAACCGACGTCCCCAAAAACTTGTTAAAACGGACAGTTTAAATGCATACTGTGTACAGTATTTGACTTAAATTTAGGAGAGCATTGTTTTTACACACGTGATCACTGGTCCCAAATCTTTCCCACAAGAACAGTCGTTTTAGTAGCGGCCACTTCCTGCCGATCTAGTCTGGTTAAACCGATATGCTGATAAAAATTTTCCGGTTAAAGAGATGTCATTTCTGCCAAGTGTAGACCGATTAAACCGATGTCCGGTTAAAAGGTGTCCGGATAAGAGGGAGTCTACTATACTTCATATGAATAGGAAAACTATAACAATACAAATATTGATGAACAAAGATGAAGTTGGGTTGCCGGACCAAAAGTTTTGAGAACCCTGCACTAGATTATTATTTGCATGCTAACTGCAATCACTCACATGATAGGCAGACTTCTGTATAGTGGACGCTGTTGGGTACAAGGACCAGGTTGCCGATGCCCTCTGGGTGTGCTTGTTCTCGAGTCAAGTAGCAGGTAGACTCTTCGTACTCCACAATGCCACTGAAGGAGGCGATCCGACTCCCTGGTTGAAAGTCGAAGGAAGTGCAAGTTCTAACGAGATTGTTGGCTGCAGTTCTATCCCGGAGACAGAGCTCTTGACACTTCTCAAGCACTCTGAATGGTGGAGACGTATCTCTGACCTGCGTGGTGTAAAGTGTACATTTGAGAGGAAATCGGTAAACATAAATAATGAAAGCTAAAACACATGACGATTAAGAATACCAAAATTGTATTTAACTAAATTTAAGGTATCAATCTTAAGCTTAGTAAACAAACTTTGATGTATTAATCTTTAGGAATAGTTCGTGAACTACAGGTATTTGACCAAATTTTCATATTTCGTGGAATTATTTCAGTTTCTAAGTGAAAGATATCCAACATTGATGTGTCTTTTTATGAGTCTTAGCCTAACCATTTATTATACAAGCTATTTTCCGTTTTTGTAAACACCAGTTTGCTAACAAAACACACATCATCAAACAACTAAATACTGTTGTCTATAGATTTTTTTCGATGACAATCTCTTAGTCAAATGAAATTGTGAATAAATAGACATTGAATAGCGACTGAAGATCTATTTTTACAGTATCTGCAAAATGTTAGGGAACTTTATCTGGCGACCCGGTTGACAACAAAAAATTGGTGAATCCAAATTACAGCGGCGAACGCAAAAAAAAACACGTTTCTATTTTAAACATTTCCTGCTTTCAATTTATTTGCAAGATGAGTACGTAATCCCCTTGATCTTACCAAGACTGTTCCTAACCTAAAGCTATTTATTTAGGATGTAACTTTGATCTCTGCACTTACCACATCATCGTCAAAGCCTTGCAGTTGTTGGTCCGGAAGCCGTTCATAGACCACGCGGCCTGCGCCCTGGTTGCATGATGTTTGGGCTGAAATTACAACGAAATTACAAGTTAAACACAAACGTAACCAAGACCGTGGTACCTGACCAAAAAATCTTCATAAAGAATCTAAGAGTCTTTGGAGGATAGCGGCCATCTTGGATTATTTCAAATAGCTGTTGAAGGGTTATTTACCATCCAAAAATATTCTTTCAAATACAAAAGTGATTGTAAATTAAATATCTAGTACACTGTGAGATCAAAAATTTTCTTTTTCGTTTTTTTAATTGTTTTCCAAGGAAGTCCATGAGGGCCATATTGGATTTGATTGCCATAAGAACAATGTTCATTTATCAAATCATTTGTCAAACTACTTTCGAATCATTGGTCCTCACAATTATCTCATTATTACGATTTCAACCTGATTAAAATTTTACTGTAGAATAACAGAATCCTCATAACTTTGGCGAAATTGAATTGGTTTACTTTAGATTTGAATCATACGGGGAATATGGATCAATACATACACGCACACAAACACACAGGCAAAGATGAGATTCTAAATGATACGATTTTATCGGATCCATCTATTGCAGACCTATATCATGGATAGTATTAGTTTTTTAGTACAGTAATGTTACAGACTTCAAAAATCACAATTATTGGAAATCGTTTACTATTTCGTATACCATCCAAATATAGTTGTATAATATATTATAAACAACGATTATAATCTCCCAAACCGTATAATGATGACTATTTTCCAGCTGGTTTTCTTTGTTTAGTTTGTAGACGTTAGCAAACAATGAACCCATCTCATATCCCAGAATAGATTCGGACTTGGATGAATAATTCTCCGAATCTATTCTGTCAGTAGTACCATAAACAGCAGTTTTACTAAAGAATGATAAGACGTGGGTCCAACACTAACAACTTGAAACCTAAAAGATGAGCTACTGCAGAATTTACAAACCTTTAAAAGGATTCTAACTTTAGAATTTAAAGACGACTCTAAAATACCCGTTGTGGACTCGGTCAGTTACATCCTAGACCCTTGCACGTACATGTACATTGGTTAGTTAAAGATTATAATATATCATCGATACAAATTAGTATAATAAATATAACTAACCAATAAGCAATACCAGATCTAAATGTAATGTAACATCAATGAAAAAAGTTAATCCATAATTATGTTATTCCTTATTTATCATTATTACGTTAGCATCGATAATATAAATAACATGTTATATATTTACACGTCATAAAATTCATATTTTATTTATTTTGTGTGCCATTCTAACTTTTTCACACAGAATATAAGCAGATTCTGAAAAAGTTCCAACTGGTTAGTAGTTTAATTATCAGGACGATAATTTGATAACCTTTTTCAACCTTGCATTTTCAAGTCAATTAAGTGCGGAATCATTAGGATGGTTCCGCACTATCTTAATGATCTTCTTAGACATGAGCGGAATATATAAAAATCAAAGAAACTTATGAAACATTGTAGTTACAATAAATAGTTATTATTGAAAAAGTCAAAAATCTTTAATCTAATCCAACAACTACACTATCGTTGTTTCATTGAGCATCTCAGAGTGCGTTCATGTTTACCTCCTCCCCACAGATAAACAGCTGTTTTATAAATTACCCAAATAAAACAATGACTCGGATCTGAGTATATAAAATGTTCTTGTTATTATGGATAAATAAGCAATTAATTGATAGACTATTTTCATTATGAGGAACGACTCTATCAGCACTTAATACACGTGTGTTGTTACACTCATTTATTTATTAAGTTTTCAAAGTGTTACATTTCCTATAAAAAATCTTGTTTTTGACAATAAAAGAGGTGAAATTTTGTTCATGACTTCTTGGCGATTTCGCAAAAAACATTTCTAGCATTACTGTAGTTTCTTGAATTACAAGCATTATTCAAACGTCTCCATTTGACTCGGCCTCAAAGGAACAGGATTGGATGGATCTGGTATCAGCCCTTTTACGCAAACTCTAAAGGGATTGCATTGTTACTTATTTTTGTTAATATAGTCTATCCTGTTGTTATTGTTATATCTTGTTCCTGTACAGAATTTATCACATTGTTATTTTTCTGCAAGTTTTATCTGTTTTTCATGAAGTTTGTTCTGCCTTTTTACTGAAGTTTCACCCGGCTACTGCATTGCATCATTGTTATTGTTCCTATACTGGTTTTGTTTTTCGAATCTCTCTTTTGTCAACTTGTTCAGATAGCTTGTTATTTATAGTTGTTATTTATCTTTTTATGTCTTGTTATTGAAGTCTTGTTTTCCAGTTTTTTTTTCACTACTTTAGTACTGTGTTTTTTTCTGCTTCTTCTGTATGTAAGATTATTGTATTTTTCATGTAAAAATGGTGCAACCGTTAACAAACAAATAAATAAATAAAGGGTTCTGGTTGGCTGATATTTTTTTGTTTCATAGTGTAGTAATGCCGTAGTTCAAACATAATGTTGAAATAATCCTCCGTTCATTCCCATCTCATTGGTAAATTATTTTTCTGTTCGCCGGGCTACTGTATTTCGTAAATAACAAAGCGGCCCAAATGTTTATTTCACCATTATATTTTTACTTTTGGGATTTAGGTCACTGCTTATTTTTATTACCACACACGTAAGAACACATATACCGGTATTATACTTAACAGATTATACTAAATATTCAATACGTTTTTATAATCATCATATATATCCTACTCTAGAAGTATTAATATACAAATATAATTATTTGAAATAATGTTTTTATAGAAATACATTACCTCCATTTTACCAGTTTTGATATACGAGGTGGAAAAAAGTCCCGTGACGGTTAAATATTTCAAAAAGTAATAAATATAGTGCTTTAAAACTTGGTACACAGTTACTGGACATTAAAACCATTTTAACACATTATTCAGTGATACACTACCTAATCGGGGGGACGGCCCGCTTGGAGTCAGAAGAAAATCTTAAACGTAAGCATAGGTTGATATGCACATCAAATTATGCCGCAAATATTAACTCAAACGGACTCCCGAGTCAAAAATGGCAGCCGTTCGAAGATTTATCTGCCTTTTGAATCTTTGCACAACTGACATTTTTTACTCAGTTGTTATTTTGAGCTAAAATTTGCAGCATTGTATTCTACTAATAAATCCCTTTAATGTTATGTGCATATCGACCTATGCATAGGTTTTGATTTTCTTCCAACTTCTAGCGGGCGTCCTCCGAGGAGGTACTGTATAACATATTTGCAAATCCATTTAAATAGCTGTCATTTTGGACTCGGTTGTCCGTTTGAGTTCGGGTTTGTATTTTAATAATAAAGACCATTAATATGATGTGCATTAATATGCACATAAAATTAAAGGAATTTGTTTGTAAGAAGAAAAGCGTATTTTCTTCTGACTCATAGCGGGCCGCCCCCCCCCCCCCCACCTGAAGAGGTGGCGCTTCACTGAATAATGATATTAAAATGATTTTAATTCCCAGTAACTGTGTACGAAGTTGTGAAGCTCTATCTTTATTACTTTATGAAATATTTAACCGTCCCGGGACCTTTTCCCACCCTGTATCTAAACGTATACTGCCAACGTTTAAAGTAAATAAAATATGTTACAATTACGATCAGTTTCGATCGGGCCTGATGACGACCAGTGTGAGGGATCGAAATCAATCACCTGTATAACATATTTGATTATTTTTATTGCCTTTTTCTTGCTAACGCGACTAAGTAATCTTTTAGATTCGCAAAGGACGGTATGTCTCATTCCAACCAGTATATGCACTCTGAAAACGGCGAAGTGAAACACGCAAACTGTTAAAACCCACCCTCCTACAGTTAATGACTTTGAAATTAAAACATGTGTTTAAACACTGGCGAATAATGAGTTGTAGGCCTACGACAGGTGTGGCGGTGTTTGCTGGTAGAGCCGGGTCAGTGGCCACACTTCCGCCTCACATCGCATCACACATTCACCATTCACCGAACAACATCAATTTTGCGCTCCCTTTTCACCAACTAGTCCAAAAACCAGAGATACAACCCATGGATTTCAGCGTTGAGCTATACCTTCCGTGCTGTTTCAAACACAGGGGCGAAATCGTTGAAGCGAGTAGTAATTGCTTCGTTTGGAAACGGACACGGTCTTACGAGTTTTAACCTGTTGATTAGAATCAATATAAAGGGCGTCCCAATAAGAACGCCGGATTTGAAATATTAATGAACCATATATTTTCACGCTAAATTTACAATATGAAACATGAATCTTAAAGCATAGTATCTCCGATTAGTAATAGATTATGTCTCGTAAGTGCTTTCCTGCTGCCTGATGACAAGCCCAACATCTCTTGACAAAGTTTTCCATCACTTTTTCACACACTTCCTGTTGAATGACACGAACAATTTCCTCCTTCAGGTCTTGGATTGTTTGAGGATTATTGGCGAAAACAAGTGACTTTAAATATCCCCAAAGAAATTAGTCACACGGTGTTAAATCGCACGATCTTGCTTAAATGGCGATGCAGCGATGTGTGCTTCATCGCTGAACAGCAAAGTTTTTGTCATTTTCATCTTGATTGCCAACCACCCAGTTTACAAAATCAAGCCGTTTTACGGGATCTCTTGGCTTGATCTCTTGTGCGAGTTGAATTTTGTAAGGGCACATGTTAAGGTCTTTTACCAAAAGTACAGCCTCAACATTTTCAAAGGAGCGACCTGCCCGACAGCGCACTGGTCTTTTAATGTCAAAAACTGAGCCAATTTCTTCGAACTTAGAAATTAATCTTTGGACAGATGACTCATTTGGTGCATTGTCCCGGCCGAAAATAACGCGCATCTTCCGAACCGTTTCAGCGAAACGTTCCCCGTACTTGTAGTGAACTTTAACTATGACCAAGCGTTAATCCGTCTTGTAGCGATTCATGACTACAAATGGGACCTAATACAGATAACATAGCAGATAATTTGGGAATTCCTATCGAAATACAGATAAGGATAAGACTCTTTTGAAATCCGGCGTTCTTACTG